AGGCACTGATGCTAAACTTCACATGCTTGTGTTTTTTCATCCTAATGCAGGACAATACATCCAAGTTGTCTGGCAGGATTTTACTTTGGCAACTAGGCTAGATGATATTAATAAACCAGTTGGGTTTTATTAATTAATTAGCAAATAAGTCTCCATTTAGAGCAGGGTCTACTGTGCTGGAAGAGTAATGCCTTATTATTGTTATTTTGACACCTCTGATGTCACTGTGTGCCATTTCTACATTTGTCAATAACGGAGGAAATGTGTCATGCTGTTTTTCCCTATTATCAATAATGGTCACACCATTTGTCTAAAATATCAAAAATGGTTTTGTATTTTAGCAACACCTCATCCACTGCAGCTGCCATTATCTTCATGTGAGCCTCAAATCATTTCTTCAGCTCATGATTTATTAATATTCTTCTATAAATTTGAGTTTGGAGCAACATACGTAGATAAAGGGAGGGTGTTCGTCATGAATTTATGATGACCCAAAAAACAATTGAGGTTATTAGAAACTGATATTTTCTAAGAATGGCTAAGTAAATGCCATGTCACCAAATGTCACCAAAAGAATCCAAATCCTTTCATGATCAAAAATCTAAGAAAACCCTAAAACTGAAACATAAAAAGTGCCGCTGTAATTTAAAAACAGGTCCCAAGCTTTATCTCATGTGATCAAAAATAAAACAAAAAAAACAATACAGAATTTCTGGGAAAAAGCTCAGAGGACAGGAACTGAGTCAACAGAAAGACTGGTCTGAGTGATGTGGACTGACGGCTCCTGGTGCCCTCCCAAGCCTTTAGCAGGGCACTGGTGTTTGTCAGGAGTTTTATAATCCTGACCACTGAGTGATCCCACAATTTCCCACAGTAACTGTGGAGTCACCGTAGCAACAGCTGAGACGCTGGCATCATGCTTCAAAGTGAAGCACCCCTCAATACACAGACTCCCATCCCCCATCAGACTCTTCATGAGAGGTCAGCAGATTTTAGAAGAACTTGTGCACAAATGGCTCTTACTGACACGCCAAAAAATAGCCAAAAAATAGAAGCTGACTCTAAACTGGTGAACCCTTTCTTATTAAACTTTTACCACTGAAGAAGAAGTGATCTAAGTGCCAAAGCTACAAAATGATGAGTTATTATTTTTCTCTAAGAAAGCTAATTTATACTAACCTACAAGACAAGAAAATGTAGAAACTTTACACAAAAATGGCTAAAATTCTAACAAAAGCAATACGTTGCAGATTTACCTGTCTGATATATTATGATCTTTATTAATATTTCTCTACACAATCATTACAGTTTTTGTTCTGCTCGGACTGAAATCCTTACCGGCACTCCTCAAGGATGTGTGCTCAGTCCTTTACTTCTCACTGATGATCACACAGCTGAAGTTCAGCACAAACCAACTTCTTAAATCTGCTGATGACACATCAACATGGAAACTTCTTAAATTTGAGATGAAACTTTAAGCTGGTGGAGAGGAAACATCCGTCCTGTCTTTTAACTACACTAAAAAGAGTTTTAAATTCAAGTGGCAATGTGTAATTTTACCTTTAATCTCTGGAAATTATCCACCTAAATGTTGTTGAAAATGAATTAAATGATGTCCAGTCTCGGAAATTTTTGGCGGCTATGTAACATACACCTATAAAATTGGGTCTAAAGTAGATAGGGTGCAGGTCTAGCATCTTTAGGGGACACCATATTAGACTCCATGTTTTCTTCTGGCCAGCTCGTGGTCCTGCGCCTGTCGATGACATCACACTAGATAATTAGCTTTATATGCAACTTATGAAAGTTACGTCACCACGTTCGAAAACATTTAGGTAATAAGAAACATGAATTTAATAACAAAATTCTTTCCAAAATCTGAAAGAACAGAATTGAAAAAGAGATGCAGGAACCCGAGCGGATCAGGAAAACTACAGAGTGAGAAAATTACATCGTCATTGTATTCTCTCTATGGATTGGAATTAACTGAGATCAATGTCTGAGGAGTCGCGCCGAGGTCACATGTTTCCTAACAACCATCGACATAATATACGGGTAACAACATTTACCATGAGGGTTGTTTTTTTTTTTGTTTTTTTTTTTACTAGCGGCAGTCATGGCGATCTGGTGTAAAACTACCCTGAATTGAGTGTGCTGCCCCCTAGTGCCAGGAAACTACAAGCTGCCACGTTAAAGCTACTCAGTAAAAGCTGTCCTGTGGGTAAGGTCAACCACGAGCTTGCTGCTCACCTCGACTCGGGATGTTGAGGATCGGAGGGTGGACTACTTTGAAGACCTCAATCCTAGCAGCGTTTCTTCTACTGAGGAAGGCTCAAGGCTAAAAGTGAAATTCAAACTCCTGCAACAATCTTTAGGCCATTTATATCACAGAGGATCTCTCAAATGCTTAATCTGGCCAAGAAACCAGCAGAGATTACAGAATCCTTTGAGATTTTCTGAAACCATTCTCACCATCTTTTAATAGGGCACTATGAGAGCACACATCACGGCATCATTTCCTGCTCTGGCAACTGACAGGAAGACACTGCAACTTGTGGTGAAAACTGCTGGGAAAAGACATTGAGGTCTGGTGCAACTCCTAACACACACATACGTGATGATGTACAATTCTGATTATCTTATTGTGTGGAATGAAAGATTTGCTTGAAAATTTAAAGAAAATATGCTAAAAATTGGTTGTTTTCAGACTGCGAGTCATGCTGTGAGATGAGAGAATGACTAACGTCCAGTCAAAACCCATTCTCAATGAGAAACTCAACCTAAAGGTAAACTCAGGATGAACAGACTGCACTAAGATGTCTGAAACTCCTTAATAATGCAGAATGTTTGGGTTCTGCTTTTTTTAAAACAGGACTACAAGTATCACAAATGTGCGTTGCGTGTACACTCAACACACCCACTGTGCTCAATGATTCTTACAAGTGAGAAAATTAATTTGTCATTAAGTCAGTTGTGCTAAATGAGCCATAGTTGGTCGTCTTGGTGATGTTATTGTTGCACAAAACTGCATTAAAAGGACACAAAAGCAGAAAAAGCTTGAGGGTAAAAGCAATATTCACCGAGATGAGGACTACGTCTGCTGGGAAATTAGTGATAAGTGCTCGCTTCTCCTTCCCTTGCCCCTGTGGACATCTCCATAATTCATCAATGAAGATCTTAAGCTCATGAGCCCTAAAAGATGGACATCAATTCTTGCTTATAGTGTAAAAGCCTTGGCTTTGTTAGTAATTTACCTACCAGGAAGTGGATGGAGGCTGACCTGAGCCAGGGGCAAATCTGCCAATATGGAGCCATTAAAAAGTTCAGAGAAAGGATTCAAGTGTGCTGGAAAAAGGTCTAAGGGGAAATAAAAATGCACCATGCAGGACAGGTAAGAAAGCAGGAAAAGAGAGACTAAAACATGAACAAAGTAAGGCTATGAGGGTCAGCTTTAGTGTTTTCCCCCCTTTTGGCGGGCCATAAAGCCTGGAGGGACACAAATAAATGTGGAACACACATTAGCGATGGGGCTAGTCAGCTGCATCATCCTGCTCCCTCGCTGGATAAGAAAGATAATCAGGCTGCCAGACAGCCACCGCTGAGTGGGAGCATTCTCCCCTTTCACTCTCCACTCCCCTCCTTCCCCTCAGTTACGTCAGCCACCCCGACTCTGCTGCAAACAGCACACCTGCTGGTTTCACGGTCCATCTGGCCCAGCTCCATCACTTGCTCAGCTCTGAGCAGAAACGCAGGTCTGTTTACAACCTGGGCACACAGTCACATCCCTGGTTATTTCAGTATCTGTTTCACACTCAGGCCTATAGTCACTGGGATGAACGATAGGAATGTGACCCGTTGATGACGTCAAACATCAAAGTGACAAGAATATTACCTTATTAACATTTCCTTGCACCATGTTACAGGTGTGATGTTTGTATGCTGTGTCTTCGTCACCTACATTTCCAAGGATTTCCTCGTTTTCTTGCAGCTGAATCCACGTTTTGAACATGTTTTATCTTGTTATTGAAGTGACAGGTTCTCTCCCCTGTTTTAAATCAAGTCAGCATGAACACAAAACTGCACACGTATCAAAGCAATGCTGTTGGAAGTGAGACAAAAGGGCTGAGCGACACATCTTAACACGAATGGCTTTGCTTGTTTTAAGTCTCGTATCAAAGTGGCTCGGATGACAATATCCACAATTCTCTTCTACGATTTAAGAATTGTTTTTTTGGTGTGGGGGGTAAATGCTGCATTTTTAAAAATAAGTCCTATTAGAGCTGCACTGTGTCGATTTAAGAATAATTTGTTTTATAGGGAACTGGATTAACAACACAATGAAATTATAGCTGCTGCTTCAAGGCTGTCCAGTCAGATCCAGCAAGAATCAACTCAGAAGAAAGAAAAAAATAAGGTGTAGATTATTTAAGTCTGGACACTCTGCCAGCCAAATTGGGCATGCTGATGTCTCGGATCACACAAGAGTAATGGGGGAAAGAACAAGACCAGTCATCAACTCAGTCCTAAGAGTCACTATCCTCTGTGTTTGAAATCAGGGGTGTCCATCGCTCATTTAGTGTCTGTTCTGATTCTAGAAAACTCCTGCATATTTTAGATCAGTGAGTCCAATTCAATTTAAAAGAATAAGTGATGATTAGCAAGCTTTTGAGATGCTGAGGAAATAAGCATTTATTCAGGTGCAGGAGCAGGGAAAGATCTAAACATGCAGGATAGCGACCCTTGTGGACTAGGCTACTATTTTAGATGATGCTCTCAACACACTTGATTAAAATGGTTCAATTACAGTATACTGCAGAAGCCTGCTAATCGTCCATTCATTTGAATCAAGTATGAGCAGAGAAAGATGCAGGACAGTGGCCCTCGGGATGTGTTGCCCATTGTGCTAATGTGGTGCGTTTGAGCCAGCGGCGGGGCATTCAAGCACAGATCCTCCGCTCAGACAGACCTACCCAACAGCTGCGGTCCGACAGGTGACTGACCTGAATGGTGCACGTATATTCCGTATCATCCAGCAGTCTGACAGTGCAGTTGTATTCCCGCTCAAGATTCCTGACGCTGCCACTCATGAATCGGCCCAACATCTTCCCAAAAGACCCGCTGCGCTGCGTCTACTCGGGACCAGAACAATAAACTCAACGCCAGCGCGCAAGTGAATGTCACAGTGACAGCATTCCCCGGTCCTCCAAGCGGCCAGCAGCCACGGATTCAGCCGCCGAGGCTCGCACCATCGCTGTTCCCCCTGATAAGTTTCCTTGTGCCGTGGCTCCGGGATGCTGAGCGCAGAATCCAAGGATGCCTGCATCCAGATCCAGATCCAAAGGCAGCTACTGGCGATGTTGTAAGTCTCTGGTCGAGCAAAGGATTATCTCTCCCCATTCAGCGCTGCCACTTGAGCTGGCGGGCGGGTCCCAGGGAAAACTGACGTCCAAGTTAGCCAACAGGAGCGCGGGGATGTTGTTTATGTTTTAGGATTATTTCCAGCATTGCTTTTTCCAAAACTGCAGTTTCTCCTGACTCTTCTTTCGACTACACGAACAAGTTTATCATCATTGGTTACCATTTACATGGAGCCATCTCAAACTTTAAATTATGACGCAATTGCAGTTGTCTTCATTTTCCCTAAATTAGATCAAACCCATCCACTCTAGAATCCGTTGTTTAGATTTTGAGCGGTCATTAATTAATTAATCAAGATCATGATTATTTTGTATTTTAATTCATTCAGGAGCGACACAGTATGCTTTTAATACACCCCTCTCTTTGAAATGCCTCCTCCAATGCTCCTAAACCCCCCAAATTGATCTGGAATAACTCTCCCCGGGTTTCTCAACGCCTGTGCAGAAATTAAATGTGTTTATACTGCCACCTGCAGGCCACTTGTCGAAAATGCATTTATGGCGAAAACAATTGTCTAATTAATAATCGCCGTCAAGCCTCCGGAGTTGATTACCACTTATTAATTTTGAGTTATTTAAATATGCAAATCACAAGTTGTTAGTGAAGATGATGAGTTGTCTAATTAAACGTGAGCTGGTGTGAATAGGCTACTTAATCTGAAAAGGTAGTCTTGTTTATCAGCAGCGTGCGTTGCAAGTATTACAATATTGCGTGATTTGAGAGCGTTCCATAATGTGTTATTCTCTATAAACGAGCTGGTTTTGTTGGCTTCGTAGCATTCAGTACAGCTGTAAAGCCCAAAAGATGCTCTTAATTAACCCAAATAAAACACTGCGCGTATTAATCTATGATAAATGTGCAGAGATGTCGTAAAAAACGTACTTTTTGACGTGTTTGAATTAAACAGAAAAACATTCCACCGACTTCTTTATTTCTGCCGTGACCCGGATTCGAACCGGGGTTGCTGCGGCCACAACGCAGAGTACTAACCACCATACGATCACGGCGAGCTAATCGGGTACGGTGTAATCTTGCACAATTGCACGTTTATGTAGAAAACACTGATCATTGTGTTAATGTTCTATGTGCTTTGTTTTCATAAAATAAATTAAAACTACGATAGTAAATCTGCAAGACAAGCTGATCCTTATTCTAATATATAAATAGACTACAGTACAGAACAGATAAAAAACAGAGCTTAATTTTGAATAAATACAAGTAAAAAAAACTTTAAATAATCTGAGTAGAAGCTTTCAGTGTCTAAATAATATTTTATTTAGCATTTCCTTGATTGCCATTTAAACAACAGAGTCACAGGTTTAGGCATGGAATAAACATATTATGACATAGCCTAGGCTATCAGTGAAAAAAGTTTAGTATGCCTAAATAACTTTACTAAATAATTTTTATTTTGATTAAAAAATCAGATTTGAACTTTTCTAAGCTTAAACTGGTGAATGTGTCTGCTTGCAGGAAATGTCCTAGCCATGCTGAAGCAGATGGTGAAGATTGTTCAAATTCTGATTCATGACATTGTGATGAAAACTTCTCAAGCAGGTGTAACTCAACTATTTTATTCTATGATACTAGTATAAGTAAGGCAAGGCAGCTTTATTTATATAGCACATTTCAAGCAGAGGCAATTCAATGTGCTGTCCAATTAGCAAGATTAGCGACACTATTAAAATCAAATGTGAGAGCGCAATTAAAATACACACAACTTCAATTTAGATTTAAAATTTTAAAAGAAAAAGACAAAGTTAAGGGGTGAGCAGTTACAGTGCAGAAGGTGCAGTATAAGAACAGTCATTCAAAGGCTGATCAATACATGGAATTTTTCAATTTTGATTTAAACGTTTCTAGAGTTGGGGAACCTTTGACTCCATCTGTGTGCAGCACAGTAGCTAAAAGCAGTGTCACCCTGTTAGGTTCTGACCCGGGGGTCTACCAGCTGACTGTTTCCTAAGGAACTCAAAGTCCTGCCGAGCGAACATACAGGAAGGAAATCCAACATGTCTTTTGGCCCCATGTCATCGAGTGATTTATAAACTAGTAGAAGCACTTTGAAATTGATTCTGTAGTTTACTGGTATCCAGTGTAGATATTTAAGAACAGGCGTGATGTGCTCGATTCTCTTGGTTCTTGTTAAGACTCTAGCAGCAGCATTCTGAACAAGCTGCAGTTGCTTCACAGCGTTTTTAGGAAGACCAGTCAAAAGGTCATTGCAATAGTCCAGCCTGCTGGAGATGAACCCGTGAATGAGTTTTTCTCTGTCTGGGCATGAGACCATGTCTTGCTATTTGATGATAATAAAATGCTGATTTGGTGTAATGTGACTATTGAAGCTCGGGTCTGAATTAATTATGACACCATGATTTCTAACCTGGGTAAAACACTTTATTCCTTTGGCACCATGTTGAGAAATAACCCAGTAAAGTAAACATGCAAGAAGAGCGGGCAGCGTTGTTCTTTCTGGTCAAGGTTATTTTAGAGTCTGCAACGTTTTAGAAAAAACAAACATTCTATTGAGCAACCTTGTTCACTGTGTTAGAGATCAAGCAATGTTTTACCACAAAGCAGCACCCAACTTTCACCAGATTTTGAATCTTCATTACAGAATGGAACTAAAGCGGGAAAACAGTCTGCTCAGGATATCTGATGGCAGAAATTGCCAAATAGCATTTTTTGTCAGTGTCACAAGTCATGATGATAATGAGCATGTAGGTATTGTAAAAGAAAAAGTGTTTCAAAACCGGCTTTCCTTACTGGTTACTATTGACAGTCTTAGTGCCAGACTAAACATGCTATTTCAGTGCTGTGTACATTTACTCCATTGTTTTCTTTAGATATGGGGTATCGATCTGAGAAATGGATTCCATATTAAAAAAAACTACAATTATTGAATTTGTTTGCTGGCAAAAAGCTTAAAGTAAGATTAATTTGTGAGCTGTTTTGTAACTTTTTACCTGTGCCTGCAGTGTGCACCCCAGGTGTCACAGGCATTTTACTAATTTAGAAATGTTTAGAAAGTTATGAAACCAATCTAAATCTGTTTTCCATGCACCAAACAGTCTTGTCCACCACATCATATTTAAAATATTTTGAATATTCAGTAATAACTTTTAATTTCTGCATTAGAAATGTAACTCTTGTTGTGTTAATTTAATTTTATGTATTGAATAAATGCCATTTGTGTTAGTTGATGTGTACATTTTTCAAAGGTTTGACTGTTACAACAATTTTGCTGCAAAACCTAAGATATATATTATTTATCCCCTGCATAAACGTTAACATTAATGCACAATTTCTCCATGTAAAAGCATTTAAACCACTTTTTTGTGTGATGTCATCATAAAAATACATATTTATGCAAATGTGAGATTATGAAAATGAATTTTCCCTGCACTTGGTAAAGTAAGATATAGTTTCAAAATGTGGTTTTACGTAATAACTTGGTAATGTGTCCCACAAAGGATTATTACACAACAAACATGTCATATGTGTTATTTTGCACATGTATTTTACATTATTTTCTCAATGTTATAAACAAGATGGTAATGTCACCTTCTGTGACTCCTCATGCTCACATAGGGGGTTGCTATGTATACTATTCAGATTGCATCTTATCTGAATTAAATAGAAATGGGAAAAACAATCCTTAATATCAGGTTCCAATGAGCACATCATTTTACAAAATCTAGTAAGTATAGATACTAATAGATAACACAGTCATAGTCATAAAAATACTTCTAATTTGATCTTCAGTTGAAAAAAACTCCACTGAAGATGTAGTTTTCTTTAAGTGCAAGAAAGTGTTGCATGACAATACATGAAGATACTAAATCATACTTTATTTTCAAGCAGTTATAAAATTAAATACAGCACCGTTGTGAAAAACCAGTTGATTAATTAACAAACTTACATTTCTTTATAAAGACAATTTAAAAGTGAGTTGAAAGGTAATTCCAAGCATATACATTTAATAGAAGTGTGGTGATGAACGATTTTTATTTGATAAATTATAGAAAGTAAAGTCCTCGATAGGCCAGCCAGCTTGCCTCTGGAGTAAAATAAGTGTCATAAACAGTACTGTTTTAAAAGTATTCTTGCAGATATGTTTACAGTTAATCTAAGATGTGAAAAGCAATGTAAAGAAAATATAAATATCTCACCCATCATCAATTACAAAAACAGGATTCTGGATCAACAGCATTTTAAGTGGACAACAGAAATCTTAGAGTTCATTCTCATCGTTCTCTTCAGGTTCGTTGCTCCGTACAGATGCAGCTTTAGCAGCACAAACTGCCTTTCTAGTGTGGCACGGACGAGCCAGAGTCTGATGCTGTTGTGATGTGCTGTTGGAAATGTTCCTCATGCTTTGAGCAGAAGTTCCCTCTTGCGTTTTGCTCGTTTCTGCATGAATCTCCCTGTAAAGTTTGCAGGATGCAACCAGAGGCTTTCCTATGTCAATCTGTTGGCTTTCAGTTTGGCGCAGATTGCTCTTTGTGTGAGTATAATGCAGATCCACTTTGATGGCCAATGACACCTGAGAACAGCAATCAAAAACAATAAAATATATTAATTCTGAACTATTTACAGGAGAAACACGAGATAAGTCAAATTCTTACTTTGAGCTTCTGAAGAGAGCAAAGTCTCAGTCTGCAGTCTGGGCTATTTGAGTTATTTAACAGTAGTGAGTCCATCTCTTCTGATTGGGCAGACCTTGAAAATATGTCTTCTATTGGCTGTGGAGTCAAAACAGAAAAAAATATTAACACTCTGTTGCTGATAGATGAACCACAAGATGTCAGTATGGTTTGAAACTGTAATCAGGCAAACACAAGTATTGTGTAATAGAAGTGCACCGCAGGGTTTTTTTTATTTTTTATTTTTGCATGACTCGTAAATCATGTTGAAGTCCATATATGGGAAGAACTTCCTCAAACATGCGAAGCGGGGGTGTTAGTGGTCAAACACTGGCTGGGTAATGGAAACTGCCTTCCAGCATAAGCAACATGGAAATTGCAGTTTTTAAACTCCTTGGAACTAGGAAGTCTCAGGAAGTTCAAAAGTAGGCTCAAGTGTTTCTCTGTTGCTGTGATGTTTTTTTAATTTCTTCTGAAAGATGTCTACATGGCACCAATTTTGTCGATTATAAAGTTTGACAGAATGAGTAAATACTTACAGGTATGCTGCTCAGCACGACGGTGCAGTCTTGGGTATGATCACCCACGGTTTTTATGTTTGCAAAGGCTACCAAGACATTAGAGAACAAGGCTGAAAAGCTAAGTTCCACTTCAACTCCACAGAGAAACCTCAGCAGCTTTCTCCGGGGCAGCTCTGGAGGGAAAACAGCACAAATAATACTTACTCATGAGAACAAGCCATCTATTTAGGCAAACTTTTATAATAAGGGTCTCTTTATTAATGTTAGTTTGTGCATTATTAAGCATTAATAAACAAAGTGTCCATGTACTAATATTATAATGTATTATTAAGGATTTATAAACAAATGGTTGCTTTATTAATGTTACTTAGCACATTGTTAAGCATTAATAAACAAAATGTCTCTTTATTAATGTTACATAGTGCAGTATTAAGCATTAATAAACAAAGGGTCCCTTTATTAATGTTAGCATTATTGTTAACTATTAAGTATCATTAGGGTTAGGACAAAAGGCCGGGGGGGGGGGGGGGGGAGGGGGTCTGCTTTGTATTGTATTACTTAATATTAACATTAACATTAAGCAGTTAATACTTTATTTAATAGTTTATTTGTGCTTAATAATGCACTATGTAACAGATAAAGGGACCCTTATTGTAAAAGTTTCCCTTTATTTTTTGTTTACTTTAAGTAACATGACACATTTCTAGTAGTTTGATTCCGTTTTTTAAGCCACAGTATATTATGGATCATCATAGGGTAGTTTATTGGCAAGAATCTGGTGATATGATATGTATCACAATATAAGGGAGATGATACGAAGCATTGTGATACTAAAAGGCAGACGATAATTGCAAATTTTAAAACTAAATTAACGAGTTTGAAACCATCCATCCATTTTCATCCACTTATCCGGAGTCGGGTCGCGGGGGCAGTAGCCTAAGTCGAGAGGCCCAGACTTCCCTCTACCTAGCCACTTGGACCAGCTCTTCCGGGGGAATCCCAAGGTGTTCCCTGGCCAGGTGAGAGACATAGTCCCTCCACCGTGTCCTGGGTCTACCTTTAGGTCTCCTCCCAGTTGGACGTGCCCAGAAAACCTCACCAGGGAGGCGTCCAGGAGACATCCTGACCAGATGCCCGAGCCATCTCAACTGGCTCCTCTCGATGTGGAGGAGCAGCGAGTCTACTCCGAGCCCCTCCCATATTACTGAGCTTCTCACCCTAACTCTAAGGAAGAGCCCAGCCACTCTTCGGAGAACACTCATTTCGGCCGCTTTTATCTGCAATCTCGTTCTTTTGGTCACTACCCAAAGCTCATGACCATAGGTGAGGGTAGGAACGTAGATCGACCGGTAAATCAAGAGCTTCGCCTTCTGACTCAGCTCTCTCTTCACCACGACAGACCCGTAGAACGCCCGCATCACTGCAGATGCAGCACCAATCCGCCTATCGATCTCGCGCTCCAGCTTTCCCTCACTCGTGAACAAGACCCCGAGACACTTAAACTCCTCCACTTGGGGCAAGACCTCATCTCTGACCCGGAGAAGGCATTTTAACCTTTTCCGAATCAACACCATGGTCTCAGATTTAGAGGAGATGAGACGAGTTTGAATTGCACCGTACAAATGAAATATTGTAAATCATGTAAATTGCTTTTAAATGTTCATTCAGTATTTCACAAAACATTGCAATTTTTCAGTGTAACAATATTTTTTCACATCCTCATATCATCAAGTGTGTTTGGTGGAACAAAGATGTCAGATCAGTCCAGAACATTGAGATTAAATTATATAAGGGGTGATTGAAAGAAGGCTAAAAATGCTTCAGTTGAAGTAAAGGAAGATGCACTTTACACACTAAGTTGGTTCCCTATTTTGATTCAGCAAAAAAAGACACAACTTATTTCTTCTCTTTTTTTTTTTTTGAATGGTGCTGAAAATGACACATTAAACCACAGTCTGCACATGGTTTGTTCTGTGGGAAGTGTGAAGATCGCTTATCTAAACATCTATTTCCTCTATTCAATCGGACAAGAAATTAATCCAAAGACGTTTGATCTATACGTAATGACGTGCTACCCTCTGTAGCATAATGCAAGAAGAAAAGCTTGTAGCCTGGGAAATTTCCACCAACTCACCGTTGGCTTGTCTCCAGCAGATATCACGTAGATGTAGCTCCCTTGTGTGGCCAGTGGTTCGAACTTTATCTGTGAGGGATCGAGCTTCCTTCATGGTGTGTTTTATTTCCACTGCCTGCTTGCCTTTGACGAGAGGGTCTCGACCAAGATCTGGTTAAGTGGTAGGAAGAAAGTGTGGATGAATACGATTGCAAAACTAAAACACCTACTTGTAAAAAACCACAACGAAAAGAGGCTGGAGAGAAGAAACACTTCATTAGAAGAAGAAATCACGGTAACACTTGCAACAACGGTCCCTTTATTAATGTTAGCATAGTTTAGCATAGCATAGTTTATTTATATAGCACATTTAAAATGCAGCATGGGAGCTGCCCAAAGTGCTGCACAGGCTAAAACAAAACACACCCATTACAAGGAGCTAAAACAAAGGATAAAATCTCAATTAAAAGCAGAGAAAACATGAATAATAAGAACACATTAAAACAATGACACAATAAAACACTAAAACGAGTCACTGTCTAAAAGCCAAAGTGTAAAAGTGGGTCTTTAAACGTGATTTAAAAACCGCCAGAGATGGAGCCTGCCGAACTCCAATGGGCAATGAGTTCCATAGCTTTGGGGCAGCATGGACAAATGCTCGTTCACCCCGCGATTTGAGCCTCATCCGCGGCGTGTGCAGCAGCAATAGGTCAGCCGACCTCAACGAGCGGGTGGGCACATATGGAGTGAGAAGGGCAGAGAGGTAGGAAGGTGCCAGGTCACTGAGCGCTTTAAAAACAAAAGTCAGTAACTTAAACTGCACTCTGAAAATGACAGAGAGCCAGTGAAGATGTGCCAGGACAGGTGTAATGTGGCTACGTCGGTGTGTACCCGTCAAGAACCTGGCAGCAGCATTCTGAACAACCTGCAGCCGATTCAGGGCAGAGTCCGGAACACCAACGAGTAGGGCGTTTGCATAGTCCAGGCGAGAGGTAATGAATGCATGAATGACTGACTCCAAATGCCTCCGTTTCAGGATTCGTCTGAGGTGAGTAAGGCGGCGAAGCTGATAAAAACACGACCTCACTACAGAGTTTATCTGTGGGGCCATTGTGAGTCCAGCATCCAGCTTGACCCCGAGACTCGTCACACACTGTTTGGGGTTAAGGGTTAAAAGGTCACAAACAGGGTGAGAGCCATGGTGGTTGCGGGGGTCAAAAACAATAAACTCAGACTTCTTTTCATTCAGTTTTAAGAAGTTGGATGCCAGCCAGCCCTTCACGTCATCCATACATGCAGCCAATTTCGAGCCCGCATTTTTCTCGTCCATTTCCACGTATAGCTGACAGTCATCTGCGTAGATGTGGTAGCTCAGGCCATGCTGATTCAGGATATTGCCCAGAGGCAGAAGGTAGATTGAAAACAGCAATGGCCCAAGAACGGAACCTTGCGGCACCCCCCAAGGCAGTGGAAGACTGGAGGATGCACAGTCACCAATCTGTACAGAGATGGTACGGTTTGATAGGTAGGAGCGGAACCATTTAAGCGCCACCCCCGTCACCCCAACCCAAGACCCAAGCCGATTCAGTAAAATTTGGTGATCGACCGTATCAAAAGCCGCTGAAAGGTCCAGCTGGAGCAGCAGTACCCTAGACCCAGAGTCAGATGCCACCAGAATGTCATTTAGCACCCTAATCAAAGCAGACTCTGTGCTATGGTTTGGTCTAAAAGCTGACTGTTAGTGCATTATTAAGCTTTAAAATGGTAAATGGCCTGTATTTGATATAGCGCCTTCTAGAGTTCTTGAAACCCCCCAAGGCGCTTTACAACACAATCAGTCATTCATCCATTCACACACACATTCACACACTGGTGGGGATGAGCTGCAACGTAGCCACAGCTGCCCTGGGGCGCACTGACAGAGGCGAGGCTGCCAAGCACTGGCGCCACCAGTCCCTCCGATCACCACCAGCAGGCAACGTGGGTTAAGTGTCTTGCCCAAGGACACAACGACAGCGACAGACTGAGCAGGGCTCGAACCTGCAACCTTCCGATTACGGGGCGAGCACTTAACTCCTGTGCCACCGCCGCCCCACGTTAATAAACAACGTGTCTCTCTATTATTGTTAACTAAGTGTCCTTAAGGTTAGGACAAAGGGCCAGGGGGGTGTCTGCTTAGTATTGCACACATAATATAATTTAGCAGTTGTAATAATTTATTAATGCTTAATAATGCACTAACTAGCTTAATAAAAGGACCCTTATTGTAAAGTGTTGTGGAAATCTCATTACAGATTCAACTTTAAATCATGGGAGCTAACCAAGTTTGACAAAAACAGAAAGTGGGGAGTGTAAATTCTAATGCAAAGCAAAAAAAGTTCATCAGATTTACGTGACTGCATTTGAGGAACTTGGGGAATTTTTTTAGTAACAAATATTAAGATTCAGACTAATTGGGCAAAATTTCTAGGGGATTTTTTTCTTGTAAATAATCAAAACACACAAACATGGGACTCGTTGAAAAGGCTGAAACTGATTATTAGAAAGACTAGTTAAGTGAAAAAAGCTGCATTTTGAAATTGTTATTATTGGCTTATGATGTGATCTAATGTAAAAACGGTTACCACGGTAACTCAATGAGTATTTATGAGGAAGGTACAGTTTGAGGGCTGTATTCCATTCTTGCAGCTCTGCATGCGGGTTGTTCTGTAAAATGCCTAAAAACAGAATTTCCTAAAAATGGAAGGCAATCCTTTTGCCGTCCTTCCAGTTACATGTAACAATATTTGCTGTGAAGCAGGCCTGTCGCTGCCCACACTAGAGCTTTCGCTGCAGCGTATTAAAATTTATGTTTTTTAATTTCTAGGAAACTCTTTACACATTTGTTCAACTAAATAAGTCCTCATGGATTTAGACCACATCGTGTGCTGTCAACAGGGGGGCTTGTCACACTTGCACAGATTTGTGAGCGACACCCCAATAGAGCAGAAGGTGGGGGGTGCCTGAACGACAGAGCAGCTGTCTTGCTCGCTGCAGCTCTCAAGTTTCTGGCTGTTCTCTAGCCAACAGTGTGAATTTCTGAAGAATGAGGTCACATGCTGCTACCTCGAAAATGTATTTCCCCATGGGTGCACAGAAAAGGCAAACACGCTTTCAAGACAGAACTAGATCACCTTAAATTCCTGATCAGTCACAGCTGAACTCACGAATACCACATAAGCAACGTTAAAACCAGAAGTGAATCAAAACATGTCTATGCTCCATCCAGCTCACAGAACAGCGTGTTCCCTGCAAAGCTGTTTACCCATGATCTGCAGTGCTCATGACAGAATAACAAACTGTGTCTGCTAGAGGTGGACTCCATCTATAAAAATAAACTACTAATAACTTTACGATCACCTCATAATTTGTTCATCACAGAACATGTTTTCTCCTTCGTAAAAATCATATTGTCACGTTTTGAGCTGCTTACCCTCGGAAACCTTTTCTAAGACATGCGTGACTTTGTCAGACTGCAGTATGTGCCTGTTCAGGTACTTTGTGAAGATTCCAGTACTCTTTCCCCCGTCTTGGACCTCGTACGCCTCGGCATCTTCGCATCTAAAATAATTCAGGAAGTAAACATCAAGTTGAGTAAGATATCTGTTCTTTTTGAATTTACATTCTATGTTAGTCTATTTTTAACAGAACTTTAAGGAAATACTTACGTGGCATAACCATACACGGTGTTCCCATTTGGTCCCAGTGGCATAATGACAGACGGTATGCAGTCCTGGTTGTACCTAAATTATTATATTTTTAAATTATTAAATCATTTTAATTTTTAAAGTTTTATTGTGATTAAATGTCACTTTTTATCTTATGAAAACAAAAATGAGTGAATACATTTACCATTTTCTGCAGGTATCCAGGAGGATTACGCTCAATGCTGTTTGCCTTTCCTGCATTCTGTGCATAACCCTCTGCACACAGATGCAATTCTTGGTTTGGTACGACTGAGGAGCATCAACAGAGATCAAGTAATTCCTTCCAGCGTGCTCATACCCGTGACCCGCATAGTAGAAAAGGCCTGTCAAGAGTCATAAAATAACACATCTAGTTTACATAACTGAGTGCAGGAAGGCCAAACGGGGAGACAAAAAGATGCTCTGGTCCAGTATGGTTAAAAAAAAAAACATGAAATGTCTTCCTGTTTTGTTTAGTTATAAACAAGACAAACAACAATAGCCATGCCGCATCGTTCTGATGCAGCATGACTATTGTAGTTTGTCTTATTTGTTCGGCAGACACTTCATTTTATGACTTCAGCATTTCCTTTACTGCTGTTTAACAATAATAATGGCTTACTTCCCTTCAACAGCATGGCCATATTTATCACCCAATGTTGAAAGGTCAAAGGATCATGTATTCTCATGTTTTGGCATCTGTTGGCAAGATATCACTTTAACCACTGGATGCAAATCCACAGCTGACTGTTTACAGTCAACCTGATTGAAGAACACTGTCACAGCTAATCAATAATTAACAGATATAGAGCTAAATAAATTGGTAGCACAGGATTACACAGGGTCAGGCATAGTTATTTTCAATATTATATCAAATAATGTCATAAAACCATAATTTCTCAACATCTGGGTTTAAAAACCAGGAAAGAAAGGTGGTTTGGTCTTGTGCTTTTAAATGTAGTATGTATTATATGCATGCCTAGTTCCTCCTTATCTACCAACTCATCCACTCATACATATGTAAAAACAACTCAAGCAGACTGCAATAAATATGGAACATGAAAACAATGAGGTTATATGCTGCATGTCAAAAAGACTGATTATTAAATGTATCAAATTTTTTGCATTAAATATAAATGCTCTGACACACTCACCATAGACTCCTCTGTCCAGGAGCTGAATGAACTTGTCTATAGCAGCCAGCATTTCTTCTTTGGTGAGATCCAACAAGGAAACGACTCTAAATCCAAGCTGCTGCAGCAGGTTGGACAGCTCGTGGACGTCCATCACTGGTGCCATCAAACTCGGGTAGTTGGAGTAATTCAGGTTGCCAATTAAAAGAGCAACTTTATCTGAAGCTAAAAAAAAGAGCACAACCAATTTATAGCAATTTATAGACTTGATTATTTTAATTTCCTACATACATTTTGTTTCCATAAACTATACCTGTGAGTGCTGGAGGAGAAACCTGGTCTGGTTGCACTGAAGAGCATAAAAATATGCACAGAATTAGTATTTGGAAACATCTGAATACATTTTTTAACTAATTCTTAATTAATCATAAAGTCTTTTGCACACAGTGATAGCTTTTGTAACAACATGGGTTTAAACTGGAGAAACACAAGTAAGAACTAGTTTCACTTTACATCACTTTCCTGTTGTGTGTTTAAGGCCCAGGCTTTTTGGAGTCAACTGACTTCCTTTTTAGTCTTTACAAATGGGAAAGTACCCTCGGCATAGTGGAAACAACTAGAAGCTGTGAGCTAAATCAGTGGAATAAAAGAAGTGTGAAGAAAATCTGATTTTCTTTATGTTAGAGGGAAATATGGAGCTTAAAATAGGGAAAAGGGTGTGTATTTTTTATTTTTATTTTTTTACAATTCTCTTTTGGACTTACCAATGTCAACATCCACTGGCTCTGTCCATCTCTCCTCTAGCACATTAGATATAGAGCACAGATAGGACCCTTTATGTTCCGCTGTTACACCGTCAATCTGCAAGTACAACAGATTATACTGCTTCAGTTTCGGGATAAACTCTCAATTGTTTTTCGCCACTTTGGTAAAATATTAACCAAGTTCCCTAACAAAAACACACTGACTCAGAATCTGTTAAATGGCACGGTAAGCGCTGCCATTGTCAACAGTGAGGTGAGTAAACACTTGCAAACCTGCAGGGCGTCACTCGTCTTGTTCTGCAGAGGGTGTCCATTTTTGTACCATTGGTAGTGTGGAGCGGGGATGCCAAAGGCGGCGCAGCGGAGCGTGAGTTTAGCACCCAGTCGGACGGTCTGCGGTTTAGGGTTGATGGCGATGTGCGGCTCACCCTGCCAGTCTACAGGCAGGCCTGGAAGGAAATGGGCAGAGAATTAAAACTGCAACAATAAAAATTATGCAAATAACAAAAAATGTATAAACATTACCTGATTTATTAATGTCCAGGACCTTTACTTTCACCCACTCACTGAACACACAGTTGTTAAAGGGGTCATTCACTCGGCAGACAAAGAGCTGAGTTTTTACAGCTGTAAACGTCAGGTCAGCTTGAGTACCACCAGGCACCTGTGAAAAGTAAAGAAAAGGTATAGTTTGTTTGCTGGTGATTAAAATTATAAACTTTTTTAATTTCTAAATTAAACTAAATTAAATTTACAACATCACGTCCGCATCACTGATAAGAATAAATTCCACTCACTTCTCTCTCATCTTCAGTGAACCACTGGTAGTGGAGGATGCTTTTGCCCTCAGCTCTGACTCGCAGGGTCACCTTATGGTTCACGGGTACGCACACTGAGACGGGATGGCGCACAATGACGATTTCTGAAAATAAAAAAATAAATAAGTAAATGCCAATTTACCTTCATCTGTTACCACCTTATCACCTTTTGTAATACAGTAGATTAAAAGTGGATAAAACGCACCTTTAATCATTATTTGACCAGGCTTGGGACGAGCTCCAGTCATTTGTGCATTTTCGTCTTCCTTCCTAAGGACACATACAATCATCTTTTACAAGAAAAATAAATAACAACAGGGAGTCGCTGTCTAGTTCTAAAGCTTTACTTCTCATTTCCAGGGAAGTGAGCTTTCATTGTACAACGCTGCAACAGCCGCTTTTGTTCAATTAAATAGAAAAGTATCGTTTCTTTAAATATGTAAAAGTGTATGTTTTATACCTGCCGTCAGCCTCGCACCGGTTGAGCAACTGTCGGACCTCAGCCAGATTGTGTTTTCCTGTTCTAAGCTTTCATACCTTCCAATATATAAACGCCGACTCTTCCCTTTCCCGGAACAAGTCAGCGCACCCACACACAGTACCGTAACGTCTAAAATATGGGAGCAGCAAATATATCAATAAGAAATCCTCAAATCCAAAACCTTCAGAAATTATGTACCCTTCGACTGAACAATTAGAAATGGGCTTTGTAATTAAAACATTTCAGGGAACGAACTCTGATTGTTTGGTTCACAAAGGGAGAAAGCAAGTGGAGCAGCTATTGTAGGTGTTACGGTAAAAATATATCTGCCTGTTTGAGTGCGCCGTACAACCTCAGACTGAGGTCAGAGTCACAGTTATCTGTGTGAGATTAGGAAGAGCTTTCATTATTTACTGGCAAAGAGGGTTCAGAAATTCACAATTCATTAGCTGCAAACTACATAAATGAAACTTTTAAAGCAATTTAATTAATACAGATCTGCCCTTGATAGCATTTTATCTTTATTTAATGGGTTTAAATGCCAAATCTAATGAGATGAAATGCGTTACTGGTGAAAGGACATGTTTTCAGCACATTTCTTTAAACAGCTTTAACATTTTAAATGGAATGCAACATTTTTATTACAATCCATTTGCATGCATAATAACAAGCTAAAACCTGCCTTTTTGAGAATGAAAGCTGTTTCACAAACTACAAAAAGAAGTGTCAGGCCTTTCCTGCCTGACTGTGTTTGTTCTTTGGAGATACTCTGATTAAAATGTATATTTTAAAATGCAAGGTCAATAGAAAGATCCCACATCTACAATATGTGGTCACGACTTTTAGAAATGTTGCCTAAAATGTGTCAAACATTTTTCTGCGGGGAATGAAATTCACTGAAGTAAACATTATTAAAATGCTGACTCAAAAATTACAAATGCAAATAAACTCTGTAATAAATAAAGACACATGAAGAAAGCCTGGGAGACTGTTTTAGTGTCATTAATGGTGATAATAGTAATAGAAGTATTATCATGTTGGGAGGGTTGTTGTCCTCCAATAACTCCTAGAAAAACTTACCACATAAATTATTAGCAGACAAAAAGTTTCCTGCGACATTTGTTTTCAATGAGATTTTTTCAAACCTTTGACACAAATTGGATTAAAGTTTCAAATTCTATCAATTCAAACGATTAAAAGTTGGATCAGAACTTCTTTGTAAAGTCTAAAGACTCGTTTCGGAAAGTCTGATGTGCTCTTGCACCTATTTGTGGTTCTGCTAAAAATAGGGCTCTGCTGGCAACACATGCATGTCTATGATAGGCGGTTACAGATTTTCCTCGCAGACTCTGGCTCCAAAGCCCCACTGACAACATCTTAATGGTAAGCTGGACAATATAACAAGCTTTTGGAAGACAGGGCAACACTTTGGGTGTGTTCTTGCTCAATTTTAATAAATGCCATGTCTAATGTTTGCGTCTGAACTCTAACAGCTCTTCCACAACTTGATAGCAGACACTATTTATATCTCTCTCCAATCCAAAAGCTTTGCTTGGTCAGAAAGGACGTTTGGTCCGAGCTGTGTTTGAGTTGTCCGTATGAGCAAATGCTCCTGCCTGAATCTGATGCATTCTTTGTTGATTTCTCACATGTCTTATCAGCATTACAGCGTTGACTTGGAGGCTTTTATTCGGGCGGCAACATCAGTTTAAGCCGGATTTCTTTCCCTCTTTTTCCCCACACAGCCAATTACGCAACCATCTGGAATTTTATTTTATTTCTTAAATCAGTTTAGTGGATAATGACCGCCAGGAGGTCCATGACCCGTTCATTTTCTGGCAATGGAAGAACAAGCAGCTTCAGCGAAGAGGAGGGTGGCTCTTCCAATGGCCGCTCGGAGAGCCGTAACACCTATCTGTCCAACGTTAGGCCTGAAAACAGGTAGGTAACTCCAACCACTTGCATTTATTAGTTTATCTGGAACATTTGTGGTTTTCTTGTTTGTTTATTTTTTAAGACTTACATCACATGGAGATCAAAAATAGCACCTAGGTCAGGCAGGTCAGGTGAACACATCCTAAAATGTAATTTCAAAGTCAAAGATGAATAAAAGACACAAGTCATGTGGGTTCAATTGATGTAGATTTTATTTACTCACTGACTTTCCTTCATTTGCCTCCTTTCTAAATAGCTATTCAAGGTATTCTCACTACAGGTCGTCGAGGTAATCCCAGTTTGAAAACACTCCTCTAAACTAACAAGATAACCATATAAACTGGTTTTATCCTGAGAGAATGAAGCCATCCCACATTTAACGATAGTAGTGTGTAGCTTGTCCCGTAATATCTTATTTCTATTAGTGGTTCCGTGGTTTCAGTGATAAATTGACAACACTGGTTTGCTTCCTGCCTCACAAGTTTCTGTCCCTTTTTCACATTTTCACTAGAAATTCTCATTAACATCTTGTTTAGGAATGTTATTTGAATACTGCACCAAAGTGAAGACATCACTGTTGCAGCTGTCTAGTGTGTACAGCCTGAAACCAACTCATTTATTCATGTTATGTGGGTCGTTGTTGTTGTTTATTTGTTTTCCCAGGAGCACATTGTGCAGCGTCATGGCTCAGCTGACAGAAGACATACAGCCATCGTTTGAGACGACCCTAAAATCAAAGGCTGTTTCAGAAAACTGTAACGTTAAATTCTCCTGCGTAGTGTCAGGTAGGCCGGCTTTTTTATTTATTTATTTATTTATTTTCATGTTTTTACTCATCCTTTGGTCGATAAACTGAAACCTTTCAGACTGAGGAGGAGAAGCAAACACAGGATGTGACTAATATGAAAACAAAGGAAAGATTTCTCTTTGTCGGAAGCATGCTAACCGCTTCACTCGTCCTGAGCTGCTACTTACAGACAATATTTTATTTGAAGCTGGTTTTTCAACATGCTTTTAATTGCAGGCCAGGGTTTTTTGGGGTGGGACAGTTTTATAGCAGCAGCTGTTACTAACACATAAAAGACATGATGCAACAGCCACAAACACACTTTTATCACAGTTTTAACCCTGTGTGTGTTTACCTGTACAAACACAAGTTTAAGGCATAAAATAAATTTTTATTCTCACCTTTCATGAGTTTTGAAGTAAATTCAGCCATTTTTGTGAAATCTCACATGATTTAGGAAGATCTTGCACAATCTGGTGGTTCTTTGATTACATCTTGTAAACGACTCTCACCTGCTAACACGTGAGATTGTAGCGCCATAAAACTGACTGAGTTGCAGTGATTTTTGTTAAATGTGCGGGACACTCATTCAGTCAAAACGTTAGCAGTCGTCTCTAGTAGGAATGAATGCCTTGCGAGTCGTCCTCGGGGGGAGCTCAGATGCGCTTGTTTCAGGCGCTAGCAGAATGCCACTTCAGAGGAGAGCCTAACACGGCAGGATTTGGACATCTCATATCGGATTGGATAACAGCAACATGACTCTATCACTGACTCCATTTGCTCTGCAATGCTGATGTTTTATCTCCACAAATAACACAATTCTGAGGGAGTTCTGCTGTGTGGTGGAGTTGCTAATGCTAAAGGTTAGCTTCTTCTAATCAAGGTGTTCTCTGCTGTTTCCTGGACACTAAACTAACAACAGCCCTCCTTGTCATGAGTGAGGATGGCGAGTCCATGAAAGTGACAGTGGGACGTAGATCTGTCCGGCGTTTCACCGTCTATTTTCTATCAGAGGCTAAAGCAGGAGACAGGTGTAGGAGGCTATTTTCATGTTCAGCCTGCATGAAAAACTCAGAGTGATTAATTTTAATCAGAAATAGTTATTTTAAAATGTTTCTTTCAGTGTTCGACGCCTTTAATATTGTCTAGCTGTTGATCATCTTCACCCGAGTTTACACCAAAAGGACATTTAATAAAGACTTTCTGAAAGTTTCCGAGTGGTTCACCAGATACTCTGCTTACACCAGCGTCTCGGGCAAAAACATTTTTGATGTAAAAAATCAAATTTTATAAGGAAATTAGCTCATTGTAAACCTTTTTATTTCCACAGGTTACCCTGTTCCAGAGCTGAAATGGTATAAAGATGATATGGAAATGGACCGATACTGTGGACTCCCTAAGTATGAAATTTGTCGTAAAGGAAAGACGCACACGCTTCATATTTACAAGTACGTAACAAAGCATTTCAAATGTTATATAAAGTATTTAGTAGTAATAAGCATGTAGTGCTTTGCGTTTTATTTGTAACATTCTTAGAAACATCTTTTCTTTGAATTACTCATTTTCAGCTGCACATTGGATGATGCAGCCATTTATCAGGTCTCAGCGAGTAACTGCAAAGGTATCGTCTCCTGCTCTGGAGTTTTAGAGGTTGGTACCATGAATGAGTACAAGATCCATCAGCGTTTCTTTGAAAAACTGAAGCAGAAGGCAGAGAAGAAGAAAAAAGACTTGGAGGTGAAGATGGACGGTAAAGAAAACATCCAGAAAGAACAGCGTCGTAGCCCAGATCATCCTCAGAGGAAACGTTCAGTTCCACCAACAGCGGTGAAGGCAGATGTCAACAAGTCTGTGGCTGTTGAACATCCAGGAGATTTAGCAGAGCCAAATGCAGTTAGCTCGGGGTTGACAGATGAGGTTGACCTGACATCTGAGAATAATTCTTTAGAGAGTGACGCATCTGCGTCTGAGGAAACCTTGGCTAAAAAGAGACTTAAGATGTCAAATGGTGTAGATGTCGGGGTTAACAGCAGCAGCGGTAACAGCAACCATCTCATGGCAAATGGAGGTGAAAACTGTTACGATGGAGGAATCAGTTTAGCCCATTTTATGGCAGAAACTCTGCAGTCCCAAGCTACCGAGGAGAATCAGATCCCCCCTGAAGAGGAGAAACCTCAAGACATGGAGACAAATGTGGGAGATATGGAGGAGGTGCAGAACAAGTTAGAAAAACAGTTAGAAAAGGAGTTAGAAAAAGACAAAATGCAAGAGAGGCAGGTGGAGGTGAAGCATGGCAAACAGAGTGCAGAAGGCAAGCATCACAGCAAAGGCCACAAGGATCACGATCACCACAACATTCAGGCTTCTATCTCCTCCATGCTGCACACGGTCAAAGACTTCTTCTTTGGTAAAAACAAGAAGGACTCTCACAGTCACTGTGAAAACGAAGATATAGATTTGGACATGCAGTCACCTGAATTGGATTTACCGCCATCATTTCAGCTGCGCGTTGAACATAATCCAGAGACTCACCAGGAAGTAGTGCCTGATAAAACTCAAGAGCCCTCAGAAACTATGGATACAGAACAATGTTCAGCACCACCAGAGGACAGCAATCTGAAGACAGATTTCCAACCAGAGTATAAACCGCTTCCCAAGACAGAAGAGGAATCTAAATCAAAACAGGACAATGCTGAAGAGGCCATGGATGTCTCCGTGCAGCCAGACTCTGAGGTAAGAGGTCTTCCATGTCTGCTATTTCATACTTTTATATCCACTGGTTTTGTTTGCTGCAGGTAGAGTTTTGATGGTGGCAAAGACGCTCACGACGATTTGTTGTGATTTTTATGGAAATGTTTGAAACTGTTGCGCAATGTGACTGTTTCAACAAAGCATACAGTGAAATATCTGTGCCATCCGAAACCGCTGAAGTGAGTCAGCGCAGCGTTAGCGCTGAGGGAAGTCAGAGTGGGGGAAGAAAACTTGCTGTAGGTGTGTGTGAGTGTGTGAAGGGGTGGGGGATATTGTGCATCTGAAAGGCACCCAGTAAGATGGGATAGATGCCGGCCGAGTTGTGCGTCAGAGATCCCGTTGCTCTCTCACATTACAAACAAACGACTGGCCGGACAGGTCGGCTCAGCAGCAGCAGCAGCAGCAGCAGTAGTAGCAGAGAATCCTGTTGCATGTTTCAGAATGAAAGGATGGACTTGTCACAGTGCACACCCTCTCCCGTTTTAAAAATAACCCTTTTCCTCATCGAGAGAAGCAGCAGCAGCACTTCAGTCGTCTTGCTTTACACGTTTCAGCATTGTTTCATGTCTGTCACAACTGTTGTGACACAACACGACCGCATCACAGCTTGGAGCTGATTTAGATTTTTTCTTCACCTTTAATTTTTGACAGTTATCTGATATTTTTTTATGATGGTGTGTCCCTTTTACCAAGTTTAAAGGTGTGGAACACTGAAAACGCAGACTGAACATGAAAATAAGTCTCCTACCCCTATCTCCTGCGTTAGCTTCTGATAGAAAAAAGACGGTGAAAAGCCTGAAAGGTCTAAGTCACACTAGAAGTTAACAGTCATGGACTCACCCATCTCCCGTGACAGGGAAGGTTGTTGTCCAAGAAACATCTTGGCTAGTAGAAGCTAACTGTTAGCATTAGCAACTCCACCACATGACAGTCTTGTGTTATTTGTGGAGATTAAACATCAATATTGTATTTCAATAGTAGAGCTGCAATTTTGTTAGTCAATCAGAGGTGAGATGTCCAAATTTCAGGAAGTAAGACTCCAAATCCTGCTGTCTGAAGTTTTCCTCTGATCTGGCAATCTTCTAGATCCTGAAACAGGTGCACAACAGGAGCACAACTTACAAGGCATTCAATCCTTCTCTTCAACTGCAAATGTATTGATTAAACAAGTGAACCACACCTTCAAGACAACACAGTCAAAAAGACAAACCCCAACTTTTGGGGGGATTTATTTAATGGAAAGGGTTGATGTCAAATTACAGTTAAAATAAATATTATGTTGTGTAACATGTCAGAAATGACAAATATATGTATTTTGTTCTGTTTGTTTACTTAAAGAAGTGAGAGTTGTGTGGAGAAAGTTTAAACAAGTTGACTCTGCTTCTGAAAGTGACGCATCAAACGAGAGTTTAAGAATGGCTGTTTGTCCGACGTCCTGTGAAGTAGAGAAGCATGTCTTGTGGAAAAAGGGAGCTGAAGAAAAGTGTTTACTGGGCTACATGATTAATTCGATAATTAACTGGAGGAAGTCACAATGTTCACGCGAACAATGTTTTGACATGAGCATGACACCTATTTATGCATAGACGCGTTGAAGTGGCCAGAGCTTCATTTTTAGACTGAATGTGACACCAGTTCCCTTCTATTGCAAGCAAGGACTTCTTGATTTCATAGTAGTCAAACATGACTGCTGGCCAAATGAGTTGTCATGAGGAAGCATGTGGCTGTAGAACCTCCGCTCAGCGGCATGGAAACTGAAAGATGTGAATATCAAAAGAGGGAACCAGAAGAGCCACACAAAAATCATGTTCACAAGTAGCTTCAAAATGTACCTACATTTGTAACGGTACACACAAGAATGGCCCAGTAGCTGTACCAGAACATAAAAGCAGGATTAAACATGTATTTTTAGGTCAGGATGGGTGCTCCGAGGGATGCAGGTGTTTGATGTAGATGAGGCAGGAAGCTAGGCTGGGTTCGTATCTGTGAGGGAATCATAACTCATGCAGCAATGAAATGCTGGAATGCTGGTCAGGAACTCAGACAATTAGGCAGTTGTGCAGAGGAGTCGATCTGCAACAGGAATCTGCTGATTGCAGGGTCTCAATCATGACTGATTATGGAACAAGATCAGGTGAAACTGCAGAATGTGGCAGAACTTGACTAATTTATGACAACATTTGACTTTTTTATGGTTAATTATAATAATTTAAGATTTTTTTTTTTTTGCCCTTAAACATAATTTTTCTTCATAGTAACAGGTTATATACTCCAGTGTTTTAGAGTTAATAAAGATGTGGTGTCTCATACATCAAAATGTCAGTCATTCACTACTCAGCAAATACTTAGTGTCAACAGCACACTTTTGTGTGCCACGCGGGGGAATTCCCCAGTTTGTGTTCAGAGACAGCACATGCCCTTTCAAACTCAGTTTTTTTCCATTTTAAACTGTTTTTGTTGTGTGACTGCTGAATTCAGAACTGAAACTTTTAATGAGAAGGATTACACTGATATGAAAAAGGAAGATATCAGGACCCGCTGCAGTTTGCTTATCGCCATGGAGTTGGAGTTGAAGATGCCATCCTCCAGCTGCTTCAACCAATCCACTGTCATCTGGACAAAGCAGGCAGCACTGTGAGGGTCATGTTCTTTGATTTCTCCAGTGCATTTAAGACAATCCAACCTGATGTACTTTGCCAGAAACTCCAGAAGACACAGGTGGGGGCCTCAACTATTGTCTGGATTAAAGACTACCTGACAAACAGACCACAGATTGTGAGGCTGAAGAACTGCACATCAAACCAGGCGATCAGTAACATTGGAGCGCCACAGGGGACTGTACTTTCACCATTCCTTTTCACCATGTACACCTCAGACTTCTAGTTCAAATCAGAGACCTGTCATATACAGAAATACTCAGATGACTCTGCAGTTGTCGGGTGTATCAGAGATGGACAGGAAGCTGAGTACAGAGAGCTGGTGGAGTGCTTTGTGGCATGGTGTGGAAACAATCATCTGACCTTGAACGTGAACAAAACAAAGGAGATGAGTTTAGACTTCAGAAGAAACAGGGTGGAGTCAAACACTGTTTCCATCATGGGAGAAGAAGTGGAGGTGGTTGAGGAATACAAATACCTTGGAGTTCACCTGGACAACAGACTGGACTGGAGAAAGAACAGCGAAGCCGTTTACAAGAAGGGACACAGCAGACTGCACTTCTTGAGGATGCTTGGGTCCTTCAATGTCTGTAGCAAGATGCTGCAGATCTTCTACAAGTCTGTTGTTGAGAGTGTAATCTCTTCAGCCATCGTCTGTTGGGGTAGCAGCATCAGAAACAGGGACCTGAAAAGGCTCAACAGCCTAATAAAGGCTGGTTCTGTTCTGGGGACGACGGTGGAACCACTGGAGGAGATAATGCAAAGAAGGATTCTCCAGAGGATCAAGAAAATTATGGACAACCCTGAGCATTCTCTTCACAAGACTGTCCGACAACGGAAGAGTGTCTTCAGTCAGAGGCTTCTTCAGTTTCGCTGCAACACTGACCGCTACTGGAGATCCTTCCTGCCAACAGCCATTGTAATATACAATAACTCTTTGATGACTTGATTATTATTATTATTCTGAGCTACTACAGCAATCAATTTCCCTCTGGGATTAATAAAGTATTTTTGAATTGAATTGAATTGAATTTACTTTTTAATGGACTCCTTGATTTTAGCCTTTTATAACATGCGGCAAGGGTAAAACACTTTCTGCATGAGCTGACTTGTAATAAAACATTACATTTTAACAAAATACTGACTTCCCACACATATTTAAACAATTTTCTGTTTAATTACCAATAATCAATTAACTTTTCCAGCTTTGCTAACCCTAGTGTTTCTTCTGTCTGTTGGGAATTTAAGACTGCTTTGCCGCAAGAAGCCTGTCAGGGTTTATAGGTGTTCGTGTGTCTGCTGATTTACAGCAGATATACTTTTCTTAGTCTAAATGTATACAAAAGGTCACCGCTTTATTACACCTCTAAAAATTATCATCCCATAAAATGGCACTGAATAGTTTTTATGGGGTTCCTTAAGTCTCTTTGCCTTTTATCAAACTGGTCCAATTCTAAATTTAGAATGATCCTAAATGCTTTATTTGTTTACTTCCTTACAGGCTGAAGAGAAAAACTCCATCACAGTCTCAGTTTTCAAAGGGGGCTTGACACAAAAGCCTGAGTCAGATTTTCCACAAGTTTTACAAGAACCTAAACACCAGGTTGGAGAAGATGACTCTTCAGCAAAGGAAGATAAATCTGTTACATCACAGAGTCAAGCTCCATCTGATGAAGGACGCCCCCTCCCGCCCACCTTTTCCAAACCAAAATCTTGTTGGATTTCGCCTCATGACATCTCAGGAGCAAAAAGCCAAAACCTTGAAGCAGGACTTGGTGAAACCTTGCAAAAGGAGGCGATTTGTCCCAGTACGGTCAGCGCAAAGGGTGATCTCACCACTGAATCTGGTCACTCCTCCAACAAGGAGGAAGAGAAAGCTGAAGTGAAATTCAGAAAACAGCTAATCTCAGATATAAACAGATCTGAAATTACTAAAATATCTTCACCAAAAGGTACAAGAGAGTCGTATGAATCTAAACCACCTGATCAGGTGTTTTCATCTCCTGCTGCTGTAGAAGCGTGTAGTGCGGAGAAGGGTCCTGTCAAAGAAGAGACCAAAAGTACATCACTGGTACAGGAAGTGAATGCAGGATTTCCTCTCACTGACGCCCCAGGGTGGTTAGACACGGGTGGCCTAAAAATGCAACGTGATCACACTTGTGTAGTTGGGGAACTAAGAAAGGTCAATGACGAGAAAGAAACACAGAGTCCAACTGCATCTTTTAAATGCAGTGAAGAAAAATGCGAGGCAAAGGAGGAATTGACTTGTGCCCAGAGGAAAGATTTAGAGATAAATATGTGCAACAGCTTAATGATGCAAGACCAAGCAAGTTTAACAGCTGTGAAAAGTTCAGAGAGAAAGGAGAGTTCACAGTTAGAGTGTGAGAAAGAATGGAAAACTTCAGTGAGTGAAGATTTGGATAAAACCAATACACTTGTAGTAACGCAAAGTCATGAAAATGATACTAATGGGAAAAGTAAGATTGATAAATGTGGGTCTCATATAGGAAATATTCCTTTAATCCAGATAAGTACTATAGATGACATACCAGATGTCCAAAAAATTATGCCAGATTTGGGTCCAAGTGAACATTTTATAATCCCAAAAATTGAAATAATGGGGCCAGAGCTTAAGGAATGCACCTTGCCACTAAGCATTTTGGCACAAAATAAGCCAGAAACATATAATTTACAAAATCATGATGCATTTGATGAGTCAACGACAGTTATTAAAAACCAGAGCATGGCAGATTTTCCAGGCTTGTTTCCTGTGCCACAAGGAATGAAGAATAACAATGACCTCCCACCCACGGAGCAAGTTAAGGAAGTTGCTCAAGAAGCGTTCGAGCTGCCAAAAGAGCATGTGAAAAGGGATCAGCTCCCTGCGACGGAGCATGCATCAATTCCTGTAATAAGCATTTCATGTTCGGAAGACCTGGAGAGCATTGTGTTTAGTAAAAGCAATAATTCATGTGTGGAGCGTGCTTCTGAAACTCCTAGGGAATCTTTGTTTGTGGTTCCGCCAATTTCTGTCACTTGTCCTGAAAGTGATCCTGAGCCTGAGCTGTCTGCTCCCAGTGAGAGGCTAGAAACAGAAACTTCAGCAAGCACACAAAGGGGAACCAAACAAGGTGTTGAGGCCAACACGATGGCAAAGTCTGAAATAACTCTAAGAGGTCAAAACTTTGAGGAAACATCTGAAAAGACAGCAAAAGAAAACGTCCCACCTGTTCAGAAGGAAGCTGCAACACCAAAGGTTGGTGGGAACGTGCCGACTTTCAGTAAACCTGCAGAGGACAACTCTGCTCCTGAAATCTCCAGGCCAAAACCAATTAAAGACGCTAAGAGGGAGAATCCTTCATCTGTTGAAGATTTTCTAAAAAACAGGCCTTCTGTTGAGAGATTAAGCTCCAAACCCCCAACATACCCCTCACTGAGTCCAGCCAGTCTCCGCAAGTTTATGTCCAAAGCAGCTCAAGATTCAGACGAGAATGCAGCAAGTGCCCCTGCCATCTCCGTAGACGATCGTCAGAGTGACAAGTTGGACGAAGATCTTAGCGGAGGCTCAACGCCAACGTCATCCCTCTCCTGTGAAAGCAGCCCCCGGCTCAAACGCAGAGACAGTCTGACACTCATACGGTCTGCAACGCCTGAGGAGTTGGCCTCTGGAGCTCGGCGGAAAATCTTTATCCCTAGGAGCAAGGAAGATATAGACGGGGTGGTGATAGGTGGGCTAGATGGTAAGAAGGACGTGCCCTATATGTCACCAAGCCAGGCTCGCAGAGCAGCACTACTACAGGCTTCCATAGGACAAAAAACCCCACCACTAGAAAGGCGATCTCCACTGCTGAGTCGTAGAAAAACCACCTTGGAGGTACCAAAAGTTGGGGATGAGCCTCCTGCAGGAGAGCCAGACGGTATCAAGGAAGAGGAGAAGCAATCTGGAAAAAAGATAGACCCTCTGAAAGGTAAAGAGTCAATATTTTTTTGTCTCAAGATGTAAAGATGAGTCAGATAAAGAGTTGAATCACCTTGCATGACTAATTAATTTAGTTCAATTTCAAAATCATACTATAGAGAAGTTTGTGTTTACATTGAAGTGATATATTCATCTTTTTGAGGGAAAGATGGAGCAGGAGATCAACAGGTGGATTGGTACTGCCTGTGCAGTAGTGCAGGTGTTGTACCAGTCTGTTGTGGTGAAGAGAGAGCTGAGTCGGAAGACGAAGCTTTCAATCTGCGTTCCTATCCTCATCTTTGGCCAGGAGCTTTGGGTAGCCATCGAAAAAATTAGATCAAGGATACAAGCGGCCGAAATGAGTTTATTCAGAAGGGTGTCGGGGCTCTCCCTTCAAGAGAGAGAACCTTGGTCATCTGGGAGGGTCTCGGAGTAGATCCGCTGCTCCTTCACAGTGATTTGAGATGAGCCAGTTGAGGTGGCTCTGGGATCTGGTTAAGATGGACGCCTCCCTGGGGAGGTTTTAAAGGCACATCCAACCAGGAGGGGGCCTATAGGAAGACCCAACACATGCTGGAGGGACTGTGTTTCTCAGCCGGCCTCGAAACGTTTTGGGATTCTCCCAGAGGAGCTGGCCCATGTGGCTAGGGAGGCGACAGACTGCCCCCCCCCCCCCCCCCAACCTGACTCTAGATAAGCTGGGTAAAATGGATGGGTGAATGGATTCACCTTTTTGAAATGTATTTCTGTGAAATTGCTCAAAAGACTTCCTTTCATCCCCTTATAAGCACTTTCTGTACAGCTTCTGTTAGCGAAAATAGCTTTTACATCCCACACGACTGATTTTTCTGGTTCTCCACACCCATGCCTTTTGGAAAGCTATGACTGAGACAGTAGAAATGTACACATTTTACATAGAAACACACTCTACCCTGTCTACTTACACCTATGTCCCCATCATCATTTTCTAACAGCTCCGCAGGTTATCCGTAAGATCCGGGGAGAGCCATTCCCAGATGCTTCCGGACACCTGAAGCTATGGTGCCAGTTCTTCAACGTGCTCAGTGACTCGACCATTAAGTGGTTTAAAGATGAGAAGGAAATACTAGAGGTGAAAAAAAGGTAACAGTCCCAATGAAACATGAACAATGATGCAGCTAAATGATAATTCAAATGCTTGAAGGTTAAGCCTGAATTAGTTTTTCCTCTGAGGATAGTGCAAGTAGAAGTTCCCACATAAAAACAATAAAGTAGCAAGTATTTATTTGGGTCTCAGAGTACGTCCTCTGTCATTCTCACATTTTCCCTTCAGAGACGACCAGCTCATGTGACTGTGAACCCCACAGCCGTGGCACAGAGAGGTGAATCTCTGGCTAGACACATCAAGTGTAACCTGACACAATATTTTCCCATCTCCAGGGTGCACTAAAAGTCTATATATGTGCTATTTGTTGCTGTGTCAGCGGATCGCTGTCACACAGCATGACTGCCGTTCTCACAGTGACACCTTGTGGCTTGTTGGTGAAATCTGATATCTAGTAGGCTCTCTCTGTTCCTGATTGTGTATGTTCCATTTTTTAGCGGAGGAGATGAAAACCAAGTGGCGCTGGCAGTCGTTCTCGCGTCCAGCCAAGACTGTGGTGTTTACGGCTGCATGATCAATAACGAACATGGAAGTGACACCACTGACTTCTTACTCAGCGAAGACAGTAAAATCCAGATTTGAAGAAAAAAAAATCAAGTTTTATAGTTACAGATTGTATAATTAACATCATATAATTATTTTGTGTTGCAGTTCTGTCTGGCATATTATTGAAAGATGACTTGGAAGGTATTTTATGTTACTTTTGCAAATCAGTAATGTTTAAAAAAAAACTTTTTATGCTAAATTGTTGAGTCTGTTTTCCATCAGTTGGAGAGGAGATAGAGATGACCCCGCTGCTGTTCACCAAAGGCCTGGCTGACAGTGGCACCTGGGGTGAAAAGTACTTTGGTCGCATTTTCACTGAGATGTTGCACATTGGAGAGGGCTGCAATCACAAAACCAGCAGGGTGAAGGTGATCTATGGCCTCGATCCCATCTTTGAGTCTGGAAGCACTTGTATCATCAAGATTCACAACCCCATCGCCTACGGGACCAAACTAGAGAACAACCTTGCAGAGAGAAATATGAGTATTTCAAAACAAGTGAGTGCAATAAAAACTGCCTCTGCTACATCTGAAGGGATTAACTTTGATGCACACTTGGCCTCATAATTGTCTTTTCTTTTGGCAGGAATGCAAAATCCAAAACATGATACGAGAATACTGTAAAATCTTTGCAGCTGAAGCAAGAGTCAATGAGAACTTTGGATTTTCATTAGAGTAGGTAGCGCATATTCTAATGCAACTGTGTAACATAAGAGACACTGTCTGTGCTTAAACCCAGAGACATTGTGTTGCAGAGTGATTCCTCAGTATCTGATTTACCGGCCTGCAAACTCGGTGCCGTACGCCACGGTGGAGGCTGATCTTACAGGTGTTTTTGTTAAGTATTGCTCTGTGGATCCAAAAGGCAAGCTGACATCCCAGAACACCTCAGAGCTGGAGCAGAAATGCAGCACTTTTCAGCACTGGATCCACCAGTGGACGCACGGCAACCTACTGGTTACTCATCTAGAGGGTAAGCCTCACATTTAAGGTTACTTTAGGGAAAATGTGCGAAGTTACACACTTTAGAGATTGGTTGTTTTTTTATTCTTTTGCAGGTGTTGAAACAAAGATTGCAAATGTGAAAGTTGTGACCAAGTCTAAAGGGTTTGTATCTCAGTATCTACGAGCAAAAGATTCAGTTTCTGAGAATAGAACACAAAACCAAAATTGTGTCTTTTGTTTCAGATACCAAGGACTAACCGAAAGTGGCTCGCCTGAAGTATTCGATCAGTTCCTGACGTATCATCAGTGTAACTATTACTGTGGACTTCTTGGCCTGCGCCCACTTAAGACTGCTGATCTGCAGCCGCCCACCAAGATAAAGGGCTCAAAAAGCCCCCTGCTCAACCGCAGGATGAGCTCCAGCAGCCCACAAGCTCAGAGAAAAGGGCACAGCCCTCAGATGTCTAGAAAGAATAATTCTAGTCCAAAGTTAGCCAAAAAAGTTCAAGAGCCAGAGGACAGTAATGCAGGTGACAAACCTAAGCCTGTAGAAACACTTTCTGTTCCTGAGATCAGGTAGGAAATTAAGTTTTTGACTGGTTTCTTCTCATTTTACATGAAAAGATAGCAAAGGGAAAGAATTTGAGCCAAAGTTGTTGATCTGACCTGCCAGAACGTTTAGACAGAGTTGTCGCAGCTTTCAAACGGCTGAGTCTTTTAATGTTTTACCGTGGCCTCAGTGGAAGTAAGATGAAACGGCCCAGGACTCTTGAGTCTTATGGGCTTCATGAGAGGACAAAATAAATCGAAAGACAGATGTCAACTGACATAATCACAAAAGCTGATCTATACCTGACCGCAGCAACAGAATGTTTGTTTTATTAGCATTTTTTGTTTGTTTTAATCAAATCAAATCAATTTTTATTTATAAAGCGCTTTTCATGCAACTACTGCAACTCAAAGCGTTGTACAATATGAAAAACAACCAAACAACAGTCAATTTCCCACCCCAACCCCACAGAACAACATTCAACATCCCTTCTATATCTCCCTCCTCCCACCATCATTCCTATCCCATGCAAATAAACACACACACACACACACACACACACACACACACACACACACACACACACACACACAAAACACTTAAAAGCTAAGATGAATGGACAAATGGCTTGACCACAGATGTATTAGGCAACAAAGAAGTCGGAAAAGGCTCATGACAGACTTTTAGGCTCATAACAGCCTTTACAGCATTTCTTTGCACATCAAAATTATGTTCAGCAGCATTGATTTCAGACTGAAAATGTTTGTGTTGATCTTGTTTCTGGCTTTATTTATGATCTATTTTGACTTTCTATTTATTTCTGTGGGTGTCAGTATGATTAGTCACTTCTTACAGTATTTCCTGGTGAATTGAACTGGCAAAGAAGGAGAAAAAAATGCCAATAATGTCCAAGAGAGTCTGGGAAGCTTGTTTGTGGACTGTAAGGTTATGAAATTGTAAAATAAAATAACCCAAAAAAAAGCTGGCTGAATTTTTTAGAGCCTGTTGATTTCCATTGTGATGTTAAATGTTAATTGATACGGTTTCATGGAAGAAGAACACAGTTTTTGTTTTTCATAGTTGGTAAAAGTTTAACAGAAACAGTTTTTAGTTAAAGTTATGAGACCAATGTGATCAGCTGGTTACTTGTCACACAAGTCCTCAAAAATATTCACTATTAATTAACAGCACAGGTCAAAATACTTGTAAAAATATATTTTTAAAAGAAAATTCCTTGCATTTCCAGAAGTTTTATTAGGAGAATTTGTGATCAATTATAAACAATCATCAAATTAGTCTTTGTGTATTACTGACACAAAACACCATAGGAGGAATTAAACCTCTAAATTCTAATTTAAATATTCTTTAGATTCAAAACGTGATGATGGTGGAAACACGGTAATATTGTTTTTAATGTGTACATAAAGTTAAAGGAAAACATGAGTGGTGAAAAAACAAAATGTTTGTTGAAACCCTGAACATCTGAATGTCAGCTGATTCTTGACAAAAAAATCTAATCCAAGCATAACTTTTATTTTTTTAAATGTGATTTCTCTTTATAGTTCGTAAACTTAAAATTTTCATTTCAGTGGTTTACATTAATCAAAGTGTACTTTTTCATTGTGAGTCATTTACTGGCTTTGAATAAATAAAATTATTAAATAACAATAATAATGCATTTTATTTAAAAGTGCCTTTCAAGGGACACAAGGGCACTTAACAGCAATAAAATAGGAACAAAGAAACCAAGTTAAAAACAGCTAAAATCACACACAGAAGCCTAAAAATACAAACTAGATAACAAAATCAATGAAGATGGAAAAGGTGACACTAGCAGCATGCAGTCTGAAACAGGTGGGTTTTGAGTCTAGATTTAAAGGAGGAGAGCGAGTCAGAGTTACGGATGGCTTGAGGGAGAGAATTCCAGAGACGGGAAGCAGAGCTGCTGAAGGCTCTGTTCCCCATATAGCTGAGACGGAAAGGTGGGACAGAGAGAGTAACAGAGGATTATGATCTGAGGGAAGGGATGGGAGAGATGATGTGAATGAGGTCAGACAAGTATGTGGGAGAAAGGTTATGGATAGCTTTAAATGTGAGGAGAAGGATTTTGAAATCTATGCGTTGTCTAACAGGAAGCCAGTGAAGCTAGGGCTGATATGGTGACTCAAAGGGGTTTTAGAGATGATGTATGCAGCAGAATTCTGGACCAGCTGGAGCTTATGGATGGACTTTTATGGTAAACCAAATAGGAGTGAATTGCAGTAGTCGATTCTTGAGGTGACAAGAGTGGGAACAAGTATGGAAGCAGAGTGGGGGGTGAGAGAGGGGCGAAGGTGATTAATATTGCGCAGGTGAAAGTAGGCAGACCAAGTGATGTTATTGATGTGATTGATCAAACACTATACACGGGAGATCTCATATGCATTTAAAGAAAAAAATATGCATGAGCTACACAAATGTCTAACAGCAGATAGGCCTCATGCAAAAACAAACCAAAGAGAAAATATATTGTTTATATCTTTTAGCAACTTTCTGATACTTTTATGAAGTTTTCACTTGGCCCAATAGATTAAACAGAGCACATCACCTTTTCATTCTATACCAGTTTACTTTAAAATGTATTTTCGCTGGAATAATTGACTTAGAAATACAACTTTTTGGTTGCTCTGTCATTTCCCTCTAGTAGGAAGTCAGAAAAGGACAGAAATCAAGTTTGTCTAGTTGTTAGAGATGTAAAGACTCTGAACCCCCTTGCGTGCAAAATGCACGTACCGCTCATCACAACATACAAACCGGCACATCTGAAAGGCCACAGCAGTCACAACATTTAAAGAAAGACGCGTTGACATTTGGGACTGAACCCCATGGTCCTTCAAACCAGATGGTTCCATTGTAAAAGGTGCTGAAAAGACAAATGAAATCGGTGTGTAAATCCATCAGAAAGAATTTAATTTGATCAATTATAAATGCATACCTTTTAAAAAGGTCTTGACAGCATTTTTGAATGTTTCCATCTGCAGCATCGAAGGCAGAAACATTAAAAAGCTGCACACAGTCAAGTGAAGGAACAAAGAGGAGTCCTGTGAAGCAGAAGAGTGAGTTTATTAAACCACAATTCAAAAGAATGTCTAAAGAGATGCACAACACAAGAACCTTGGGCTTTACCAGCAATGCATGCATTGACTAGAGATACACAAGTCCCGGTGATCATTGCTCTCAGCACCAAAGATGAGATGTCCCCTCTTCTTACAGGACAAATGGCAGCTGTGAGAAAAGACAGGTGATGTTTGGGAATGAAGCAGGACTGGTCTGGGGTAAAAGCAGGAGCAACAGTGTGTTTGTGTGGAAAGTTTCGTCACAATTAATACCTGAACTCATGTAGATAACTTGATCACATTATGGATAATTGACAAGCTAACGGCTAGTCTGAGCAGGACCAGGAGTAAAGTATGACAACATCTTTAAACAGCTAAAACATTTTTAGCAGTTTGTGTTAGGCAATGTTGTGCTAGCAAATAGCTGAAGCAGCTAGTTGTAGCAATTTCAGTGGCAGTTCCAGAAGGAATGTCACAATATTTCTGCCCGAAAAGCTGCGTGAACTGAAACTGGTTGTTTTTAAAACAGCACTCGGATTAAATAACCTGCTGGATTTGTACAGAGTTTAAAGTATACTCACACATGCCTCCGATCACAATTCCCAGTGAGCTAAAATTAGCAAACCCACACAGAGCATAAGTTGTGATTACTTCTGATCGGATCTAAAAAAAAAAAAAGAAAGAAAGAAAGAAAAGGTTATATTTGATTGGTAAATGTTTGTATGTGTCTTCTGGTTTTGTTTGACTACATTCGTCTTACAGAGATCCACTGTCTTTCTCCTCCAATGACTTCATCAAGTCCATTTAGCCTGTTGCTTTTCAGTCCAGACAACTTCTGATAAGCCACAAACTCATTGAGAAAGAGCTTCGTCCCGATAAGCTCAGCCACAGTGAAACTCTCATCGTAGGGTATCCCCATCATGAAGGCCACGGGCATGAACACGTATGAGCAAATTAACTGCAAACATAGAAACAAATACAAATAAGGAGATTCTGTTCAATGCATATCTTAAATTTACTTCTAAAGCACAAATTTGGTGTATTTTTGTTACCTGAAAGGTGATCTCAGGATATCCCACCATACCTCCAAGCCAACTGAAGGCCTGATTTATAAATGCCAAGATGGCAAGAAATGCAATTAAATTAGCAGCGATATTAGCAACCAGACCTATTGATGCCGAGGCCCCACTGCTGGCAGCCTCCAGAATGTTCTGCTCGTCACTAGAAATGTTCAAAGCAACAGTAAATTCAAATGAACAGATTCAAATAAGTTTATGGAAACAAAGTGAAAAGGCATCCACATACCCACAAGCCACTTTGATGTTCTTCTCTGACGTGAAGAGACTTTGTTCTGTTTCTGGGTACGACAGCTTGGAAATGGCCAGAGCACACGGGGCAGCCATCACAGAGGCTGATATCAAGGATGATGCATCAATCTGTAGAAAACAAGTTAAACAATATAATAGACAAAACCAAACTAAGCCCTGCAGAAAATCTTTTCTTCTTATGATATTCTTAAAGAGACAAAGTGTAGTTTTTACCATGAATTTTTGGAAATATCCATCAAGTTGTTAAAAATGAATGAAATGCTGCCCAGTTGTTGAAAAATAATGGTGGCTTCATAACATATAACCATAGTAATCAGGTCTAAAATACATGGGAGCGGGTTTTCATGTTTTTAAATCGGGTCCGTTCGGTGGCCACAAAGAGGGGGCTCGCGGGCCGCCTATTGAGGACCACTGCTCTAAATAGACCCTTAATTATTTATTTGGCATCTTTTAATTTACTTTGTTGTAGCAGAACTGAACATTATGAACCAATAAGAATATTTTCAAAGCCGTTTTGGTGCCTCCCTGCAATTTAACTTTGAATGAGTATTTTTTGTTTTATCTACAAGATGAAACAAACAGTTATTTGTTTACAGCAGGGAGTCATGAACAATATGTTCAGCACAAGAACATTCTTCCTGTTGTGCACAGGCATTATGTACTGTTAGCTGTACTTAAAGTGGTTCTTCTGTTGTCTTATTTTATATAAAAAGAAAATTTAATCTTATAGTTTTGTTTTATAGTAAAAAGCGGCAATGTATTATGTATAAAACCAATAAATCACTTTTGGTAAGCAACTTGGTAATTGGCCATGATTTTAGTTGCTATCAAGTAAACTAAGTTACATTTAAAGGTGTGAAACTGAAAAAAAATTTAATGATTATTTCTGATTATAATTGATTAATGTGAGTTTTTCATGCAGGCTAAACATCAAAATAGTCTCCTACACCTATCTCCTGCATTAGCTTCTAAGAGAAAATAGACAGTGAAAATCTAGGATTTGAAAAGTCTGACAGATCTACGTCGCACTGTCTCTTAACTCATTCACTTCCAGGTGTTTTCCGAACAGAAGACCCTGACTGCCAGTGTTTTTGAGCATTTTTACTGTTCTTTGATAAGTCGCAGAATATTGTGCTCTATGACCATGTAAACACCAAAACTCCCAAAAGAAAGAGTAGCCGCACTTCTTACATCAGGAAGAATCAACTTGGTTACAGCTTTTCCCGTCCTTTCACAATCCGCCGTCGAAGTGTGAGCTGCAGAAGCTTTTTCAGTTTGCGCCTTGCTTTAGACGTAGTAGCTTTCCAAACCAATCTCCTAATTCATGGATTGTTCTTCATGATCACGTGACTTGTGACACACACATGTGAGCCGTGATGTTTACTCTCAAGGTAAGCAAGCTTGTTCCCACGCCCGACCCTTTAGTTGTTAATGGCAGCGAGCAGTTGTATTTAGAACGACGACTTTAGTCATCAATGGCAGTAAATGAGTTAACATTCTTGTTCTTGTTTTTGTGTCTAAGAACAGAGAACGTCCCGACTAGTATAAGCTGACCGCATTAGCAACAACACCACACAAAAGAACTCCTCCAGGCTTGAGTTATTTGTGAAGATAAAACATAAATGTTGCAAGTCAATGGTAGCGTTATGTTGCTGTTATCCAATCTGAGGCAAGATGTCCTCATATCAGGAAATAAGACTCCAAATCCTGCCGTGTTATGCCACTCTCTGCTGCAGCAGACTTGTCTGTGCGGATCAGCAATTCTGGGCTTTATTTTGCCCCGAGTATGGTTTACAAGGCATTCATTCCTACCAGAGATCACTGCAGATGCATTGATTAGACGAGTTTCTTACACCTTTGATGGCTTTTTTGTTTTAAAAACAAAAACAAAGTGAAAACAGCTGGGAAATATTTTAGTCTCACCCCAAATGAGATGAATGCCCCCATGACACTGCCTGCTATGGTGGCAAACCCACCAGTCAGAACAGCGTGGATCTCTGATCTGGTCATGTCCTTCAAATAGGGACGAATCAGCAGAGGCGCTTCAGTCTAACACACACACAGTCACAAACACAACAAGAAACTTTAGGCCTTTCTGTTTGCAGTGTGTGTGTGTGTGTGTGTGTGTGTGTGTGTGTGTGTGTGTGTGTGTGTGTGTGTGTGTGTGTGTGTGTGTGTGTGTGTGTGTGTGTGTGTGTGTTTGAATAATTAAAACTGTTTGAATAAAAATCATTTAAATAAAAGTGACAAACATTCTTATCACGAGTACCTGCCCGACAAATATATTGCCTGCCACACTCAAGGTCTCTGTGGGGGAGGTTCCAATTGTTATCTGCATAAACCATGAGATCTGCGAGACACACATCAACACATGGCTTTGGGTCACCGTGTATCACTGCACACGTACGCAGTTCACACCCAGACCTACCTTCAAAATGAGCCACTGCATTGCACCCAGGAAGTAAAGGACTGACATCACGCTGCTGAAAAACACGACGATGGGCAAAGCCTGATGGGAAAGCAGTCAGCTTGAGTTTGAAACAACAGAACAATCTGAGTCCTTGAAAGTTCTTGGGAACTCACTTGAAAAGCAAAAATGTCAGCAATCAGGTCACCAAAAACAAACGATGACCCTTCTTTGGTGTAGTCCAGGAATATCTGCAGTAGTGAGGAAGAAGTGTTAAACAGAAATAAACGTTTATGATGAATGTGACTTTATCTGTTTATGAATGCAACTGTGGGTGTTTTACAACAGGAACTTGGGTTACAGCCTATAGTAGAGATAGTAGCTACACTTTAAAAAGTGATTTGCATTCTGCTGATCCATCGTGTGGAAGACTAATAAAGATAAAAATTTATGATCTGCTAATAATGATCTTGGGATGTTTGGATTAGAAACAGTGATTAAAATAAATTAAATCTGAATTGGGAGGAATGGATTATTTTTTCATTTTTATTCTGAATTTGTATTTTTTTAGTAAATTATTTATTTATTCATGTTTTGTTGTTCTACATTCAAACTTGGTAACATATTGTGTAAAAGTGGGTCATTTGGGTAATTTTTTATAAACCATACCTGTACTTGTTTTCCAAGCCAGTCAAAAGCAATAAGTCCAGGCTGTGTTCTTATGACAAAAAGGCCAATACAGAATTGTAACCCCAACCCCCAAAACACTGGCCTCCATGATATCTAAAGCATGAAACAGAAGTGTCAAGAGTTTTCCATAAGAAAATGTTTTTACATAGGAGCATTTCAGATAAATCTTACAGCTATTGAACTGATAGTCTCAGCTCACCTGACAACTTGACAGATAATCGCCAAGCAGGTTTCAAAACTGCTGTAATCGGTTTGTGACTCAGTGCTTAACTCACCATTGCCCTGTGTGCTGAGAAGAGGAATAAAAGCATGATAAACATGCACACTCCCCCGAACGAGATAAGCTGCTCGGGACGCTTGCTGGTGTCTATGACGAGCCACAGCACAAACAGGACCACAACTGCTACAATAAAGACCCTGCAGAAGAAACAGAACCGCCTTTAACTGAATAAAATGTACCAAACTGCTATAAACGGAGCCGAAAACATCAAATCCAGTCACCACTTGAGCCATTTCAAGTTGGATTTGAAGCAAATGACCGCAGGTCTGAAACAGCGACTGATGCTTTTTCCTTTGTACTTCTTGACGAGTTCAAACGATTTGGCAGCGACTGCTAAACAAGTAAGGACCACGAGAGCAGTGGCCCTCTGGAAATCCAGGACGCACGCTGCAACGAAGTATGCTACATAACCTGTGGACGAAGCAAAGAAATTAAGATCATTCATCAAATTAATGCTCTGAATTAGGTAATCTGCCTCTAAACAAAAAAACTTTGAGTTTTACCTGCTCCGAGGAGCCCCAGGACAATGTATTTGAGAGTTTTAGAGTGAGCCTTGACATAACTTTCTGTGGCGTTGATCGGTTTGGCGACATAACTGTAATTAGAGGGAATAATATTAAACGTACATTTCTGATAGTTGGAAAATGTCCTGCAGATTAAAATATTTGCTTTTAAATGTTAACAGTTTTTCATGTTTTAGTGTTTGATGCCAAATGCACCATGTTTAAAGGCACACTATGCAACTTTTTCATGTTTTTAAATCTATTTTTTAAGCCAATATGAGCTAAAATGATCCTTTTCAGGGTGAATGAAAAGTCTCCCAGCACCATTCACCCCACTTGTGAGCAGGGTACCCTGTTTACAATTTCAGCCTCTCCAGACCGCTCCCCTGAAGTCTCACAAAGTCAAGCTTTACGGCAATCTATGGTTACACCAAGCCCCCACAATGCGGGACTGAAATTGAGTCCAATGCGGAAGTGAAATAAATTGCAGTTCCACCCTCATCCACTGGGGGCTGGTGTCAGAAACGAGCAAATCCTCATTGACTCCCATGTTAAAAATACCAATTTTACAGCAGAAATAAACATGTTTACAGCCTGGTACCAAAACATGTTTTTGGTTTAAATGATCTAGTTTACACTCATGACAACTCTGAGGGGGGGGTGAATTTTTTTCTCACTCTTCTGTTTAAGTGTATTAAAAGCCTAAAATTCTGTATAATTAATGAGCATCAGACCCACGTGACCGCAGAGCTAGCTCCGGGGAAAGGCCTCAGTAGAGCCTCGGCCTCGCCTGAAAACTGTTCCGTCATTTTCAGTCTCTCAACTTAGACCATTAGTTGTAGCATTTGTGCGTTCTTTTTTTGGATATTATTTGTGTAATTGTTGGACAAAATGACTTGCTGTGGCATTAATTGCACTAATAAAGCATCCAAGGAGTCTCCAGTTCATGTTGGTGGAGCTGTGTTCCGACTATCGGCTTGTGGGGCTCTCGGGAGACCTCTGTGTTCCACCTGGTTTTACCCAGCGGTCAGCCCGGCGTATCTCTGACTCAGAAGCTCTGGTGTTGTGCACAGTTAACTCCGGTTGTAGCTAGGTTGCTACCTCCGTTAGCTTAGCTCCCACTTCCGCATTAGCTTTGGGTCAACTTCAGGTTAGCTTGTAGCTAGTTCGACTGGGTGTCGTCAGTTGATCCCGGCCTTACAGCCCCACCCTCAGCTCCACTTCTCTTCTCTTTTGTGGAATTGTCTGGGCTTGACGGAACCTGTGACACGGTCAAAATGGCGGTGGTGGCCACCTCCCATTTATCTTCAAAAACGTGTAATTGGAGTCTATGGAAACCCATTGTCCAATATTTATATGTCGATGGTTACTCCTCAGAACAGACCTGCTTAGTATTTACAGTAACATGTTTATCATGGTAGAGTTTCAGAATAAATAAATGAAAACATTTATCTGTCAAAGCTAAAAAATAAAAGGAACATCCGACCACAACAGGAGTCAAACAAGAGTAAGCATCGGGGGTTTCTGAATCGTGAGAGCTCAGAGACACAATTCTTCCATGCTTTAGGTAATTAACACAGCTGGTTTGTTGGATTTAGTGATGAACTGCTCCTGTAGAAGCTAATGAAGGCTGAGAAGACACCTCAGCAGTTAGATTAAGGTGTTAAAAACATGAATGCACAGCAAGGAGGAGAGTTTCAGTATCACTTTTACGACAGTGAATAGAGCTCGTGATCACACGAGATTTGCATTCTGGGATGTGCGCAGACATGTTGATGGCCTTACAAGAGTAAATAAACCATGAAAACAAAGTATGTTGCAGACAAGAAGCCAATTTGGGAGAAAGAAAGTGTTAAACATCACGTTAAGGTCCCAAAAATAATGCAGAATATACAAGGATATGTTAAATAGAGAAGTCGGGGACCGGTATGTGGACAAAAGCAGCATTATAGACCGTTTGGCTCTGTACGAAAGACACGATACCGGAACACCGATGACAACTTGTTACTGCCGCAGCTCTGCATAGCGGACATTTTCGGCTATCTTGTTTGTGGTGTGAGCAGATGTAAACATCCTGCTGAGAAGTGGACGTTTTATTTGCTGGTTTTTCTAGTAAAACAATCAAAATTGTCATCCCATATTGTAGCAGCTTATTATGCCTCCAAGCGGGAAAACAGTGAAAAGTTTGTCCATTTTCCCTGGTGATCATGTGTTGTACTCCACAACACAGCAACAATTTACCATGGTTGTGTAATATCACCAATCAGTTGAATAATAGATTAAATTAAGCTGCAAGAATGAGACTGAGCGCGCTGTTTACAGCAGTGGCATGCATCGAGTAAAGAATCGTCAGCAGCAATGACGACTCAGTCACAAGTCCGATTAAAATAGACATTAGGGGATGCTAAACACAAGCCCAAATTGCAAACTCTGCCTCTTTACCAGGTTTAGCACTTTCCACAAAAACCTATTGAATCAGTAAAATCTTTCATATTTTCTGCCCTCTGGTGGAACGTATAAGTATTGCAAGGTAAGGCTTTTTTCTTCTTCAATTACACAATTACATAATAAAATATTATTGATAATGACTTAAGTGTTGTACATAGATAACTTTTTGTATAAAATAAAACTTTTTGACTATTAATTGAATTATTAGATTTTCATAATTAGATTTTTTTATAGATTTGCATTCAGACATCTCAGTGAATACAGAATAAAGATTACCACAAAGCAAGAAACACAAAACAAGGCTAATCAAAAGGTATTGGCTGAAGCATTTGCTTATTGAGAATAAAACAAAACAAACAAACAAACAAAACAAAACACTTTACACCTTAAATAAGTAACTACATCAAAGCAAAAAAATCAAGAGTTTCAGTATTATTATTATTATTATTGCTCTTTTCATTCTTGGTTTACGTATATATATTTTAATACTCTATTTTTAAACATTTTTTTAAACAAGGAAAATGAACTACATTTTTTAAATCACTGTCATAGCTATTCCACAGGTTAACTCCTCTAACAGAAACACATCTCTGCTTTATATTTGTCCTTATCTTATTTTTGTTAAAGAATTTAGTTCCCCTTAAGTCATATTGACTCTCTCTGACTTTGAACAGCTTCTGAGTACTGCGGCAAAGCAAGTTATTTTGTGCTTTATATATTATCTGTGCCATTTTATATTTAACTAAATCATAACATTTCAGGGCATTCAGATTAATAAACAAAATATTAGTTGGTTGCATGTAGTTAGATCGGTTTATAATTCTTATAGCTTTTTTGTAACTTGCAAATAGGAAGAGTATTTGTTTTATATGCATTACCCCATATCTCCAGACAATAAGTCATATATGGAAGCAACAGAGTACAATTAAGTGTGTATAATGATTTCTTGTTCAGGACATGCTTTGTTTTGTAGCAAATAGCAATGGTTTTTGACATTTTTGTTTTCACGTGGTTTATGTGAGACTTCCCACTCAGCTTATCATCAAGTATCACTCCAAGAATTTTATTTTCTTACACGCTTTCAATTTCAGTTCCATTGACCCTGATTTTAGATATGTTTTTCATTTGTCTAGTGCCAAAAATAATCAATTTTGTTTTCTTTATATTTAACGATAACTTATTTATATCAAACCAGTCTTTTAATATATTTAACTCCGTTTCCACTTCAAAATGTTCCGACCAAGTGTGAGCTATGTTTGGTGTTAGAGACAACAAAATCTTGAACACCACAAAGACAACAGCAGCACAAAGAAGTTATACAGCTTTTTAGTTTTACGTAAATATGCTGATTGTCCAGTATAAAGTTTGCATTATGATGCTGCTGCAGATGTTTACTCAGATCTGCTAAACTGTTTGTTTTTTCTCATCCTAAAACAGAAATGACTCCGTCTGACAAACCTGAAATATGATCCCAGTCCTTTTTTAGCCTTTATAGATTGACTTTTGGCACTGTTGCTGTCAGCGGTGTTCTCCTCCTAACAGAATAAAGGATTTTCACAAAAACAAAACAAAATCATGTGACTCATTTTTGTTTGCCAAAAGGAAAAGGTAATAGATACGGAGGTACATACCCCTATTTCAAAAGACTGGTTGTAGATTCCCTCCCCATCGGTCTGGGTTACATTTTTGAGCCGGACTCCGTTTTCTTCCACTGAAAAATAGAATCATTGTTTACTTCTGTTCAACAGCCTGCGGGGGGAAAAAATCAGATGTGTGCAAGTAAGTAGTTCCTCTGTGTAAAAAATGTCAGAATAAGCACACAGAGTTCTCAGGTGTATTAAGAAAAAGGCTGAAATGTCCTCACCGAAGAACAACTAGAGCTAATAGCTTACTTATTATGTGTCCTCCCAAACCCAGTTGTCAAATGCTGAGCTGTAAAATGCAGCACAGGGAAATATACTCTGCCCTCGTAACATCTTATTATTAATTAACAGACTTTTTTGCACCTTTTATTTCTCAGCAAGTTGGACAGGAGGACGGATCAACGTCACACAGCTGAAATTACTGCACACACCTTAAAGGCAGCTCGCGAGAAAACTTTGTTTTGTCGGACTGCTTTAAAGACGAGTGATAAGTCATGAATTTTCTGAGGAACTGAGATGTGACAGCTGAGTAATCATGAAGGAGTTGGTGTGTGGATCGATTCACTCTTCTGTCACAGAGAGAAACTATGACTTTTCTACAACTGCTAAATGCACGTGTGGTGATATGAGTCCTAAAAACAAATGTTATCCTAAAGCAGGAATTATATCAGGTGTGTGGCTGATAAAAAAAAATCCCTGGAATTCATTTTTCCTCTTTAGAAATTTGGTGTGTTCAAAGGTTACTTTTTATACTGTATTTTCTGTTTTGTGGGATTGGCTGCTAAACACACACACAAATGTGCATGCTTTTGCACACACATGCATACACATGCACACACACTCACATACATACACCCACCCACACACACACACAAATGTGCATGCTTTTGCACACACATGCATACACATGCACACACACTCACATACATACACCCACACACACACACACACACACAAATGTACATGCTTTTGCACACACATGCACACACACACACGTACATGTGCGCACACACACTAACACATGCACACACTTGCACACAGATATTACCACAGGCACACACACAAGCTTACACATGCTGTCTCACACACTCACACATATGCTTACACTCACACATGCATACACGCTCGCGCACACACACATACATGCACACTTGCACATGCACACACACATGCACGCATGCATACACACACACACACACACCTGTGGTTCATATTTAGCAAGGACAAGTGGTCTCAAAAGTTTCCATTTTTATTTTAGCAGCACAGCAGGTCAATCCAGGGTTTTTATAGTTTATTTTATTTGTTTTTGTTTTTCTATTTTTGCACTTTAGTTTTTTCATTCTTCTTGTATACATTTACTTTGTCTCTATTTGATCTATTATTATCTTGTTTTTGTTTTATTGCTTTGGTTGTACTGTGCTGGTGTAAAGCACTTTGGGCCTCCGAGAAGGTGGTAGAAGGTGCTTTTGAAAAAAAGAGGATAATGAAGATGATTAAACAAATAAAAAGATGGACTTGTGGGTGCAGAACAAAGAAGCCTCAACACCATCCTGTTACGTGGTCTGTTAAACACGTTGCAGATCAGTCTGTACTTTGGGTTTTGCATAATAATTCAGAACAAGGTTTAATTGCTGGGTTTTTGTCCTACTTGCTGCTCTTCAAATTTCCCATTTATGCTCCATAAATTCAACAATTCTTTCATTATGCAGTTATTCTGAGGTTCATAACATTCCAAGTGGGAACAGTCTGTTTAGCAGGAGAACATGATGAAGAACAATTCATGCTTGAAAGTGCCACTTAGTTGTGTCCTTTAGTGAGCCTTGTGTGTTTGATTATCCATTAGCTTAAATTATTAACCTGATATCAATAATACCAGGATAACATTACATCTAGGTTTAACAACCCTAAACACATTTCACTATGTTTGTTTTTAAATAACAACCACTTTGACCTGTCTTGAATTAAACGCTCTCAAAGAGTGTGATGTGGCTCCTTTAAAATAAGTTGTTTACATAATTGTTTAATGAAAGTATGCCATAAAATATATCAATGCATACATACGATAATTTGAATGTTTGTGAAAGTAAATCATATTTGCGATGAGTATAAAAAATGCAATACATAAACACGGACAAGGTGTAAAAATTATTATTTTAATTTAATAGCTTTAATTTTAGGAATCCAGTTAACTTATAATGATTGACTTTGCTAAAAAATAATCATTGAAACATGTCTAATCAATTTATTTCAGTGCTTTTGTTGCGTTTGAATTAGTTTTCTTTAGTTTTTTGCACGTTTTCCACTCACAACACTCAAGTCAAATCATAATTTCCTCAATACTGTCTTACAGGTTAAACTGTTGTTTCTTTGCCCGAATGATTTCTGAAGTCACAGATAATTAAGACACTTAAAGACAGATAATCTGTTAAACATATATATTTTAAGCACAACCTGTTCAATTTTACCAATCGTCAACGGTAAGTTTGTGTTAAATCAAAAGGTTTGGGCAAGTTCAATTAGACAGACTATTTGCCATATCCACCGTATTTCTGTTGTAATTGAAAATGAAATTTTTAAAAATAACAATATTGTGGAGAAACCCCACAAACAGAAAAGTAATTATCAGAAAAGTTGCTGTATATTCTATGCACATATACCTGTAAAGACTAATTTAAGTTAGCTTAGTTTATATTTAGAAATAAAGAATATTAAACTCAACTCCCGTTCATCATGTAGCACCTGCGGCTGTGTGTTGCAGCATTTTAATGATGAAAACTGTAGTTGGCGTTTTGGCATTACAGGGCCTGTCAGACATTACTGAGGGCATCTAATACCCACCACAGGAGGAGAAAAACCTAGTTGACGTTAGCCGCGATTAGCTTAGGTTAGCTATGTACCCCTAAAACAGCTTGGTGGACTTTTCGCACCCACGGTTAAATGAAAAAATAACTGAAGTATTACACAATTCACAGTATCACCAACTGGTAAGCACTACATGCTTCTGTATTTAAGTAAATAGCCTAATTATTTGTGCGGTAGCATTTTGTTATCTTGTTAGCTTGCTTCTGTGCTAGCTACGCTAACTCGTACTGTGTCGATAGGTTAATTTTTAAATACGCAAATAGCTTGATAGCCTCTTTTTATATTTCTCTTGTTAGTGTTTTACTGTAACGCAAGTTTTTTTCTACAACATATATAACTTATGCAGAAACTATGCTCTTCATGTATATCTTAGCTCAATAGCTAAAGCTAGCACTGGGGACGTGCAACTGCTAAACTAAGTTATTTTGCTAATTGTTTTCTAATGTCTGCAGTTTTTTCAGTGCATTTCAGATGTATCACTATGAAACTGAAATATAAGTAAAACAGGGTTTTGTTTACTTAAGAATTAATGTGTTTTATAGGTTTTTGAGAATGTGCAGCCATGGGTGACATGAAAACCCCAGATTTTGATGATCTTCTGGCAGCCTTTGACATCCCTGATGCCCCTGAACTGGATTCCAAAGAACCCATCCAGGGCAACCATGAGGAGACAGAAAATCAGCTGAAACGCTCAGGAATGTGTTTAGAAGATAGCCTACTAAGTGATCAACCTGTCACCACAACAGATATCCCTCTTGTTAGTGTTATAGTGAAAAACACAAGTCCCCAAGTGTCACTGGAGAGTTTTGATGATGTGCTTCATTCAGGACAGTCATTACAAAATGGGTTCAAGGGACAGGAGGCCTGCACTGACCCCATGGAACCCACCAACATGGGATTTTCTAATTCATTTCATTGTGCTTTGAATGGGGCAAGTTCAAGAGAGGTTCCTGGAAATTCTCCTGTTCAGCAAATGCCAGACAAAACTGCAATATTTTCCCAGTCACCTTCACATTTTAGCCCCGTCTCTAGCCCTGAAGGCATGGGCGCTTTGTGTAGTGAAGGTAAAATAGCTTCAGAGGAAGAGAGAACCTGTTTTCCAGAAGCTCCAGTGGTAGAGGAACCTTTGGTCCTCGACAATCAGAACAAATTGGAACTTTGTGTTTTTGATCATTCTTCCAAGAACACTCGAGAAAGCAGAGCAGAAAATGGTAGAAGTGAGGAGCTCTTGGATTTCTGCATCAGTAATAAAACAGAGAAAACGCCTGAAGTGCACAATGCATTTTCCTCATCAAGTATTAACCTGGATTTTATTGAAACAAACTGCAAATCCAAAAACACATCGGCTCTTCCTTCCTCCTTTTCACCTGCCAAATCTCAAACGCCTAAATTGTCTTCATGTCTTGAGGCCCTTGTTGCTCTAAATGCTAGAAAAGACCCTAGCAATCCAAGAGACTTGCCTGGGATGCAGAATGACTGTATAAAAGCTAGCCAGGTTGTTGCTGTGTCCCCCAGAAGTCCACTTGAAGCAGTAAAACGGTTAATGAAACCCTCTGATAGCCCTGTGAGCATCTGCAGTGATGGCAGCGGTAAAGCATCACCTGCGTTAACATCTGGGTCATCTCCAGCCATACCCAGGGTTAGAATTAAGACTATTAAAACAACATCTGGACAGATCAAGCGCACAGTCACCAGTGTTCTGCCAGACTCGGAAACAGATGACATCCATGCTTATGAGTCCTCGCCATCACAGAGCATGGTTAGTGAGGACTCTTACTGTAACGCTTCCCCTCATCCGCCTCAAATGGTTGACTGTGTCATTGAAACACAAAATAAAAGTAACCCGGTGACCACGGCTTCACCAAAAATTCCACAAACAAAGTCTGAGGAAAAGTTGAGAAGTCCTGCAGCAACATCCGGTCATTCTGTAAAAAGATCTGGCACACATCAGGTGCATAAACCAAAGAAACCATCGCCTACTGCAGGCCACACAGCTAACACAAACCTTCCACAAGCAATGCACCTAGCTAGTCTGAACCTGGTCCCTCACAGTGTTGCTGTCTCAGTTGCTGCACGGCCCACCTCCCATCAACAGAACACACACATGCTTTCCTCTGCAGTGTGCAGCACTGTCCCTTTGGTACATCAAATCAAAACAGCCAATCCACAACCACATTCATTTCTTCTAAACACAGCTGCAGGAACACTAAACAGACTGCTGAACAATGCCAACCCGGTGCCTCTGTACGTGCCCAACTTGAGCCCCCCTCCAGAGAGCAACATCAGCCTACCGCCACACGGGTACTGCTGCCTTGAGTGTGGGGACTCCTTTGGCATTGAGAGGAGTCTTGTCCATCATTACAACAGGAGAAGCGTTCACTTGGAAGTAGGATGCACGCACTGCGCAAAGACCTTGGTTTTCTTCAACAAGTGTGCCTTGTTAGCACACGCGCGGGAGCACAAAAGCAACGGCACAGTCATGCAGTGCACACAGCTCCATTTGAAACCCATATCAGAGGACCAGATGTTTGCACCCATGAGTACTGACCCAGTTTATTCAAGTCCCCACACTTCACCTTTACTCTCACCCAAAAGTGAACCCGTCCTGCCTTTATATCCAGATAATGTCATTCGCCACAGGCTCCGCTGTCTGGAGTGTAACAAGCAGTTAGCAGACTACAAAGCTCTCGCTGGTCACTACCAGAAGTTGTCAGAGAGTGCAGAAGGACTGGTGAGTCAATGTTCAAATATCACTGTGGTTTTATAGTCTACAGAATATAATAAAGGACCCAAAGAAATGTCACATTGGCTGATTTTATAATTGCATTTAAAGACAAATGTAGATAAACAATTATAAATTGAAGAAAATGTGTTTTTTTTTTAGATTTTGGGTAGTCTGAACTTAAAGATGTGGAACACCGAAAGGCCATTTTTAAAATCATATTTCTGATTATAATCAGTCACTGAGTTTTTCATGTAGGCTGAACATGAAAATGGTCTCCTACACATATCTCCTGCTTTAGATTAAGGTGTTAAAGATACGAACCACCAATGAAGAGATAAGTTTTGCTTTTGGTTCTACTAAACAAACATTAGAGGTTGCTAAAAGCAAGCCAAAACTGTCTAGTCTCCCTTTGAAAAGAGATTTACGTCACACTGTCCCTTAACATTCATGGACTCACCCATCATGACACGTGACAGAGAAGGCTGTTGTTGGTTTAGCTTCCAGGAAATTGCAGAGAACATCTCGACGTGTAGAAGCTAACTGTTAGCATTAGCAACTCCACCACACAGCAGAACTCCTTCAGGCTTGTGTTATTTGTTGTGAAAAAACATCAACGTTGCAAAGCAAACAGTCAGTGGTAGAGTTTTGCTTTTATCCATTCAGATGTTCAAATATCTGTAAATAAGGCTCCATATCCTGTCGTCTGAAGCTCGGCTGTGATGTGTTTCATTTCTAGTTCCCAGAAGTGGTGCACCAGTGTTTTTTGCCCCCCAGTACGACTTAAAATGCAATCATTCCTACAAGAGACCATTGCAAATGTATTGATTATTCAGGGTATCCGCGGGTCCTTAAAAAGTCTTAAATTTGCTTTTCCAAATTTAACCCTTTGATGCATGAATTATAAAATCTTCAACCATAGTTTTTTTTTTACATTTTTTTCATTCGTCTTTAGGTGTGAATGAAACAAATTTCATACTTACATATTTTTTGTAACATTTAATTTACAAAGAATTTATTACATGTCCATCTCAGTGGACAGCGTGCAATATGAACATGAAATATGTTGGCTTGACTTACTGAAGTACAAATGGAGGGGCTCACATGCAATAAAATCTTCAACAGCTGTGCTTAATAGCAAAAATAAATACCGTAAATAACAATTTTGAGTACCTGTCCACTGTAGTGACCATTATGCATCAAGGGTTAAGGCCTTAAAAATCCTTGAAAATGACTAATAATCCTTCAATACAGTTTCCAAAGGTCTTAAATTACCAAAGACCCAATAAACAAAATTATTTCATTTCTATAAAATTTTCATGAATTTCTAGTTGGTGTTCAGCATTTTTTGTGTATAATATATACAAAATCGGAACCATACACATTCAGTGGGTTGTCAAAGGGGGCTATTTTTAGATGAGCACATTAGCTGGTTAAGCTAGTGGGAGCTTGTGCCATGGGGAAGCGCAAGTTTAATGGTAACTGGATGGTTAATCCCACGTTCGCGACGTGGTTAGCTCGGTTCCAGGCAATAGCTGGAAATTATAGCTTAAATTTAATTTTAAAAATTGCTTAAATTAGGTCAAAGCGGCCTTAAAAAAGGTCTTAAAAAGTCTTAATTTGGCTCCCTTAAACCTGCAGATACCCTGTTATTGTGTTCTACACCTTTAAGTCAAAAAATTCATCATAAAAGATTATTTCTCTTCTAGTTCAGCAACGACTCAAATGCAAAATTCAAAGCCTGCACATTTTCATGATAGAATAAGATGCAAAGATGAGGTAATTAGTGTTTGTGTTGTCCATTTTGTCTTGTTTATCTGTTTTACCTTTGATCATCCCAACAGATTTGTAAAGTGTGCTCCATGTTGTTACCCAACAAGTGTAGCTTCAGAGCTCATCAGCGCATCCATGCCCACAAGTCTCCTTACTGCTGTCCTGAGTGCGGTGCCCTGAGCCGCTCTGCTGACATACAGAAACATGTCCGGGAAAACTGTCTGCATTATGCCCGCAAGGCTTGGTACAAGTGAGTAAGCAAAATGTCAAAATGTCTCTAAATATACAGAAAAATGTGATATTATAGACATAAATCTCTTTTTTTTTCCCAGATGTCTTCACTGTGATATGGTTTTCAGAACGCTGCAAGGGCAAAAGACTCACATTGAAGAGAAACACTGTGAAGTCTTTTACAAGTGCTCCATCTGCCCAATCGCTTTCAAGACCTCTGACGGCTGTGAAGCACACTCAGAAAGCAAACACAGCTCTAGCAAACAGTCACCACAGTAAGTGTGTGTGTGTGTTGAATCACCCCACGTTCAAAGTGAAGACGCTCTTTGAAGGTTGTTTTAATCGTGTTTCCCATTTTTGTTTTTCTAGGTTAGTCTTTAAATGTTCGTGTGAGGCAATTTTCAAGCAAAAGCAAATATTCTTTCAACATTTCCTTCAAAATGCCAACAAGCGGGTGACCTGTGTATTCAAATGTCCAGAATGCAACTCGGTTTTCCCTCAAAAGCGACTGCTTATGCAGCACTTCAAGGTTAGCCTTGAATGCATTTCTTATGAAGAGATAATTGTTTAAAAATTTAGATTTGCATGAAGAAAATTAACAATAACTGACTATATTATGTATTTATTTATGTCACAATATCATATTCATTTTAAAAATAAAGCTTTTTTGATATTTTTATGCCGAAAAGGGATTTGCTGTTACTAAAGTATTTTTTCCCCCTTATGGTTTTGTTTTGCAGGGTGTGCATGTAGGAAACATGACTGTAGAGTCTGAAAAAGACACTAAAGAAGAAGACCCCTCTGGCTGGTGCTCAGATTCTCATCCTACCCTAAAGCAGAGAAGTCAGGACACTCGTAAACCTGCAGATAGTCCCAGAAAAAAGTCGGAGCAGGACAGCAGACCTCGGGTGAAGCCCAGCGGCTGGACGTGTGGCGAATGTATGCAGTCGTTCTCTGAGCGAGAAGCCTACATTTCCCACATGAAGGTCAACCATGGAAAGGTTGGTGCTCACAAATTTAGTCCTACAATAAAAAGGGGCTTCATACTAAATGTATGTTTCTAACTTTATCTTAAAATAGATGATTAATGTTGCGATGACGATATTATGTGTGATAAATAAAAACTTCACTCATGAACAAAAATAATCCAAAAGAAAAGAAAAAAATGACTAAAAAAATCATAAAAATGAAAAAAGCAAAAGATGTGAGGAAAGGGGAAAAAGAAAAGGGAATCAGTGGATCCCGGAAAAAGCAGAATCAGCAGAACAAAGCTAACTCGGGTGTTTGCTAACCATCTGAATGAAGTACCGTCCGCCTCGGGGGGCGGGCATCTAACCTATGAGGACCCACCTAATTGGCCAAATGGGTGAAGAGCTCTATTTGATTTGTTAAAAAACATCATGCTTCCATTTGAATGACAGAATGCATTATGTGTAGCAAACATTTGAGCTGACCATTCATTGCGATGTTAATCTCTTCTTTGCGATGTGTATATTGCGCGTGCTGATATTAGGATAACGATATCTTTGCGATATATTTTGCAGCCCTATTTTTTATAGAATGAATTTGGTAAATTCAACTATTTTGAATTTATCATTTTCTTTCGTCTTCAGCAGAGGAATAACCTGCTTCTAGATAAACTTAATGACTCTCATCCACATGCTTAGCTGCGTGTTTCCAGTGAGCATGCTCAGTGAGGTTTTCCTCTAAAGATGCATTTAAAAGATTGCAATTTTAGTCACCCGTACAAAGTAAACCACTCCACACTTCAGTTTTACCTTTTCTACATTTTTGTTTGTGACATTTCCATCAACAGTCGGTGAAGAAGTATCCGTGCCGACACTGTGAGCAGTCTTTCATCTCAGCAACCCGCTTGAGAAGACACATCCGCAGCGACCATGATGGGAAAAGGAGAGTTTACACCTGTGGGTAAGTAATGGAAGTCTCGGGAAATAAATGCACCCTTCCACATAACAGTAATGTGTTTTACCTTCTCATATGACAGGTATTGCACGGACACCAAGACAACATTTACAAGTAGTGTGATGCTGAAGAACCATATAAGTCTAATGCATGGTATTAAAAACCCTGATCTTGGTCAAATGCCAAAAACATCCACCCAGGAACACAAAAAAGCTTCACAAGAGGTAAACGTGATGTCATCTTAACCTAAAATCTGCCTCAGGGCTAACATAATAATGCAACAGTTGTTACTCCTCAGTGTTTAAATGTGTGCTTGTGATTTCCAGGAGTATGTATCTGCCACGCTTGCTGCGGACACGCAGACCAACCACCAGGACCACACAGACCCCGGGGCGCCTTCAGCTAAACGTCCAAAATCTCAGTTTCGCTGTTCCAAGTGTGGTTTTCTCACAAGCAGCAGTACAGAGTTCCAGCGGCATATACCTCAGCATAAACAAGATGAAAACACTCCTCAGTGCCTTCACTGTGGCCTGTGTTTTACGTCTGTGTTCTCTCTCAATAGACATCTTTTTATCGTGCACAAAGTCAAAGACGCAGGGGAAGAAGGGAAGGAGGAGGGAGGTGTTGGGAGAAAGGAGCGCGACAGTCGGCCAGTGACATCAGCAGAGGCTGGCGGGATAAGAGACTTTGATCCCTCGCCAGAAAATCCTCACTGCACCGCTACCACAGACTCGCATTTAAAAGTAAACACACTTTCTCAGACAGAAGCAGTCACTCTTCAGCAGTGAGAACCTCATCAGCAGCTTCTTTTGTTTTATTCCTGTTTGTTTTTGTTTTGTTTTGTTTTTTTTCTTGGTTTGAGCCACATTTACGCTTCAGCATCGGGCTGATGCCATCTCTTCCTGTCGTCTCATAAGCCTCGTTGTTTATTACATGGCTCGCTGCTTTGCTGAAAATTTTGACTCATGTTAAGAATATAAAATTTAACTGGCTGTAACAGTCGACTTGCTCATGATGCTATCAGAATAATCACCTGCCTGCATTTATGTCTTCTTTTTACAAACGCTGCCAGTTGTCTCATTTGACTTCCTCTAGGTTCTGTGTGCCATCAGTTCATACACTAAATCATAATATCACTCCGCACACTCGTCCTTTTTGAGTTTAGAGACCGCTAACATGGTGCTTTAGAGGTTAATGTGTTTGGCTGACAGACAAACAGGTCTCTGGTTTGATCCTGCTCTGCAGATGCGTATATGTGGAGTTTGATTGTTCTTTTTTATACCTGAATAGTGTTTTTAAGGTACTCCTGCTACTACAGTCCCAAAAAAAAAAATCTCATGCTATGGGTGATTTGATTATTCAAGGTGCTTGTTTTGGCCCCATTGTGAAATCATGTGGTTGTGTACCCCGACTCCAACCTGGTGACTCCTGAGGTGAAGTCAAGCTCCCACAGCTACAGAGGGTGCAGAACATTAAGGGAAAATATTACATTAACCATCAACACAAGTATAAATCACAAGCAAAAGCTAAAATATGCAACGCTGAAGCATCAATTAGAATTTTTTCCCCTTTTTTTTCATATTATATATATATGGTACAGTACACATGTATGTTTAGACAAATCCATATTTTGGGTAAATAACAGAATTGCCATTTTTCATTTAATTACCCATGTATGTTAATCTTTTCAAATGTTTATATGGTTCATTTTCTCCCTTTTATTCCATCCCAACAGAATGCTCAGGAGTTTGTTAGCTTTGATGGACTGATGTAATACTGAAGTCATGGATTTTCACTATTGCAAGCAATGAGGATGACATTTTTATAAAGGTCTTAATGCAGCAAGTTGCTAATCTGAGTGGTATTCACATGGAGAAGTTTTACAACAGTTATATTGCTCATAGGTTGCATTTTTTTATTAGAAATACATATTCTATTGTGATTTAATCAAGTAAAAGTTGGTATTTTTTAATTTGAACCTAAACAGTCAAAGAAATGTCCTGTGAAGGCAGCAGAACGTTTTGAGAGAAAGCCTGTAGTTAGCTTTTTTTTTAATCCATTTAGCTCATTTTGAAACACTTTTGTCTGAATTAGATTTTATTTCAACTTTGGTATCTTTTTCACATGAGAGTGGAGGAAAATGTGCTGCAGCAGTATTAAAAATACCTCAGATTGCCAGAAATATATTTTTCCAACACACAAATGTCAGTGATGTCAGGGTGGAGGAGTGAGTGCTAATTTTGGTGGCACATGTTTTATTAACATTTGAATACTCAGTGGTTGTAGGGGGGTACATGTCAGAGATCGTGATTGTAAAGGTTTTTGTTTGTTCTTTCCAGAATCTGAATTGTGATGCAGAACCTCTTGTTTTGTGTTCTCCACATGACGGTTCCTACCTCCGTGGTAAATGGCAGCGATTGTTAAATGTCCGAAGAATTTGCAGTTAATCTCAGTGCAATGTTAAAACAAAAACAAACATTTCTATAATTTGTATTCTCCTCCCATGTTATTCAATTTTATAAATTATTTTGGGAATGGCATTAAGGTTTTATGGTCATATTGACTTAAAAAGTAAACTTTTTATGGAAACGCTGTACGAGTCTTGAAATCACCACCTGCAGGTGCTGGAATAAGTCACTGGTTTGTGATTTTTGTAATCGTTTAAAAAAGATATTTGTACTTTTATATGGTGTGCAAGAAGGAATTGGGTGTGTACATAAAAGTAAAACTGATTCACAGCATTTCTTAAGCCATTACATCTGTTCAGCATGCGGTGGCCCATGTGCCTTGCTGTTATGTTTACATACTTACAAATAAACTGGTGCATTTAATTATATATCTACTTGTTTTACTCTTAAATACAAAACATGTTTTTATGAAGCTGCAGATTGACGCATCTTGAATAGGAGCGAGGGCGTCCAATAGCCAGCAACCACAGCAGGATGACTTCAGCTCATTAGAATATTTAGCCCTTCCTAGTTCTGTATAAGAGCAGCTGCCCGTTGTGGGAGAGGAGCAGAGATTTTAATTAACTGTTCAATTAAAAACAAAGCACTATGACTAAGGTCTGCACGGGACGATTTCTGTCTTCTTTCATCCTCCTCTCCTACATCGCCATGACATCTTCAATGATGCTTGATTTGACTGAACTGAGAAATAAAATTTCCAAGCTCAAGGTGAATCCTAGAGGGAGTCTTTGGGCAACAGGTAAGAAATGTAACAGAACTTTCGATTTGTGTTGATGCATCTTTAGCAGCTTACATATGTATACATATTGTCTTTAACAGGACATTTTATGGGCAAGAAAAGTGTTGAGGATAGTTCCTTTTTGGAGTCTGTCATTGATAATGGAAATGGTGCCCCTGAAGTCAGTGGTGTTGTACGTGGAGAGAAAAACCTGCAGAAACTACTCATCCAGATGTTGGACGGTGCCAAAGAAAGAAAAGGCAATAGACACAGAACATGTTGGTAATTATATCATTATTGTTTCCTACTACAAAACATTATTTTTATTTTGTAGAGAGGGAAGAGATCATGGATTTACTGCATTCTATCTGAAAGACATCCTGCTGCAGAAGAAAAATTAAATTCCTCATGAGGAAGGGAAATGACTGAAACTACTTTATGTGATATGAAGCAAATGATAAATTACACAATACTGTTTAATATGTTCCAATTTAACATGTGTTTGCTTTTGTTTTATTTTAAAGAGCAAAACAATAAATAAATAAATAAAAGCTGCAGGTGTCTTGGTAGTGGTGGCGTGATTTTTACATTGTTTTCCAAGGGTGTCAGCGTTTTCTTGACGAGATAAATTCCGTCCAAATAACGTTTTTGGTGAATGATTCTCCAAGCCACTGGATGGCGGTAGGGCAATGCATCGTCAACTGTCAAGAAAAAGAATAGGAAGAGCTTTTTTTCCCCTCTTAGCGCCATCTGCTGGTCGTTGTTAGTACAGCTTCCGGGTGAAAACAGCATTGTGCATTTTGCCGCATATCTGATGATCAAGGGCTTTAGTTATGCCTTTAATAGTTATGTGTGGTTACCCCTGTAGTGGCAAAACACGACGGGCAAACGAACTGAAGGCGCATTTTGAAGAGAAAACTGGGCGAGAAGTTCATATCGTTGGAGACGCAGCCCTGGATGTTGACAGAAACAATGTTTACGCAGGCAAGTTGCTGAGCTAGCTTAGTTAGTTAGCTTCAGGCGTTTTAACCTGTCTTATTTCAGTCCGAGTATTCATTTATGTTTAGAAGCTTATTTGAGATTTATATTATGCTGTAATCTAACATTTCTGGACACTTCGCAGATTCTCAAAAGGAGAAAAATGTCAGAGCATCCCTAAAAGCTGAAGTAGAAAGGTGAGTTTTTCCACATCTACGTTATGAAAGTCTAATTATCTTTTTGGATTAAATGTGTCTCGTGTTTCCAGGAAGGTTAGTAAGGATAACATTGTTATTCTGGACTCATTAAACTACATTAAAGGTAAATCTCAAAGCGACGTGCAAGATTATTTGTTTTAATCAACGCTATTTACAGTATAATTGTTCCACACAGGCTACCGTTACGAACTCTTCTGTCTCATCAAGCATGCACAGACACCACACTGCCTAGTAAGCATGCTAAACAACATAAATAATGCAAAGTATTGTTGTCACAAATCATAAAGAGTATTTTTATGTAATTGAAGGTATATACTTTGACATCAGATGAGGAGAGCTCCTTATGGAACAAAAACAGAGATGCTGCTGAGCAGTACAGCCGGGACACGTGAGTGAGCAGCTCCTCTACTAAATCAGGCTCATATTTCTAAACCCTGCACAACTGAATGTCTTTGTTTTGTTTTCCAGCTTTGACGCTTTAGTTCGGAGATTTGAAGCTCCAGACTCCAGGAACAGATGGGACAGCCCCCTCTTCACTGTGCTCCAAGACGACATGCTCCCACTTGAAGCCATTTCTGATGCACTTTTCAGAAGAAAAGCTCCCCCACCAAACCAGTCCACTCAGAGTGTAAGCTCTTTCATTAAAATCTGTTTTTATTCACACAGCATGTTTTACAAAATCAAAACTCTTCATTTTGACCACCACAGCAACCCTTGTCTTCTGCAAACTTCTTATATGAGTTGGACAAAATCACCCAGGATGTGTTAATGGTACGTCTACTTCCCCTTTGGTAATTTGAGTTAATGCATTTTTAATTTTCTCATCTGCTTCGTCATTTTCTGTTAACAAAGACGTTTCTGATGAGTATTTTTGGTTATGTAATAATAGGAGTGAAATGTGTTTGTAGGCAATTTTTAACGCTCAGAAGACGAGTGTTCCAGGGGATCTCGTCTCAGTTCCAGGAGCTACAGAGAAGATATCCTTTATACTGAAAGTAAATGTGTTTTACAGCAATGGCTTCTTGGAAGGTCTTACCCAGAGAGATCTGTGAATTGATTTTTCTCACAAGTGCAAGCCAAAGGTTTCAGCATCAAAGGCTTTCAGGAATAGAAATGGGTGTTAATGAAAAGGTGTGTAATTAAAGGTACAGCAGGACGGTAAAGGTCACATGTCTGCGCCATGATGGATCGCCTCAGAAGTTAATGGACACTTTGATTTTTTTTTTCTTAGAACTTGTTTGTCCAAGCTGAGCTAAACCTAAAAGCACATAAGGTTCAGTGGCAGGTACATAAATTAGATCTGACATGACATCAGTAGCTTTTGTTGTCTCCCTTTAATGCTGCAACATCCTGACCGAGGCCAATTTTCTCATCAAACTGCTTACTGTCCTTAACCCAGAGCCAAACGTGGAGCTCAGCAGGAGCATCAACATGGCAGAACTCCGCAAACTACGGCGCCAGTTCATCAGTTACACCAAGATGCATCCAACGGAGAAGACGGGGCAAATTGCAAACATGTTTGTTCAGTATTTAAATAAGAGTCTTCATTGAATTTGTTCTTTTGCAAATTAATAAAATAGTTTTTGTATAACTTCCTGTTTCCATCCATTATTGATTATTGATCTTTTATGAAAGTTAGACAGTTTCTGTGTTTCTAGGGTGTGCTGTCACATTTGAAGTTAATTAAAAAACTGAATTATGAGGTATGGCAGCTTCATAAGCATTTGTTCTTGGCTAAGCCAGCATAAACCAGAATATAATGTTGCAGATGGAAACCTAAGAAATGAGTCGGACCAATGAGCAGGTGTCGTGTTTTTGGATCATTACAAGTTCTCAATAAAAAAATCATAATTACTACAATTTTTTTTTACCTCCCTGAGAAAAACATTGTTTATCAGCCATGTCCCATCTTCCTACAGCTGACTGATGAGCCTTGCAGAATGAAATTTAATTTCTCTGATTTATTCTGTATGAAATAGTAGCTGCTAAGTTCACCGGGACAGTTCGGGAGGTGGAGTGGGTTGTCTAATAATCAGAAGGTTGCAGGTTCAATCCCAGCTTCAACCAAAGAATGCTGTTGTTGTGTCCTTGGGCAATGCATTTAACCTGCCTTATCTGCTGATGGTGGTTGGAGGGACTGGTTGCCCCAGCTGTGGCTACACTGTAGCTCATCACTTTATCTGTGTGTGAATGGACGAATGACTGATTGTGTTGTGAAGCACCTTGGGGGGTTGCAGAACCCTAAGAGGGTGCTATACAGGACATAAACCATTTACCATGACAGTCAGTGGCAAAACTCATTAACAGATACATACGGGGACAATAGAGACAACGGACTAAGAACATGTGGTCAGTTTGTCCTCCAGAGCAGCATAACTAAAGGGATGAGCCAGGATAACCAAAGTATTTATCAAAAAGTCTATAAATCTTATAAAACTCTTTATGTTCATTTAACAAAAACAGAAGAAAAGTGCTTTTTTGCATTAGAAAGCCAGATTTTATTTTAAATGATGATTTCTTTCAGCTGATGTTAAAAGAAGTGTAACAGCGTGTTGAGACAAGTCATTTAGAAATGAACTGCATACTCCAGAATTGTAAATATAATGTATTTATTGGACAAAAATGCAAATTTGAACAATTTTACAAGATTAAATCCTCTGACACATCATCTGGAAAATAAAAGCAGAAAAGCAACAAAAACAACAGTTGTTTTAAAGCAAAATAATTTAAAACAGAAGACAAACAGAGGCTGACTTATACAAACAGGCGTTATTTACAGACTTGTCTTTAGGTTGTTATTGTTTACTTTTCTTTAAAGTGGCAGCTGTGCCAAAGGTTCGATCCCAGTGGCTGAAGAAAGGAGCGTAGTTGGTGCTCGGCCTCTGGTGGTGCATGTCGTGAGCTGGTGCGCCACCCAGCAGGCCGAAAGGCACCAGGTGGTTCAGCGTCCATGGCAGGTCGTAGCCTATGTGGTCCTCCACGGACATCCAGAGGCTGAAGACTGTCACGCACCACGCGGACAGCGGATGGCACTTTAAAATGATTGGGTCCAAGTTGCTCCAGAATCCCACCGACATCAGTTCTGGGATGCTGAGCTGCTCTGTGGACCAGGAGAAGGTCACCGTGTACTCATGGTGGACTGCATGAATCCAGCGGTAGAGCTGTGGATGTTTGTGGTGGACGTAGTGCCAAATGAAGTACTGAGTGTCGAAGAGCAGGAGCGTAGCCAGTCCTTCTGTGAGCAGCTGGCACAAAGTGGGGGCGCTCTGTGGCAGTGTCGGTGCTGGCAGCACAAACGTGGCAATTAATGCAGCTGGTAGAACAAAGAAAACATGGTTGTACAAAGCTGTCATGAAGCTTCTGGCCATCATTGCCAGCGTTGGCCGCCTGTCTGGCTGGATCTTGTACTTATGGAATGAAGAGACCTTTTCTCCTAAGAGGTCCATCACAGCGAACGGTAAAGAGAAGATAAAGTAGCTGAAGAAGGCAAGGATGACAGGAAAGAAGGGAGACAAGATAAGGGACAAGTGGTGAATTAGCAAATGGTCCCACAGTGGCTGAAGGAGACGATCCGAAGACCTGGAGCGAGGCGACGGCAGGGAGAGCTCAGTGATGTTCAACATCTTTGTGTCTGCTGGAGGCTGCTGCTGGGGATCAAGGCCCACTTTATATAGAGGATTTCAGCTGAAGGGACTTTGCTCTTGGTCAAGAAAAAACTGCAGCTTTCCTCCCTGCGGGGGTTCAATGCATGCAAAAACATACCGACAAAAGATTAACGACAAACATTCAGCACGTGTAGTGGGCACGACAAAATAATACGATTGAGAGGAGAAGCTTTAACTTCGAGAAATCGATGAAGAAAATCTTTATTTGTTGCAGCAACTTTTAACATAATTATAAAAATATATGTTCTCACTTATCTTGTTACAGGATTTATAACAGATGAACAGATGAAGATGTTGTGTTGATGGATTATAAAATGGTCAGATATCAGTAGTTATAACTGCTGCACTTTAACAGGAAGGACAGTCTTCAGGACGAGTGTGGTGGGATTTGTTGGGGGTGAACTGGAGGATGATGATCAGATTAGGAAAATCACTGAACAAAAACTCACTACATGACCTGCAGCACAGTTTCAGAAGCATGTTTAGTGACAAATTAAATCCACGACAAACCCCCGAACGCCAAAGGTAATCAGAACCACCAACGGCAAGTCTTTTAGACGTGTTCGCTTTAGTTCAACATTCCTTATAGGTCTCATTTCCCCTTGGGGATTATTTAGGTGTAAGAGAATTTAAAAGAGTTTATCCGGTGTTTTCCTGAAAGGACAAAAGGGCAGAACATTCTACTAAATACTCCCAGTAACTCGGCTCCTCCACATCAGATTGGAGGAGTTTAGAACATTCCTACACGCTGAACAACCTGAACTCTGGGGTTCATGTCGGTGAGTTTCCTGAAGTGCGTCTCCTTGCTTTGTGAAAATCGAGCCCTCTTGTTGTTGGATTAAGGTCAGGACTTTTGACTTTGTCATTTTAAAACATTAAAACTGATCCTTTCTTTTGCAGAGTGGCTCGTCTGCACTGCAGCACTGTTTGTTTTAGGACCCGTTTCCATTTAATTCAGTTTGCAGATGCAGGAATTAGTGTCGCTCCTTTTACCTCAGAGTTGTAGATCAGGAATGGAACTTTTAGGTGAAAGAAAGAAAAATCAACACTTCCACTGAAACATGAGCAAGTGCTTTCATTCTGTGGGAAAGTTTGGCATAATATTACACATGTGGGTCAAGGGCAGTTAATTGGGGGTCAGACCGACTCAGACCGGAAACAGCCGGTGAGGGAGGTCACGCTGGTCTTTGTCGAGTCAGACGTGATTTGGCACTTTTTTCTTTTTACAACCCAGAGAAACCACACCAGGGAACAATAATGGTTTTATTTTTCAGCGTTTACCATTTCTGATGATCTTTCCTTGTTTGTCATTGTAAACAAAAATAAATACAACCTTCTTGAGAACCCCCCAAGGCACTTTACAACACAGTCATTTACACACTGTTGGTGATGAGCTACAATGTAGCCACAGCTGCCTTACAAGGCTGCGACACACTGAAAGAGGTGAGGTCGCCGAACACTGGCGCCACCAGGGTCCCTCCCACACCAGCAGGGAAGTTGTCTTGCCCAAGGACACAATGACAGCATCAGACTGAGCAGGAGTCGAAGCTGCAACCTTCCGATTACGGGGTGGGCACTTAACTCCTCTGCCACCGTCTGCCTATAGTAAAATCAGTGCAGGACTAGTTGCAGAAACATGTCACTGAACCATAATACAACCACCACCGTGCTTCACAGACAAGGACATTAGGATCACATTTAAGGTTTTTTTCCCCATTAAACAGAACATTTTACACAAATAGATTGATTTCAACTCAGTGTCATCTATCACGTTTATTTGAAAGAAAACAAAAGTAACATTTAGCTTTAATTTTATTTGTGTGCAGTTATTAAACCTTTATCTAGTTTTGCCATTTAAATAAGAAATCTGTTTTCATGATCTACTTTAATGCTTGTTTGTTTGTTTTTTGACAGTTTTAATATTTTTGTTGTTTCACAAGTTTCTGTTGAATTAATGTATGGTCAGTTTCAGATTTTAGAATAGCTAGATATTAAACACCACATGGAAGGTGTCCTCAAAATGTCTTTTTAACTCTATTTAATTGTTATTGTTGTGTTATGCCTGTAATTGTGGAAGTTTAAATATCTGTCGTCTGCTTAAATTGGTGTGAAACACATTATCACACACACATCAAGTGAGAGCTGCTTTATAAATTGAAGTTTAAATTAAAAGCCTTAAAAGTTTAAGCAACATGTTTGATTGTATTTGAATGATAGTTTTGTAATATTCATGTTCACTGTATCATTTTGTAAACTGGACATGAAGCTAGTATTTAGAGCTTTTTAACCAGTTCATACAACATTTTGTTCTTGATTAGAGCCATGTGATGCGCTTGGTTTGGCTTTAGCTGTAAAACAAGACCTCTGCTTCTTGAGGGTTTACAACACAATGAGCAGAAAGAGACAAAGTAGATCATTAAATTATTTAATGTGCATGATGTCCTAACATTCACACAGAGATCCAAAGAGGATTCATAGTTTAACGGTTCAATCGGTTTATGATAATCAGAATTTCTTTATAATTATTCACAACAGAGCTCCTTCTTCCGAGGGACTTTAAGTGATGCTCTGGCCGGCATTCTCCGTGTAAAGCGAGTTTCAACCTTGATCCAACGCCTTCGCAGTCTGTTTGCAGTGTGCCTTTAGTAAACCATGGTTACTTCTTGTCGCCAGCTGCCTTCCTTGAAACCGTTTTGTTGCTATTGGAATATTTCTGCCGGTCGTTTCTGAAAAGAGACAAATATGCCGACATTAAGCTTCGTCCAACATGGCCACCAGTGGGACATGGGGCACCGCGTACCTGCTCATTTTGGCCTTGTTTCTACACCCCAGCCCTCCCTCCCAGTGGCTGGTACGAGTGCCTCTGGTCATCATGCTCCCACAGCTGACGCATGGCTTTCCATTGTTGTACGGCTGCAAGAGCAAACACAGCGTGGGTTATAATCTAATCTAATCTCTCCCTGTGCTGTTCTCTTCATAAACAGTATGACTGTTACACCTCATCTGTCATTCAGTCTCAAATCCTTACTCCACCTGCTCTTTGGCGCAGAATCCACAAATCATTCTGGTGGCGAGCTCCATGGGGTGGTCCTGATTCTCGTCATGGCAGCCGTCGCAGGGATAAGCCCGACCACAGCAGGGAAACCTGGAAACATTAAAGCTTTTCTTTAAAATTCCAAACTGACACACATGAAAAGAGGAAAGTCACGACGGTACCTCAGCCAGCGGTGGCTCTGTTTGTAGTGCTTGCACGTTCCTTTTTCTGGAAGCGGTTTTCCTTTTTGCACAGCTGGATCTCTGATTGTTTTGTAGTTAACAGAACTTGAACCTGGAGATGATAAATCGTTAACATTTACAATCTTGTTCCGTTTAGGAACAGCAAAAGTAAGAACAGGCTGATTAAGGTCCAGTGTTTTAGGTTTATTAGCCACTCAGCAGCTTTCTGCATAATATGACATAAGTTTGGTTGGAAAGCCAAGTGGGACACTTTCCTTGTTGTAATGATCTAAGACCTTGCTGAGCTCTTTAGAAACAAACATTAAGTGGGCTCTGACCTGATTTGTTAGAAGGGCGAGGCGGGATAAACTGGAATCTCGTGCTCTCAACCAGAATGCTGAGCTTGCTGTGGCACTGTTCACAGTTAAATTCCTTTGTCTGTCCGTAGAACACACGCTGTTGAAGAATAACATAAGATGGAATTTTATAAGTGTTGTGTGAACGATACATGTTCTAGTTTTCTTCTGTAGCTGTTTAAAGTTCAACACCTGCACTGGGACATCCTGGGAACAGCTAAGGCATCCCACGATCAGGTCACAGTCCTGAAGTATGAGGTCAGCGGCCGTAGCGTTGTGGAGGTCCAAGTATCCCAGGACGTCGCTGTAATGGTGGAGCATGCAGGGCCTGAATGCAGCACTTATGCTGGCGTTGCATTTTTCACACTGAGCTGCGCACGTCGTCCTTCCGGAAAGTGTCAAATCTGCAGTCACTTTACACCTGAAAGCACCAAAGAGTCCAGTTTGAGGGTCATGACCTTAAATATGGTGCTTGTTTGTTTTTATTACCTGTGACACTGCAGACAAACTGTAATCTGCTGCGCGACTACAGTGGCCGTGTACTCTCCCAGCCTCAGGCCCAGCAGCTTCACCTCCGTGCCCCTGCGAGGATCACTGATCTTAATGTTCTCAACCAGATGACTCGCCTCCTCTTCCTGCTGACCCTCGTCACAATCCGGACACTCCTCCTGCCCTGAAGTCTCCTCCCTATCTGACCAGACGCCTTCCACGGTTTCATTTTTGTTGCAGGCGTCACCATCTCCCACAGCATCGTCAGAGTTTTCACTCGCCGTCACCTTGAGCTCCTGATACGGAATAAACTGGAGTCCGGCTTTCTCTAAATCAATGTCTTTTTTTAACTGAAAAAGAGGAAAAATTAAGATTTTAAATCTACTTTAATGTAAAATAGTCGTTTATATTTAGACATCCATGACTTTGGTGGCATTTAAATTAAATGCTGAAAAATGTTTCCTTAGATCTTTTCCATCAAGGAGACTATTATGTAACACTAACTGGTGTTTTGGTCATTCAAGTTGGAAAGGAATCAAAAAAACTTCACTGTAAGCTGTTTCTATCCAAGTCATTTTTCCTCTCACCTGTCGAGCTCCTTCAGTAAACAATCTCTCCAAGCTCCGATCCAACCAGCGGAGAAAGGGTCGGAAAAGCAGTTCCAATTTTCCCAGCAGCTGATTGGTGGCGTGTTTAGCTTGAAGCCACTCAATGGATGCTTGTTGTACATGTCTGTGTATCCAAAGAAATACAGAAATGACTGTAAATATTAGTTTATTAATGAAAATAAGAATGTAAATATTCTTACTTTGCCATTAATGGTGGGAGGTCCTGGTCTAACGGTATGTCCAAGGTAAAAATCTAAAACAGTAAGTAGCAACATGATGATTTCCAGAACAAGCATAAACTATGATATTAGAGAAATGTAATAACAAATGAAAAAGTGGTAATTACCTCCAGGGGGTAGTTGTCTGGAAAGCTCACCATTACATCAATTTCTTTCAGATCAAAAGGCTGTAATATAAAAAGTTGAGATGATTTCCCTTTAAAAGCACACAGCCTGTTTGTTTATTCATAAAATTACACCATTACATAAAAATAACCACATTTGTCAAAATGAATCTGAGATAGTCTACCCAGTCTGGATCTGTGGCCTCCACAGTCACCCTGTAATAGGTTACTTTGCCATCACTCCTTTCCTGAATAATGAGCTGGTCTTTGGGGAAGCGTTTCTTCAGCTGCCTGATCTCAGTTTCTCTCAACTGCTTGGCTACATCCTCAGTCACGTTGCAGAGCTTCACCTCCTGGGGGCCACTGGGACGAGACACTTGGGGGAAACTCTGTGCAGCTTTATTGTGATTACCAGCAACAGGCACGTTATCCAGTATCTCCTGTGGGTGCCAGAAGCGACATCTGTCCTCCATGCTGCAGTACCCTGACAGAAAGTAGCGACAGGGGCGGCGGGCGGCTGCTTGGGCAATCCTGGGGTTATGGGAAACCGGCAGTTTGTGCTCCTCATGTTGACCCTGAGAGTCTGATATTGTAGCATCAGACTGGTTCAGTGCCTTGTCAGCTTTAAGCTCTCTTACGTGTAAGAATTTACACTTATTGCCAAAATTGCAACGTCGTCCTTGAGAGAAGAAGCGGCACAGCTGTTGCGTACGAGGAAATGACTGTTTAGCTTCTTCTGCACTCTCTTTCCCATCATTCTCCATTGTTGTTTCCTGCAAAAATAACACAGTCCGTTATATAGAGAGGGGTTTGTTCAGTTTAGCAGCTTAGCAATTAATAAGAAAAATGTTTTAATCTTTGTCTAAGGAGCTTTGAAAGAAAAGCGTCTGGACTTCTTTGAGTTGCTCGAAGACGTTTCACCTCTCATCCGAGAGGCTTCTTCAGTTCTAAGGTCAAATTGTGGAGAGTCCCAGATTCAAACCCAATGGGAGTTTCCCCCCAAAGAGGGAACAAAAGACCCCCTGATGATCTTCTACATAAACACATGAGCCCAGGTGTGAGGGTGGGTGTGGGTCCTATTCAGCCAGAGTTTCGGGTGAGCTCATTGTGAAACCTGGCCCCACCCTATCATGTGAATTCCTGAGGTCAGATGGCCCAGGATATGCGTGGGCGTTGAGGCATCTGGGAAGGGATCTCAAAACTGGATTATAGATGGCAGACAGTTGGTGTCGTAAACCACTGCCTCTGTTCAAAGATGGTTGCTCACAGTGGACATAAATGGCTTCCTTTACTCCTCTTTCAAACCATCTGTCCTCTCTGTCCAAAATGTGAACGTTGGCATCCTCGAAAGAGTGACCTTTGTCCTTCAGATGCAAATGAACTGCTGAGTCCTGTCCCGTGGAGGTGGCTCTTCTATGTTGTGCCATGCGCTTGTGAAGTGGCTGTTTGGTTTCTCCGATGTAGAGGTCTGGGCATTCCTCGCTGCACTGTACAGCACACACCACATTGTTCAGTTTGTGTTTGGGAGTTTTGTCTTTCGGGTGAACCAGTTTCTGTCTGAGGCCCTGTCCACACGTAGCCGGGGATCTGCCAAAACGTAGATATTTTTCTATGTTTTGGCCTCTCATCCACATGAAAACGGAGTTTTTTCACACGAAAACGGATCTTTTTAAAAACTCCGGCCAAAGTGAAGATCTGCGTTTTCTCCGTTTTGGGTGTCTGCGTGTGGACGGACAAAACCGGAGTTTTAAGGTCCGCAACGTCACTTTCCGCGACAAAAAATGCTGACATCAAGTGTGCGACCTGTGTTTACACTAGCCGGCATCATGGAAGCCCTCAGAGCTGCGCTCTGTCACTACCCGATCCATCAATTGTCCAAGCGCTTTCTGCTTGTTTGTTTTTGCAAGCGGAATTACTGCTCCTTGCGGAAGACCACAGACGAAGGACGAGGTTAAGAACGGGGCAAGTACTGCCGCCTACAGGTCTGGCATGTCCTTAACAACGTATTTATCCGGGTACGTGTGGACAGTTTGTTTTTAAAACGAGGTGGTGTGGATGCAAGTTTTTGGAGGGGCGGATATTCGTTTTCAAAAAACCCCGGCTACGTGTGGACTAGGCCTGAGTGTGTTGCTGGGCCTGAAGTACACTGGTATGTTGTGTTTGGAGAAAACCCTCCTGAGTTTCTCTGATACACCGGCTACATAGGGGATGACAAGGTTGTTGCGTCTGTTTTTCTTATCCTCCCTCGCTGGTGTCTGGTCTTCTTTTCTGTGCATCTTTGCTGACTTTATAAACGCCCAATTAGGATAGCCACATGTTTTAAGTGATTCCTTTATATGTATGTGTTCCTTTTTTTTCCCTTCCGGCTTAGAGGGAACATGTTCTGCCCGGTGGTGTAAGGTCTTGATTACTCCAAGTTTGTGTTCCAGAGGGTGATGTGAGTCGAAGAGGAGTTACTGGTCCGTGTGTGTGGGCTTCCGGTACACTTCAACGTTGAGGTTGCCATTTTCTTCAAAGGCAAGCAGTTGTCCTTTATGTTTTCCCTGGTGAACTTGATGTTTTTGTCCACGGCGTTGATGTGCGTAGTGAAGGATTCCACTTCTTGTGTTTTGATTTTGACCCAGGTGTCATCCACATATCTGTACCAGTGGCTGGGTGCTCTCCCTTCAAAAGAGCCAAGAGCCTTTCTTTCTACTTCCTCCATGTAAAGGTTGGCTACAATAGGTGACACGGGGGAGCCCATGGCGCAGCCATGTTTTTGTCTGTAGAAACCTTCGTTGTATTTGAAATATGTAGTGGTGAGGCAGAGGTCTAACAGTGTGCAAATCTGATCGGGTGTGAAGTTGGTCCTGTCCTCCAAGGTGCTGTCTTCTTGTAGTCAGGGGGGGGTCTTTTGTTCCCTCTTCGAGGGGAAACTCCCACTGGGTTTGAATCTGGGACTCTCCACTATTTGAGCTTAGAACTGAAGAAGCCTCTCGGATGAGAAGCGAAACGTCTTCAAGCAACTCAAAGAAGTCCAGACGCTTTTTTTCCTTGATGTGCAGTAGTGGGAAGTATTTCTCAGGTTCTGTTTCCTGTCTTTTTTAATGCCTTTCAGATAAGGTTGTGGATGTTTATTTAAGCCAGACACTTCTCCTTTAGCCTCTACTTCCCTACTTCTGTCCAAGTACTCAGCACAACACAGAGATATAAGGAAATAACAGCAGAAGCTGCCAAAGTCCAAAGCAAAACTTAGTAAAATCCTTCAGAAAGAGGAAGAACTATAAAATAGTCTCCTAAATCCTTTTGGGCAGGGTTCTGTACATTAACAGCGCGGATATTTAGGCATTTAAACGGGTTGATCAACCAGTAAGCCAACCCAGGCAACGTGAGACTAGCAAGGCCAAAGTTAGCACTGCCGCTATTTTCAAATAGGTAAAAATAAGTTGACGTGAATTACCTTGCAGCCCAACGAGGTCAGTGAACGCTGTTTCCCAAGTGAAAAGAATATCCGTTTCAGAGCCTATAAAATGTTAAACTTGGACTTTAACACATAAGCTGAGAAGCTTCGGATAATCGTAAATGTGTAAATTATTAGCCAAGTTTGTTTTTGTTTTATTGTCAAATGCTCAGAACTCCGGTAACTAATATTGATTATCGCCACCTAGCGGCTGGGAAAACCTGAAGACCGTATTAGGGCTTTGTAACCCATATGTTGTTTTCAATTAAATGTATTTATAATTAGTTAAAAATCATTAAAGGTGAAACCGAAACAAAATAAACATCAGAAATTGTTTATGGGTCTTATTTTGTTCTATTCATCTTTTCCTGTGTATCCACAGAAAGACAGATATCAACCAAGCAATTTTGGAAAAACCTTAATTTTCATATTTGAAAAATATAGCAATACCATTGTAGATAAAAATAACCAACGATAAATATCAATGACAGGCAAAATATTCTTTAAACCGCAGTTTTTCCACATGTACATTTAATAGGTGTGGTGAAATATAAAACCTTTTGAAACCCACATGTTACTGAGTTACAGTTGATTATTATTATTTTCAACTCTGATTTGCCCATCTAATGCCTTGATCAGCTTTTAAACAATATTATGTAAGTTTGTAAGTTTATTTGTAAAGCCAACTGGGGCACTTTTGTTGTTGCAGGACCTTAAATCATTTGCTGATCCAGCTGAAAACAAGCAGAGTCTGACATAGGAAAGAGGCTGAACTCGTTGGGATTTAAGATGCTGAGTTTGCTGTGGCAGCGTTTTTATCAAAGCTCCCTTGTGGAAAACAAACCCGAGGTGATGTGAGCGTAAGATTACAACAATGAGAGCACTTCAGAAGTCTTCCAGTCAAGTCACAGGGTCTGGTTACAGCAGATGAGCTCGCATTACATTATTTTAATAAAGAAACTTATTCCTATTGTGTTTATATTATTGAAATACTTCACATTTTTGAATATACACATTAAATATTTTTGTAAAAGAGCTTTTTTTCACTGAATTTAATCACTTTAAATTATTTAAAAATATTTTCTCACAAATAGCTCTACTGTGAAGACGATTTGGCGCCACCTGGTGGCAGCAGAACGTGTTCCTATTGCACCGCAGATTAAATCTGAAGGTTTGACTCTGTATATCACATTCACTTAATGTTTTCAGTCAGTATCTGGAAAATAAACTTGAGTAAAGAACTTTCAGACTTTAGCTAAAAGTCAGTCATCCTATGAATCCCAAACAAAAATTGGGTGATGTTATAAATATTGAAACAGTCACTGATCGTATAAACTATAATAATTGTCTTCGTTGTTTATCTTTTCACAATCTAAGGCAGGTAAAAACATTTTTTACGCAAAGAAGTTTAGAAATCAGAGATCGTTAAATTCTGTCTGGGCCGCCTGAACACGGACTCCTGCTAATAGATGTCTAACGGCGGCCGGTGAGTCCCAGGCGTACTTTGTAAACAACATAATGGAGGTTTGATTCGAAAACCTACTGGGGCGTTTTTCTTGCTGTAGAGCCTTCACTGATCCATTTGGAAGTAATGGAATGACCTCTTTTGTTCGATGGTTGTCTGATCAATATTTCAAATACAAAATTAATAAAAATAAACATTTATTTAAAACATACAGAAAAAAGGAAAGGTGCTAACAATAGATGTTACAATCATTTTGTGCAGTTTTGTCATTTCAGTGAATTTTTATTCTCAACCGTCCGAAAAAAGGAGTTGAAAAAGAAAAAATCAGCACAAGTTGTGAAGATTAAATGCCTTTTTACTAATAATTTGATTATTAAATTACATTTTTAGAACACTTTTTGCATTTCAGATTGCAAATATAACTATTTTCACAGTAAAATGTTTTGAAAATGACCAACTGAAATAATTTATGACAAATAAACAACAGCTTCAATAATCTTTATCTAATTTATTTCAACATATTAAACTAAACTATAACTGTAATGTTATTTTACAGTAATGACATTTAGATTAGATAATAGATTCTCTTGTACTGAACACTTATTAAAATAAGTGAATGTGAGTGATGATGCATGTAAAGAATGTAAGGCAGTATTTTGAAAAGATTAGGGTTTCTTTTCCATTTGAATGTTTACCATGTAGGAAATAATTGTTTGAATTAAATTAGCAAACCAAACAAAAACAACCTGTAAAGACTAAGTGGGAGGCTCCTGCCTATTCTCTGCCTAAGCATCCAGGCAGTCGGTGTGTTTTGGTTGTCCTAAACACCTCTGAGACAGCAGAGATGGATTGGCTGCTGAGACTCGGAGTCTCTTTGCTTGGAGCTGTCCTTCCACAGAGCTGCTCAGAGCAGCCACATCTTTCAGCAGAGTGTTTAAAACTTGAGAAACATCCTCGAGCGTGTGCAGGTCCTCAACAGTATGTAGGCTGTGCATGAGCTGTTTGGTGAGTTTGAAACATTTCTTCTTCAGATCTGACTTTCTCCTTCGTTTCCGCAGAGGTAAAGAGGATTCTGAGCTCACCTTGGTCTCTGAAGAAAGGAGGAAGGAGTTATTATCCTTCCAGTGAAAGGTTAAGCAGATGCTTTCTGTTGTCATACCGTTCATCCCGTTTGCATGCCCCGCATGCTCACTGGAATGTATGACAGCGTAAAGTGTTTCCCAGACGACTGGATCTCTCTCCAAGGCGATCCTCAGCATCTTGGAAGCTTTCTTCTTAGCCCTCTCTGTGTTGTCATCCATCTGGCACATGGGTTTGATGAATGAAAGAGAAACAACCAAATTTAGTGGGTTTTTTTTTAAGCAGCATCACTGATGATAGCGACGTGTTTTAGTGACAGTAACATTTTGAAGAAGAGATATTTGTCTCACCAACCTTGAATTTTGGGAATACAGCGAGCTTGCTGATAGATACAGCTGCAGGACATCCAACCTTTTTGCTTGCTCTACGACATTTTAGGCCACCAAAGTTCTGATCCTCCAGCTGTTCGACGCGAGGTGGAATGGTGTTAAATTCAAACTATTGCTTAGTTTTTGTTTGCATTGGTGTTCACTAGTAAACTCACCTTTTTTTTAACCTTTTCTTCAAAATATTTCCTCTTCTGAGCTACTGCCAGATCCTTCCCTTGGTGGCAGACAAGCCTTTTGGATCCCACAAACATAAATGGGATTCCAGTGAATTTGATGGCCGGCATCCCAGAACCGCCGGCCCATTGCCAATGAACCCGGTTCATCGGTAAGGGCTGCCAATCTGTGAAGCACAATCATCATTCTAATTACTTTACTGATTTTTTAGATTAATATAAAATATCAGTTAAACAAAAACACGGAGTACACAAACTAAGCAGTAATTTTACAAGTTTTCCTAAAAGAAATCAAAAGTTTTTACAACCTAATAAGATTATTTTACGAATCTAAACCATTTTTATGATCAGAGGGAAATGATGCATTTAGTGAACCACACTCAACATGGATTTCGAAGTTAATTCTATGACAAAATTTTACAAAGTACTAATAAAACTGTCCACTCGTCTATCAATAACAGACTAAGGTGTTTGTCTTTTATTACTTTACCTTTGTCGTTATAATGTCGGTCCACTGAGAAAGTGATAAACTTGGTCAGAGACTCATCCTCCAAGCTTCTAATTAAAGCCTCGACTTCCGCTGAGCTTTGAAGTTGGCTCAGATTTTCCATTTCAATATTTTTACGCTAGATAATAAATACAGCGGGTCCACTGAGGTTACTCAGACCATAAACTAAAGAGCTGCCGTCCCGCTGATCCAATCTACTGGCAAACAAAATACCGGATCTGTGGAGGAACAAAACAAAGGAGCGATCCGGAAACCGGAAGTGAGTATACTTCATTTGTTTGTCGCCCTCTAGCGGATGGACGGAGCCAGCAGCTTTTGTAAACAAGAGGACGATCTTCGTTTTCATACGTTTAAATAAAAAATTTTTTTTAATGTAGTTAGGCTCGTAACTCCAACTGTATTGTATATCTTTTCTTCAAAAACTTCACATTTTACTCTTCTTAAAATATTAAGACTGTTGAATTTTAATCATTTTTACGATTTTCAGTTTTTTTAGTTAGGCAGTGTCAGAATAATTGTCAGCACTGTTTAATTTAGAACTACTAAAATTTTTATTGTTTACGAGGTCTTATTAATTTGAAATACCTATTTAAAATCAAGGAAAAAACTCGGACTCATGAGGTTAAATAAGGATGCTTTTTTTCTGAGTTCGGATAGTTTTTAATTCTTCATCTTAATTGTTGAGAATTGTTAAAGTAAGTAGCTCACTGGAAATAAATGCTAATAAATGGTAAAACAATAATAAAAATAAATATAAGTACCGTGTTATACTGAAACCAATACATAATTAACAATGGCATATTTTTTTCTGTTATTCTAAATCAAGTGCAAGTTGATGTACTAGCTTGGGCAAAAAAGCTAATTTTGATTTGCTGAAAAACCTTTTGTTCCACTAATCATCTTTATTCAGTTTAAATGGGCATAAAGTAAAAAAAAATTCCCTTGCACAAAGACACTCTGGCATTGATCACCACAATGAAGAATTCATCATGTGGAGAGGGCGCTTTAAGTTACCAGATAATTGGGGTGTATGAATTATTTGTTCCATCGGTCGTTACTTGATGCCACGCTGGGAAAAAAGCACAAGCAGACACTCACAGAATGAATGGTTCACCAAAGCTGCTCCGTCTGATTGATGCATCGCAGTCCTCAAATAGTGCCTCGGATTTTTGTGAAAGAATGGAGCTTGCACATGACATTGCACCTATCTGGACAAATTATTTGGGCAAAGACTCTGTGCTGCAACCTCTCTGGGACAGCTTGAGGCTAAACTACAAAGACTATGTAAGATCTCCACTTTTCCCCATTGCAGTGACGGTCTCTTCCTATTTCATCTTCTGTGTCCCTTTTCTTGTTTGTGATCTCATGGGGGATAGGTGGCCAGGGGTCCAACAATTCAAGATCCAGCCAAGCTATCGGCCATCAGCCTCTAACTTGCTGCATTGTGCAGGAGTCACTTTGTACAACCATGTGTTTCTTGTGCTCCCAGCATCAGTAGCCCAGTGGCTATGGAGGCCACCTGTGGACCTACCAGACCAGGCTCCCACTCTGCTGGAGCTGATTGTTGGGGTAACAGGAAACATCCTACTTTTTGACTTCCAGTACTTCATTTGGCATCTGCTCCATCACAAGATCCGCTGGCTGTACGTCACCTTCCACGCCATCCACCACAAGTACCACTCTCCCTTTGCTCTTGCCACCCAGTGTCTGGGTGGCTGGGAACTGGTCACAGTGGGGTTTTGGACAACCATGAATCCCCTGATCCTCAGATCACATTTACTCACCACATGGGCTTTCATGGTCATTCATGTGTACGTTTCAGTGGAGGATCACTGTGGCTATGACTTTCCCTGGTCCACATCACGTCTAATACCGTTTGGCATCTATGGAGGACCCAGTAAACACGATGTGCACCACCAGAAACCCAACTCCAACTTTGCACCTCACTTCAGTCACTGGGACAAAATATTTGGCACACATGCTGAATTTAGCTTCTGCAAAACAAATAACTAAAGTGTGTTTGACAGCAGCTCCATAATGTGTTTAACTTACTGACTGTGCTTGAGATTTCTCTTAACTAAATGGAGGCAGGCAACACTAAAGATTTGTAACTCTGTTCTATAAGACTTTGTGAAACATGTTAAATTTGTCAAATTAGCTTGACAATAAATCTTAATTTTAAATGTTGTCATAAGCATTCTAATCAGTGAAGCAGTATTTTGGGATGTTTTACTTACCTTACTCTTAATTTAATCCTGACCTTTTGTACATTATACGGTTGTTCAAGTATTTTAGAATACGCTCAAAACTAATTTTATAACAACAGGAAGCAATTGCCTTTAATATAATTGACAATGTGCTGAGATCACAAACAAGTTTATTTACTCTAGATTTGTTTAATTGCTCTTATGGTCCATCCTAAACCTTACATTTAATTTTTCTACACATTTCCTTATATTGATATTTATTTAGCCTATAACTGATTTGTATATTTTGAGGTTTTGTAACCTGAACAGTAATCTGAGACCAAGATGGCAGTGTTTTATGTATGAATGGGGCAAAATAAATATTTATTTGGCCACTAGATACCATTAAAGCATTGTTTTTTTCCCACTTTATGATGATGATGATGTTGATTATTATTATTAATGATGATTATTAATAATGATATAATAAATATAATTTTTTATTATGTAATAATTGTGTGTGTGTGTGTGTGTGTGTGTGTGTGTGTGTGTGTGTGTGTGTGTGCGCGCGCGCCTGCTCTGTCTTTTCTAATCCCCCATGAGTCATATATACTGAGCCAGGTTGTTAAAGGTTTCTTCCTGTTAAAAGGAAGTTTTCCTCCCCGCTGTTGCTACATGCTTGCTTAGTATCCCTACAACCTGGATAAGCAGAGGAAGACAAACGAATAAATAAAATAAATGCAGCTTGTACAGTAATAGTGGGTTTTGAGCACCAGAAAACTTACAATTCAGTCATTGAAGACGTTATCATTTCAGTATTTATACTTGCTTCTGGGGTGTAATACTCCTTAATTCCAATAGAGAACAGCAGGACACTTGGTAACCGAACAGAACCGGAGTTGCTGTGAGTGTTGCTCTGATGGGGTATGTAGCAGTCCCAGGATTGAAGGAAGGGAAAAGCGATGAGAAAGCCTCGACTGGTGCAGAGATTTTATTTCTGTTCATCTGAAATTACTTCTGTTGATGAGGTCCACCATCAGACCGTGAAAACTGTACAAACGGTTAAATGAACAGTGGTTACAGCGACCCAAAAACAAAACAAAAAATAAAATACAACACATACATCTTAATCGCCGGAGCAGTAAATCATATACCTCGCTCCGCTTTCCCAAGGGCTGCAAATATCAGATCCTGGAATGCTGTGTCACACAACACAGAATCTCCGGGCTGGGCACATACATACATCAGTGCACAGTCAAAGTAAACTCAATATTAATGTCCAAACATTTCTTAAACATGTACTTCCATTTTGATGGTTTGTTTGAGGCAAAGTTCCATCTCCTAGCTCAGCCAGGGCGTGTTTCCTTGCAGAAAGTTTTTCTTTGCCAACACAGCTGTGTTTCATTATGAACTAATGAGCAACTTCTGGTTTCACACAGGATCAGTCAGCTACTGATTAGACAACAGTGCCCCCGGCTGGAAATTCTTCAAAGTGTTTGAAATAAACAAACAACTTACAGCTACAGGGTAACTTATCTCGCCATAGCACCAGTGGTGTAGGTGGCGCTGTGCGGTCGGTCGCCTGAGCAGCTGTTGTGATATGGAGCGTGACCAGTGCAGTTGGCATGTCTAAGTGCTCGTTCTTTAGCAACAGGAACAGCATTCAAATTTCGCTTTGAAGATGGGGCATTGTGGCATTACGTCCTCGAAAACGGTCCTCGTCTTTTTGAACCTGATATTTTGGGTAAGTTTGTGTTTACTTTTGATGTTTTTCTAGTGCGTCACTCAGCGTAGCAACTAGCCGACAGCAGGCGGCTGCTAAACTTAGCATCAGCGACTCTTGTTTTAGCCGGACAGATTATTGTGAGGGACAGCAGAGCACGATTAGGGGAAGTTGTTAAAAATGCTGTGTAGCTGCAGTCACAAATAAGTGTTTTTATAGTTCATCTGTTCGACCACTGTTTTTAAAGTGGTTAGAGTAGACCGGAGTAGAAAATGAATAATACAGCAACGTGTGCACGGTGTGGCCTAAATAGCCGAGCTCGGTTTGTTTACAGTTAGTAAAGGTGATGCACAAAATCAACAAAGCATCATTTACGTTACTCAAGGGTGTGTACACACTCAATTATAACAAACAAAAAAACTTAACAAAGTTAAAAAAAAAAACTTTCAAAACGCATTTAATATTGTTTTCTGTCATAATGTTGCAAAATTATTATTAGGAGAACCTTTAAGTTTCAATTAAGTTTGTGTTAGTTTTCTTTTAATTTTGTAACACTAACTTTTGCCAATAGGTGACCAAAATCGTATCTGTTAAAATTTTTTAACATATATGAACAAGAAAACACTTCATTTTCCGGTCTCCAGCAGACTAACTGGTCAGAGAACCCGTAAACAAATGCATGAAAAGTTTCAAAAAGGAAATTTTATACCCTATGTGAAGTTTTCTATTTGTTAAAAGAGGTTAAGGTTTGCATTAATGTTTCTGTATGAGACAGCTTGCAGTCACTCTGGAAAAAATTCATGCAAAAAGCCCTAGAATGTAGAAATAGTAGTTTCCTGACTTGTTATGGTGCATAATACACCAAATAAAAAACTCAGTTAATATGTCTTCCTCTTATTTATTAAGCAATAGAAACCTGCATAATTGTGAAAAAGAAGTAACACATTTTACAATGCTGCTGCTGGGGAAAAAAACTGCTTTTTTTTTGCAACCAACAGGCTGCTGCTGGTGTCCTGTGCTACGTTGGAGCTTATGTCTTCATTACCTACGATGATTACGACCACTTCTTTGAAGACGTGTACACCCTCGTCCCAGCTGTGATCATCATAGCAGTTGGAGCTCTCCTTTTCATCCTTGGACTGGTTGGATGCTGTGCTACAGTGCGGGAGAGCTACTGTGGACTCACGACGGTCAGCAAAAGAACACTAGGATGGAAAATAATGCATCAGTTTGTCAAATTTTAGTTAGAATCATTTTACTGTTCACATTTGATCATCACAAAAATTCAAGGAAGGTGTGAATAATAGATCTGAAGGAGGTAACTTGAACGGGCCAAAGTGTTTGAGATCTTAAATCTTGAAATTCAATCCGCAGTTTGTCGTCATTCTTCTGCTGGTTTTCATGACCGAAGTGGCGGTGGTGGTTCTTGGATATATTTACAGAGCAAAGGTGAGAAAGTGATATATGTAAGGCGGTGTGTTATTTTTTTCCTTTTGTTTACCTTGTGACAGAACTGATCTTTATGATAACAGCAAGTATGGATATTTTGACAGCTGCAATAATTCCGTGGCAGGTATGTTTATTTGCATTGAGATAGGAAGATTGTTGTGTTTTATCACAAAAAAGAAATTTTATGTGAACTGATGGCTTCTTGTATATTTTTACACCTTTGTTTGCTGTCAGGGTGGAAAAATGTCATCTGAAGCGGTGGCAGCAATATTTGCTCTCGATTTGTTTGACTGTTGCAGGTTGAAGATGATGTTAATAGTTCCATCATGAAAGTTTACCACGAGTACAACGGCACAAACAGCAATGCCCAGAGCCGCGCCATCGACTACGTTCAGAGACAGGTGACCACAATAATCCTCTTTTCTTTGTGTTTGCTGTCAGTTTTAACATTTTCTGTTGTTTCTATTTTCTTTTTTTTAGCTTCAGTGCTGTGGGATGCACAATTATTCAGACTGGCAGCACACCCACTGGTATGAAGAAACTAAAAACAACAGCGTTCCCATCAGCTGTTGCAAATCCAACACTGAAAGCTGCACAGGGTCCCTCACTCATCCTGAAGACCTGTATCAGGAAGTAAAATGTTTATTTTTCTTCCTTTAAGAATAGACATCTCAAAGTTTCATGCCTTCTAATGTTTTTGGTGTGTTTTTAGGGTTGCGAAGCTCTTGTTGTAAAGAAATTAAAGGAGATCATGATGTACGTCATCTGGACAGCTCTGATATTTGCTGCCATCCAGGTATTTTATTCCTATCATAACAGCATTTCAGAGCTTACAAAGCGAGGATATTGTTTATATCAGATGACAGACTTACAGAATTTTTTTATGTATCATTTATTCACTCAGAAGTACCCAGTTAACCACATTTAAATAGATTAAAAGTGTGGAACACTTGTTAATCAATACATTTGCAGTGGTCTCTAGTAGGAATAAATGCCTTGTAAGTCGCACTCTGGGGGGAAAAAAGTGCAGCGGTTTCAGGAACTAGCCAACTGCCATATCAAATTAATAATTCTGTCATATCAAATAAAGTAGGTTAAGATTTAACACAAAGAGAGTGTTTTATTTTAAAAATGCCGTATTGACCCGAATATAGGATGACCCCGATTATAAGACAACCCCCCTTTCTATGACAAATCTTCGAGAAAAGACACAAAAAAAATCACTTTTTAAATGAACAGTTTTTATTGAAAATTTGAGAACAAATATTGAGCAAAAATACTGTTTTAATGCAAACTATCAGAACTTTGCTGACATGTGAAATCAAAAATCAAATGAGGCTTTTATTCAGGCGCCCTCGCTGTACTCACTCACTCTCATTCTCACTCATGCTGCTGCGGTCCCAGTGTACCATCAGATTGCTACACCTGCAGACTCCTCCCAGAATGTCATCCTCACTGCCATCCAGTGCATCCATGCATGTAATGTTTGACGCCTCTGCTGAATTGACCACTGTCATCTTAAAATTCGCATAACTCTGCGTGTTGCCCCACTTTCGGTACTCTGCTCCGGCCCTCTCCTCTCCGTTCTTTTTCTCCTGTTGAGAACACATAGCATGGCGCCCTCTGCTGTTATGGGCCCACATTTTTAAATGATTTTCAATGAAAAAACCTCGTCTTATATTCTGGTCAATACGGTATTAGTTTCTTGAGTTCTCAGTCAGCAATCTTTTTATTTTATAATAAAATGCATTATATGCTAATGTTTATTTTATTTGTGTCCAGAGAGAAACGGAGACAAAGACGCGTCGCTTGCACACACACACACACACACACACACACACACACACACACACACTTACACACACACACACACACACACCTTAATGGTTGTTTCACATTTCTTTTCCATCATGGTGGTGAAATGGGATCGGCCCGGTAGGTAGTTGTGGTATCTTAGGTTTAGCTGCTTGATCCTCTTTTTGAAACCTTGATCGCTCAGCATGGATCGTGACCAACATGCTCACAATGGCCTTGGTTAGGACGTCAGCTTGCTGAGGCATGCACGTAACAAACTCATCCATTGAAAGGAGCACTTTTATAACACTGTAACGTAGCAGGAAGACCTAAATCATTAGCGTTTGTAATTACAGCAAAAATACGTGACATACAAACGTGTTCTAAAGGTAATAAAATCTCCACTGCTACTGGTGTTGCTACAGCTATGTTAGCAGCTAACAAGAGGTAAACTTACCGAGGCGACTCTGTTCTCTGCCATGACGTGCTTCCTTTTAAGGTGCTCGTGCATCACCGATGTGCTCCCGTGAAAGGAGAGTTTCACTTTGCAGAGTTTGTATCTACGGGCCTTTCTTTTGTCTTTGTATAATGCTCCCAAACTTTTGAGCTATGTTGCTGACTTGCCGTGTTTTCTTTCTCCGGTGATGAAGGCTGATCTAGATGGCCTCTACTGCGTATTCGCCTCGGAGCTAAAGCGGCGGCTGAGCAGAGAGACAGGAAGCAACTGCCGAACGTGCTGCAGCAGGCCACATAAAACAAATGTTTATAACGACGTATTGACTATTAAATTAAAAGTCGGCTTATATTATTTGTCAACGTCGTCGTGACGAGTCAACTAATCGTGACAGCCCTAATCTAGATGGGTGAGTCTATGAATGTTCAGTGACGGTGTGACGTAGATCTGTCAGGCTTTTCAAATCCAGGAGCTTCATCGTCTATTTTCTATCAGAATCTGATGCAGGAGACAGGTGTAGGAGACTATTTTCATGTTCAGCCTGCATGAGTGACCGTTCATTATTAGAATTAGTAATTAAATGTTTTCTCAGTGTTCCACACCTTTAATCTTTTTTGTTTTTTAAACAAATATCTGTTTGAAACAGTTCATTTAGGGAATTTTGATTGCAGTCCACTATTTTACCATTAGAGGTTCCTACAAACTCTTCGCTGAACCTTTTAAAGTTTGATCGATCAGGAATTTGTGTTTTATTTATTACTGAGGTCATAAAAGATGCATACATCTAATCTAAGAAGCCCCGATAATTACTGAGGAGTTTTAAGTGATGTGTAAATCTAAAATTGCATTTTTCTCCTCCAGATTTTGGGAATACTTTGTGCGTGTGTTGTGCTGTGCCGCAGAAGCAGAGATCCTGCTTACGAGCTTCTCATTACTGGCGGCACCCCTGCGTAAAAGAAAACCTCATCCTCCAAGATTTTGTGCAATTGTTCAGAGCATGAAGAAACCAGTCTCATCTGATGGGCTCAGCACACTAATCACAGTAAACATGTTTATTTAAAAAAACATTCTGCTCTACGGTTCTGAAATGTAATTCTCACCATATTCAAACTTTATTTATATAAACTGATTAATTTCCTCACAGTAGTCGTCATCAGGATGTTTATGAACCATTTGTTTTATTTAAAATCTGTGAAGTACTTGAATTGGAAAGTGATATAACCTCTGCTACAATTATTTAGATATAGCTGCTGTTCTGGTGGCAGAAGTCTCGGTCTATCACACAGCATTATTTAAGTGTGCATGTGCAAACTGAACTGGGCTTGGCTCATTTGTTGTTTAGTTTTGGATGGAAACAGTCACTGATAAGTTAGAAGTTGTTATCTATTATCTCAGAAGACTTTTATTATTATCTTGCTGCTTTTTTGTTTCCATCTCAAAAGTCTACTGAGTTAATTATTGGAATGTGGTTTGTGTAAATGTAGCAGAAGTAATACTTGAGAATTGAAATATAAAGTGTCTGAAATAAAGGTTGGGAATAAAGATTAACACCTGTTTTCTGGTTGATTTGATTGCTTGTGTGACAGTTTTTTTTTATTTCTCACTTAAGAGAAAGGAAATGATCTCTGTCTGGCCCCAAAACAAGTTCTTATCTGAATCTGGTGCCCTTGAGCCTGTGAGGGTGAAGTGATTACTCCCCCTCAGAAGAAATGTGGAATGCTGCAGTCGCCATGGCAACTCTGTCTCCCTATCCCAGCCTGGTCGGGACTGCGACTGGTGAAGGCTGTTGAATCTTTTCCAGGAGTCACTGTGCTTTCTAAACCCGACTACCTCCCTCCCCTGTCCAAACGGAGGTGACGAGCGCTGCTTATCGTGGCTGCATGCACTGATGTGTGGAGTCCCCAGTCCCACCTCCCCACCCAGTGGAGACATGTGTGATGTCTGAAGTCTTGCATTTCTGTCTGAGGTGTTTTTTTGCATAGCAAAGCTGCCATCCCTGTGGAGGGTAACTCTGAAGTGCCTTTTTTCCTCCACCTGACTCAATCAGGGGCGACAGTGGCACAGAAGTTAAGCGCTCGCCCAGTAATCGGAAGGTTGCAGGTTTGAGCCCTGTTCAGTCTGTTGCTGTCGTCGTGTCCTTGGGCAAGACACTTAACCCACGTTGCCTGCTGGTAGTGGTCGGAGGGACCGGTGGCGCCAGTGCTCGGCAGCCTCGCCTCTGTCAGTGCGCCCCAGGGCAGCTGTGGCTACGTTGTAGCTCATCCCCACTAGTGTGTGAATGTGTGTGTGAGGGGGTGAATGGCTGTGTTGTAAAGTGCCTTGAGGGGTTCCAGGACTCTAGAAGGCACTTTATCAAATACAGGCCATTTTAAATCTTCATATATAAACCCTCTGGTCTCTGTTAAGGTAGCGCGACTCGGGTTGCGAATGACCACAGTCACCAATTCTTGTCATGTGTCATGCCTATGTATGTATGTGTGTCTGATCTCAGAATTGTGTGTACTGAAACACTAATTTCCCTCTGGGATTAATAAAGTATCTTTGAATTGAATTATCAGGTCAGATTATTTAAATGTCAAAAAAAAAAAGTCCATGCAATGTTTGTGAGCTGGAACTCGCTCTAAACCCATATGTATATTTGATTTCTTGGCAACCTTTGTGAACGTTTGACAGGAAATGACCAGTGTGGTTATAGTGTAGCACCCAATGCCATTCGCCCCCCTGCAGGGTAACCAGACACCAAATTCAACCATGCATCAGCTGCATGACCTAAGAATAAGGTCTGATGCATTCTTCTTATATTCCACTTTCTAAATATCTTTTGCTGCAGCAGACCAGTCATAATAATAAATAATCAAACTTTTCTTTTGCATACTAATAAGAATTTTTCATTCTGTACAAAGTTGTAAAACCACTTCATAAGCATTTCAGAAAACAAACAGTAGCACAACTTATCTGCAAATTATGTTGAGTTTTTTAATACAAACCATAAAATATACAAAATAAAGCTTAAATACATTTTAGTGCAATAATCGTGTTCAGGAGGTTAATAAATCTTCTAGAAGTTTGAGGAATGTTGATAAATGGAATATTGCCATATCCTCATCACAGGGGCTTCAGTTTATAAATGATTCCTAAATTGAGGTGACAAGATTTATATAACTTAAATGTGTGGAAATGGGAGTTATCCTTGCAAGAAGGCTAACTTATTCTTGGACGAGATAAGAACCAGGAACCAATCCAGAAATGCCGTTTCGTTCTACCATCCACCAGCCATCCTCGCCCTTTTCCTTAACAACCACAACATCACCAACACATATAGAGAGCTCATCTTCTCCCTAACCGGGGACACAAAACAGCCATGTCAATGACGTTTCTTACCAAACATGAAGCATGTTAGGTCTGAAAAGATCTAATCTGTGTGAAGAATCATACCTGAGCTATGTAGTCGTACAGGGCTTTGTACTCATCACTGCTGGCCTGGGTCACCTGTAGTCCAGGAATGGATGCGTAAACGCCTTCTGAGGTTTGTGCTGAGGACACAATTCGATATAGAACAATAGATCACACATCAGTCTTTTTGTGAAACAAGCATTTTTAGGCCCGAGCAGCGAAAGCGCTGCGAAGGTCTGTATTGTATCTGCTCTGTTTATTTTTCTTCCGCCAAGTAAACTGGCTTTGTGGAGGCCGTAACATAAGCGAAAACTCAGGAATTTTTGCACACCTGTCAGGCATGGTGTAAAATTTTGTATTTTAAAGGTCCCCCAAAAAATCGCAATAAAACTAGCTCCACAGCGCCCCCTAGAATGTGAAAAATACCCCCCTCCATAAAGCTTAGTTTATCGTACAGTTATGAAATTTTGTACATTTGTAGTACTCAGCAGTCCGCACAGAAAAGCCTCTTGCAACCATGGTCAACATCAAACAGGAAGTCGGCCATTTTGGTTTGAAGTGGTGATTTTGACCCCGTTTTGGCAGTTTCTAGAGTCCGCTTCTGATTGATTTACTTGATCATTTTTCGCACGATCGTCTCAAAAGTTGTGGGAAATTGCTCAGAAGGGATGGGCGATCAAATAGAAAAAATAAAACTGACTTTTCGTATATGCTGAGGGGTGTGGCCAGGCCTCGAATTTCGACTACTCGCCAAAAAAATATAAATGGCTATAACTTCATACTCGAATAGAGTAGAGTTACAAAAATTTCTGTGGTCTGCACTATATTTGAATTTAAATCTGCCATCGCTATCGGCTAAGAGGTACCCTATGATGTTAGCTGGTACCATATGATGTCATAATGCTGGTTTGAGCCTCTGTGTGTGTGTGTACATTTGTTAGCAGCACCTCCCTCTCGGTCTGCCAGGCAACTCCTCCATGTGGCACATTTTTCAAACAGGAAATGGGAGTGGAGTTAGACTCTGGTAGGGAGTGACTTGCTCTTTAATATCACTTGGCATCTAACTGACCTGGAACTTCTAATCATAAAGCCAATGTGTGTGTGTATGTAAGAGGAGGAAAAGTGCTATCCTGACAATATTTAAACACTAAAGAGTAAAAAAAAAAAGCAACAAATAGTCCAAGAAAACTTTGAAAGACACTAAAAGTTTAGAAACGATTGATTCAAGACTACTAACAAAAGATTCCAACAAAGTACTGTCTGGGACATTTGACTAGTACTTTGTCTACTCGCTAAATACTTTTTGACTAACACCATTTATAATGGTTTTCTGTTCAGGAGTTGTAAGCTAATCACAAAATATGTGAATGCAAATTTAAATCGTATTGAATATAAAAGTCTGTTAGCTCAGATTTGCATATTTATTATGAACTTCATCTTTTGGTTCTGTAACGTGATGTTGCTACACCTTTTTTTTGTCAGAGATTACAATCTTGTAGGTGTCTGGGTCCAAATCTGCAGTGTAACTTGAATAAATTTGGTACCTAACCTGCAGGTTGTGCAACAGGCTCATTGATGTTGAGTTTGGAGCCAAAGGTATTACTTCCTGTCAGGAGACTTGAAAACCTAATGGTTAAAACACATGATCAATGAGTGAAAAATGTAAAAACAAAAATCAAGTAAATTTTCTATAATGTTTGTGAACCTTTTCTTGACTCCTTCTATAAATCCAGCGCTGCCGTTTGAGTCTGCTGCATCGTTATCATAGTAATTCTGGTATTCAATTGGAGCTGTGAGGGGATAAAAAAAAAGTTATGCCTCCACAGCTGCGTGATAACAATTAAATTATCTCTCGACATGGAACATATTCAAATCACCAGAGGAAAGTTGCAGGTGATGCATACCTGGGGGGGTTGAACTAGTCTTCCTGCCCTCCACAAAGTGGTTGTTGTCTGTGATGATGTCACAGCTTTCAAGCGTTGTCCTCACGCTCTCGTAACACTGAGGGACCAGTTTGACCAGAGGAAATATGGCTGCTGATGACTGTTTCATTACATCTGTAGGAAAATGAGGCACGCCTACCTCGTCGTCTTTCACACACTGCATGGATAAGTGGTTGCAGTGCACCCACAACGCATTCCTAATGACGCTGATACGATCCACTTCTTGCTGCTGGAACATCTGCAGAACATTTCAGAGGGAAGAATGTAAAATCCTGCTGAAGACAAAGCAAATCTGAAACATGATGATGCCGTCAGCATAGTGCTCAACTTGCGTGCTTTAGTATTCATGATAACACCTGTCTGTCTTCCTTTCAGCTTTGTTCTGCTGTCTCATGTTCTGTGAAATGCCACAGACAGCTGACCTCACCGTGGAGGGCAGTTGGTTGTCTGCAGCAGATCTGTTGACGCTATCGCGTTGAGGAAGAATGTAATTCACAGAAAAGTCTTTGTTGAATTTAGTGGGGAAGTATCACCTGTCCTGGCTGACAGAGCTTATTTTCGCTCAGGGTTGAACTTTTCTCAAATTTTTTAAAAAGTTCATTTTATGCGAACGCCTCCTGTTCCCTTACCTCACATGCATCTATGTGTGTCAATTCCCACTCCTGACGAAGCGTGTCCAGCTGCTCGATGTTCGACTTGTACTGTTTATCTGAACAATGCAAAGACCAAATGCATCTATGTGAGGAAGGCACAACGACAAAGCTTTGTAATCTGGGTATCAAGCTATTTTTAAAGTAACCAAAAAGGAGAAGTTAATGTGGGCTCTATTAAAAAAAAGTTGATGTTTCTGGTAAGCCGCAGCAGCTTCCTAGAAAAGACTTTCAGCATGAATGCAGAGGGTCTCACTTCTTTGATGCATTTCTCCTTACCAGCCTCAACTGCAGCTTCTCTGCACTGCTTAGTTTTGTTGTTTATCTAAAAACACAACAGAGAAAAACAAAATGACACACAAAGTACATCTATGTTCACTAAAGTGCAACATAAGTCTTTGCCACTCTTCTTGTGCAGTTTTGATTCAGTGGAAATGAAAACTTTATTCACAGGAGTGTTTATTAATGCTCTGGTAGGACAAACAACAAAGTTGTTTTATTATACTTACTTATTTATGATTTTCCTTCTTATTTGAAAGCCTTGTTATTTCCTGTAATCCCTGAGCATCAAACTTAATCTAATGATCATCTGTCATCTGTTATTCCCCAGTATAAAAAATAAGTGGGGAGACTTGCCTTTTGTGTCAAAGCCCTCTGACTGGATTAACCCTCTCACTGCCCTAATGGGTGACCCCGCGAGGAAAGTTGACCATTGAGCAGGATTGATGGTTAATCTCTTGAGGTCCATGTGGCAGGGATGAGGTGGTGCTCACTCCTCACCCCTGCCACATGGACCCAAGGGATAAACCATCAACCCTGCTCAATGGTCAACTTTCCTCGCAGGGTCACCCATTAGGGCAGCGGGAGGGTTGTTACCTTCAATCTTGGGGTCCATTTATTCAATTCATCTATTTAGAAATTGTCTTTACGAGCATTTATTGCCTATTTGTGATTGTTTTGCTGTCACTGCCTAACTTAGACATGTCTGCATGTGTATACTGAGTTTACTTATATTATTATGCATTCTAAAGCTATTATTAAAGCTATTATTTTTGGTGAGCCACAGCTTAGCAGGACTTCGTGTGTGTGTGTGTGTGTGTGTGTGTGTGTGTGTGTTTTGTTTGATTTAGTGACTGTGTTGTGATTATGTAAATGACTCTGCTGTCTTATTTGCTATTTTGTTGTATGTTCTGAGGACCCGCTCAAAACTGAGATAACACATGTCAAGCGGTTTCTATCCTCATAAAGTATAAGTTAAATAAATAAATAATTATATCAGTAGAACTGTGTTGTGGATCTGTTACAAAATTTAATTAGCTTTTTAGATTAATCCTTACACATGCACTGTGTTAATATGCAAATATTCTCTCATCAGTTCTTCTCCCTTGCTTATGGAACACTTTGCAGTAAAAAAAACTAACAAACATTATTTGTATAGTTTCTATGCAATAAAGAGAAGTACATTTGAATTATTTAGTGAATAACTCTGCATCAAGACACAAAAATGCATAGAGGTTTAGATATTTCACCGTAACGGAAATTTGGAACCTTTGCTTTGATCTCTTTGGAAATTTCATTGGTCATTTTGGCTGTTTGTCGCTGCTTGGCAGTACAACAACCAGAGCAAGGCAATCATAGAAAGCAAAATGAGTTATTTTATTAAGAAGGTCAGCTAACACTTTACAATGAGTGTCCCTTTATTATCGTTATTAACTATTAAGTGTTCTTTGGACAACGGGCGGGGGGGGGGGGGTGTTTGCTAAGTAATGCATTACATAATATGGTTAAGCAGTTGTTAATACTTTATTTAATAGTCTATTAATGCTTAATAATGCAGTAAGTAATGCTAATAAAGGGACCCTTATTAAAAAGTGTTACCAAAGGCCCTTTAAAATAGTCTTGGATGTGTAGTAAGGTACTTCCTTTGGTTTGGGTTTAATTTAGTCTTATTTGTATTGTTTATGTTCTATTTCATAGGGGCGTTGCCCTTTAAAGGGATATAATGTAAAGGTATCCAGAATGTTCCAAAATTACCCTTTACATGGTCAATGAAATGTCACTCAGACCCCCACCGCTCTCTGTGGCCAGAATACTGCACTTGCAACTTCAGAGTGCCAGTTCGGTCATTGTTGGACTTTGTAAAAGTGGATCTGACATGCCTGGTGCAGTGGCGCTGGAGTCTGTTTTAAGCACATTTCCTGCATGTTTTAGATCGTGAACACAGCTTTGTTTGATTTAGTGATGAACCGCTCCTGTAGAAACTAACGAAGGCCGACGCTGGTTTCACACTGGAAGCATCAGCGGCACAAAAAGGCAGCGGAACGGTTTACTCGCGAACTTCAAAGAGGTCCTTTTCACACCGAGTCTTGGCAGCGGCACAGCTTCCTCACTGTGCTCTTTGCTGGACTTGCAAGATCACACGATCCCTTGAGACTTCAGGTCATGGTTTGTTTATGCAATCCGCTATTAAACCAAAGAATGAAATCACATTTGATATCATTGTTTGATGTCATATATGATGCTGTTCCTCTCCACTGTCAGGATTAAAGCAATGAAAAACACACCGTTGCACTTGTGGAAAGATGCTGTGAGTAAATAAGCCGTTGGGTCACACGTAAGCTTCACATATATGAAAGAGCATCGCTGTAGTACTTTTATTTAGAAATTTACCGGTGATGATACACTAAAACCGTGTGTGACTTCCTGTCTAGCCCTATGTTAACTTTAGAAATTGACGCATTCTAGAAGCGACACGCAGCAAAAATAGAACCCGAGCCCGTCTTTAGTGAAGCGGCGTGCCACTTCTGGGACATGCCTGGAAATTGCCGCGTCGCTGCTGGTTTGAAACATTCCTATAATGGATTCAATTTGAAGCAGTGACGTTCCGCTGCCGTTCCGCCCTGCTGATGCTTTCAGTGTGAAACCGGGATGAGGAGACATTTCAGCAGTTAGATTAAGATGATATAAAGTTTCACTTTTTTTAACCTAACGGACACTAGAGGGTGCTAAAAGCAAGCCAAAACGGCATACTACTCCTTTAAGGGCCACATTTGAGTAATTCAGAGAAATTTCCTGAATGAGGCCTTTAAAGGGCTGCGTCTATACTCTTAGAATCTGGGGTTACAATGTGTAACCATGTTATTTGTTGTTTGGTTTCTTTAAGTGTGTATGTATTTCTGCCCATTTTATTTCTTATTGTCATGATGTAGGAAGGTGAGGATCCAAATCCAGATGAATACGCTTCTGAGAGGCCACCAAGACAGCAGAAACTCTTTTATTTCAGAGTCAGGTCAGGAGTAATAGGGAAACAGGGAAGCACAAGATCAAATGATGGGGCAGGGGAGCAGATTCTGACACATCATACATAATTTGGCAAATCATTAACTGCTGCAAAGTTTGATGAATCAAACTGACTGGCTTTTTAGTTAATTTGACCCAAATTATTAACTATTTTATGTGCTAGAAAAAATGCTCAATTGATGCTAAAAATAAAGCAGCTAAAAAGTTTGAACGCTAGAGACATAATCCCCTTCATCTTGTAAAAGAAAATAAAGCAGCTTGTTTACCTTCTCGATCTGTTTGGGAGTCGCTGTGGGAGCGCTGCCCAGCCGTTCAGCCGTTTGCTCTGCCTCATCCGCCTCCTTGCAGCGTTGCTCATAAGATTTTTTTGACTGTTGATGCAGGAAACAGAGACCCAATGAAACTCTGACGCAAGAATCTATGTTCATTAGTAGTTCACTCTGAACCCTCAACAGGAAGCAGAGGTATTTAGTCAAAAAAGAAGACATGGTGCATGTTGCAAAAAAATATCACACACCTCCTTCCTCTCAACATAAACTGAAGTTTTTAAAAAGTAAAAAAAAAATGAGTCTATTTAATGTTCTTGTATGTGTAAGGTGTAAAAATCACAGGATCTGATTCTTAGATGTAGGATAGAACACCAATCACTAAGAGACCCTACCTCAATAGTTTTCTTGTAGAGAGAAACCTTCATCTTTTGAGCCTTCTCCATGCTGATTTCAAACTGGGTGACAAGACTTTTATGTTAGAAAGAAGAAATTCTTTACTTTGCGTTTCCTTGTTCTTTTACCCACAACAAAAATGGGAGGAGGGGGGAGTCGACACCTTTTTTCTCTGTTCTTTCTGTCTCTCTCTGAATTCCTCCATTCTCTTCACCTCGTCCTTTAGGAGACCAGAAAGCTGGATGTGCAAGTTCCCTACATTTTCCATTTCTGCAAAGAAAACAAAACATTATATATTAAAAAAAATTAAATACAAAAGCAGAACAGAACAGAGAAACAAGTCATGCTGGGTAATGTGGTATGATTACGTGTTTTCATGTCATCAAATGAAGTCCTCAAAGTGCTGCAGAAAGGAAGAAGAAAATAACTGCACACTCTACTTGATGCATAAACACATAACATAACATCAGACCATAAATTATGAGCATTTGGGCACGAATGAACCCTTTGGCACGCACCAAATCTCAACCAGACCACCAGCTTTTCGGGCGATTGAAACCAGTTCTTTTCCATATTTCTCCTCTGCTGAAGCTCTATGAAAACATCAACAAACACACACTTTTTAAATATTAGTTTCTAAATACAGACACAACTAACTCAACTTACCTCATTTTCAACAACTCCTCCGTGTCTTTACACGTCCGCCGACCATCATTGAGTCTCTGAATAATGGCCTCGTAACCATCACAGCTGATAAAGTCTTTTCCCTGCAGAAAAAGTGAGGTATATCTTTTTCTTTGCAGTTTAAAACACACAGTTAATGAATAATTTTAATAATAAACTCTGAAGGCGGTGATTATCAATCATTAGCTGGTGAGCATTATTCTTCTTTCCTCATGTAGGGAGCATGCCATATTTAGTAAAACAGAAACTGTTGCATTGTTGGAAAAAGCAGTGGCAGAGGTGTTAAAACTCCTCACATCTGTAAAACCGATGACTGTCTGAGAATCAAGAGCACAAAAATCTCAAAGAGTTGCCAGATTAACAGGAAATTATCTAAAAAAAGGACTTTATGTGAATATACACTCAAGGGTAGGATCGCAGCATGCTACACTATAAAAAAAGCTTTGTTACTTTTACCCATCTTTCTTCTAAAAATCAGACACGATCAAGTGATTAAGAACAGTAACAGTACAGATTAATGACTTTTCATGCAATAAAAGCTAACAGAAATCTCCAGAGGACGTCTAAAACATAAAGCCAGACTCAAAATGACTTGTGATCCAAAATGCTCATACAACAAAACAAAAAAGCATCAATAAATTTGACATCTAAGTGATGAGGTTCACAGTTCAGAAGAGATCATTGTTCCTTTTAGAACATAAAATATAATCTAAAAATGAATCAGCAAATTTCAGCCAACTCACCCAAAACGAGTCTTTAAATTGTAAAGCCATCTTGGTAGTGTTTGGTAACGTTTCCAGTTAGCGAGTCACGCTGTTGTGCCACTTGGCGGTCTGCTTCGATGCAACTGCAGCACATCAGGACACACTCAGGAAACAAACCCTCATGCAGCAACTCTCACTCGCAGTGTCATTTCATTTAAATCAGGAAGAGGTGACACAATCGAGCTCACAACAGCAACGACACTAACTCCGGCACCGAAATAGAATTAAAACTAACTTCACTTCATTTTTTAAAAACTGTTCAAGTAAACCCCAGTAAGGTGTGTTTTGATCAATTGTTTATTTGATAAATCATTAAAAGTTGTTAATGAGTTCCTCCTTATTTTACAAAGAGGATGATACAAAAACAGGGATTTCCGATCAAATGTGTCAATTCAACTGGAAAGAACAGCAGTTTGTACATTTTGTGTTGGTTGATTTGGAGGTGACTCATTTTAAAGCACTTTTGTTTGTAACATCACATTATTACATTATTAGGACACGTCATTTTTGTCACTTGTTACATAAAACATCTGCTGTAATATAAGTTTATGTTTCCACAGTTGCACAAAATACATAATCAGTCAAAAAAACTAAAATTTTGATTTAGTTAAAAACAGTGTTTCTATAAAAGATGAAAAACAAGGTTATAGTTCATCATGTGACACATGCAGCTGTCTGCCATAGTCCGTCACTTCACTGTTCATGAACATCTCTTGGTTTTTTAAAACTTCTGCCAGTGAAATCCGTTCGTCCCCATCAAGGTCCATTTCCTTTATGAGGTGAAGAGCCTGTTAATGACGAGTAAAGAAAACAGAAAAATTATTATATGGCAACTGATGCCTCCAAACAATAACTTGTAGTGGACAGCAGAGGGTTAGACAGAAATGTTACAAAAAGAATGCACCGTATAGACAGCCTAACTTTAGATGCATCATTTCTTCTTCCAGCTCTCCCACAGTTTAATTTACTGAAGTACAATAAAGACAGAATGTACTTTTGGTTGCTGTTTTTATGAGATAATGTGTAAGAACCTGTTTGGGCCAACATGTGTCACTTTGTTATTGTAGCAGATGTGTATAAAAGTAAAAAAAATGTTCCTTAATTCAGAAGATCAAACCGTTTTAGATCTAAATTATAGTTGTTAAGTCTGCTCTTAAAGCATCTGAGGCCTTTAGTACGCTGGAGCCACCATCAGTGATATGAAGAGACTGCAGCAGGTTGTACGCTCTGCTGAGAAGGTCATTGGCTGTAAACCCCTCTTCATACATGACCTGTACACCTCTAGGATATTGAGGCGAGCAGGTCGGATATCAGCTGACCCGTCTCACCCTGGACAGTCTTTTTGACTTGCTCCCATCTGACAGGAGGCTCCGAACCATTCGGACCAGAACCTCTCTCCACAAAAACAGTTTCATCCCCTCTGCGATCGGACTCGTAGAACTGCCCACTCCAGTTGCTTTATTCCAGTCACCTGACCCTAGTGTTACTGATCCACTCCGACCAGTACCTACACTGACTTGTATCTAGTAGCCACTTATCTAATTATTGCCTCCTTATATTATTATCATTTCATTGTGTTTATTTCTTAATTCTCATTTTTGCTTATCTATTTTTCTTGCACCAAGTACCGCTGCAATTTCCTAATGTTAGGATTTCTCACACACATGGCAATAAAGCCCTTCTGATTCTGAGGTGTTTATTGGCGGGGTTGTCATGCACATCAATTGTGCCTTCTTGTTAATCTTCAAACCAAAGGTCCCAATTGTTTTTCTTTCATGAATTTGCAGAATCACTTTAAGAGCAAATAGCTGCAAATTTTAAATAAGCAGGGGCTCAAATTCCATGCTGTCGTTCTTTTTTAAAACACAGAAACGGTTCCGTTACCTGTTTTTCGCTACGTTTCCTCTGCAGCAGCAGACGAAACGTAGCGAAAAAACAGGTAACGGAACCGTTTCTGTGTTTTAAAAAAGAACGACAGCATGGAATTAGAACCAAGACACAGCTAGAACACACCTAAGATGTTCAAAGCAGGGACTCAGTTGCATAGTATGCTGGTAGGTTTGTTATGGCTGGTGTGTTTGTGCAACCTCCCTGTGCATGCATGCTTTTCTCCAAGTACTCTTGTTTCTTTCGTTCAGGAGCCTGCATGTTAGTTTAATTTGCTGCTTTAAAACAGCCCTAGCTGTGTTTATGAGTGTAGTTATGTGCGTATGCATTCGCTCAGACTCCTGGAGAGAGGCACCAACTCCCTGCAGCCCTGCACAAAAACAAGCTGATAAACTGGGTTCATTTAGGTGTTTTTCAGTGAGCATCAACAGTTAGCATCATGGTTTGGGGCATTTAAGATTGGGTGGCTTCAGGGTTGGACAAGAAAGTGATCACACAAGTGGATCATCACCTGAACTATTTAAATAGAAACAATGCATTAAATAAGTCTGTAATAAACAAAGGTAACGGTCAGGACCCGACTAATCTTGTTCAGTGAGGATGTCTCAGAAAAACTCATAAAAGGAAGCATTTTTATGGAGAAGGAACTAACGAAAATCCTTCCTCATTATTGTGCAACTCCCAGTAACAGGAAGTATTTGATGGAAGTTTTTCCTTCAGTTTTAGAAATGACTAAATTACTGAAATTACAGAACAAAACAAAGTTGTTACTCAATTTAGACATGACACATACGACTGCTTTCAGTTCAATTTGTGTTTGTTTCTGCAGATCAAATCAAATCTTGTTAGCAAAAAGTATTAAAATTCTGGTAACTCTAAAAGCCTCATATGTTTTCTTAATCTCTGCGAGAAAAATGAAACCATAATGTAAGCATTGACCCATACTTCCTCTCTCGCTGAACCGTAGCTGTTAGGTGCAACCCAGCGCAGCTGCTCGTCTCGATTCAGTCTTCCATCCCCATCTTGGTCATACAGCTCTTTAAATCGCACCGTTTCTTCAATCTCCCATTGTGATGGTGTGTCACCTAAAATAATAAAAACAATCAAATGAAAACAATGAACCAATCATTATTCGTGGTTTTAAACATCCTCTGTGGTCTCACCTTCACTACGAGCATCTCCAATAAACTCACTTAGAGTGATGAATTCATCTTTATTTGTATCATATTCACTCAATACATCTTCAATGGCAAAGTCCTGTGAGAAAAATGAAAGTAAATCAATTAAAGTTGACTCCTATCGCACAGAGGAGTGCATCATTAGATCAGGTTTGGCAGAGGTAGGAACTAAACTCATCTTACAGCCATGTAATCCACTTCAGATGGGTGTGTGAAGGCAAGAAACTCTGTTACGTTTAGACCAGGAGTCCCATCCATGTCAGCGAAGTAAAAACGCCTCTTCTCCTTTAAGAGGAGCTAATAGGAAAACAAGTCTGTGTTAAACTCTTACAACGTTACAGAAGGGTGTGTGACAAATATTACCTACATGTCTAAGAGACTCTTGCTCAGGATCCTCCAGAACAACGTTGTCATCAAAATTTAAAAGCTGGTCATGAGCAACAGAGTTATACTCCTCCCAGGTTACAATACCATCTTTGTTAACGTCAAACTCCGGGAACCGCTCCTCTGCATCTTCCAGAGCATAATTTCTGTAGACATGCTGAATCCACAGAGTGATTTCCTCTGTGGATGAACACACACACACACAATCAGAATCAGGTTTACAGCCAATAGTATACACACAAAACAATTGTCTCAGTGCACAAATGTTACAAGAATCATGTTGTGAACGTGCATGTTTTATTAGGGGGAATGTTATCCTAGAGAGAGTAAAATTAGATTTGATGGCTTGTTTTAATATAGTTACCTGGACTTAGAAGATTGTCACCAGTTGTATCAATCTTTTTAAAAATATCCATCATCATCTTCTTCTGCTCTGTTAGGCCAAGCTTGTTTATCTCCTCGGTGCTCTAGAAACAAAATGAGTGAAAACGAAGCAGTAGATGGATCTACTAGAGGGTTGAGAAATGTGAAATAACCTTCTCTCCCAGGAGAACAGCAATATCATGATCAGGGTTGTGCTGCTGGCCGACATAATGATCTTCATGCAGATGTTTATGAGAGCTTTGTCCAACTTCAAACTGAAGTATTAGCAAAACCAAACACAAAGTGCGTGTCATCTGAAGAAAAACATTGATAAGCATGAGTAAACTGAAATGTATATCTGCAGACATTACAAAAACCTATGCAACTGTGCTATCTGGTGGTCAGCAAGAAGAAGTAAAGCTGAAATGTCATTTCACACTAAACGGCTTATTGAAACAAGTTCAAAAAGACATTTTACAACCTAAAAGGAATAGTTAAATGCAATAGAATAAGTAAATAAAAAAACAGTTTTTGTTTTTAAGGTGGACATACAATCAAGCAACTATGACAATAAAGGAAGTAAACAGTGAGGTAAATACATCACAAAACAAAAATAAATGCATCCACTATCACAAAGGTTACTAAATACAACAAAACATGAACACTACTACCGTGAAAAGTTCGTATGAATGTTGACAAATGTGCCACTTCCTGTAGTGAGAAAAGTACTTCCGGGGCTTTAATTCAAAATAAAAGCTCTTTCCAGCAGGCATTTGGGAAATCAAGATATTTTTTCAAGTTTCCAAATAACAACGACAGCAGCAAGAACAACATCAATAGTAATAATAATAATAATAATAATAATAATAATAATGATAATAATCATGGATGGTAGAATTTTTAATGTTTAAGCATGTGGTAAATGTGTTTTTGCTTTTATGCTCATGTTCATTTCATATGTATAATGTGCTTGTTTTTTTGCCTTGCAGGTGAGGAAAAGACCTTTTTGAATATCTAATGCCCTGAATGACTAATAATCTGAATGTTTTCAAATACAATATTGTTGTTAGATATTTTTTATGTTTGTTTATTTTGGAAGATTGTACTTGTGTCTCTATTTTTGATATGTTAGCCTTCTCATGAGCATTTTTAATAAAAGCCTTACCTTAAACGAACTGTAGACTTTTGCAAAGAAAACATTGCATTGTTTTAACTAAAACATGATTTCTGCTTTGCAAAGAGCAAAACACTGTAGAAATCACTTAATGAGTAGGCATGTTGCATCTGTATGCGTGCATTTTAAATATTTTTTTCCATTGGGTGATTGAACTTATGAGATTGATGTATGTGTTTATTTCATAAAAACGCAAATCCTATTTGTGACATGATTGACCACCATTCATATATGTGAGCTTGAGCATGATGTATATGTTAATATCTGCAACTGTTTATGCTTGGGTTCATGAATAAGATGCAGTGTTTTCTTTTAATTGTCATTTTAACTTTTGACATATTTATAAACTGTGAGAGTTCCTGAAGTGGTGAAGGATCAAATTGTTTAATACTGCACTCTTCTCCATTAAGGACAGTGAACTGCTTTTGTTTTGAAATCTTACTTTACATATTTATACACTTTTTATAGTTGCACCCTCTATGTACATATTTTAAATATAAAAGAATAAAAGTATCTAATTACTCTGTTGTTTTACATTTTTACGATTTTTTTAATCCCTAATAATATAGAGATTATTTTGTGATGTGTTTTGCACCGCTGATACGCACATGCAGAAACTGGTTTAAATGGGCTCTTAAGACTGCTGAAGTCTGTAAACTACTGAACTTTTTCACCTGGTACACACACTAGCACCGTTTGTTTTATTTTTATTTATATGTCTGTTGTGCTTTGTCGAATGCGATGTATGTCAGTGTATGTCATACGCAACTCACTTTCTTTAACTGTATGATTGAATAAAAAAAACATGGTTCAGTTGAATGTTTTTATTTGGGAAATATTTGACATTGTTGCATACATTTCCTGCCTCTAGACATATATTGTGATTTTAACCAACCACCCATGAATATCCCGCCTAGTCTTAGTGGTTGCCATGGTAGACAATTTAAAGCCACGCCCCAGAGACACTTGCACCGCCCTTTGACCTGCATTATCCACAGTGTGATTGGCTAACAGGCGTGTCGTTCCAGTGCCCAGCAATTTAATTGGAAGATACTCACGTCAATCACAAAATGAACTTAACGGACTTCCTGCTTCGGTAGGTTGTCTTCAGTGTCATGCATTTATCTCTCACGCTTTTCAATTTGTGCCGACAAAAACTTTGTCTCTAGACATTATTAATATTCTTCAAAGTTTTGAACACCAGGCAACTCGATGTCCAAGGACAACCGCCATGACGGGCGGCGTCGCGGTGCTGGACAGCATCGTCTCGGCCCTAGAGTTAGCCAAGGTGGGGACGGGAGGGACAGGTCTGGTAGCAACAGCTCTGGCTCTTCTCACGGAGGAGGCAAAAGCAAGAATGCATCCTCAACACCTTTGAAGGTATTTGTTCAATTGAAACTCATCTGGTAATTGCAGGGTCAGCGTGGTTGTCAGCAACAGATTTTTCGAATCAAGATGGCTTTACGGTTTTATCCCTTACCCCGACTTGCTACCGTGAGCTGTCTGGAGCATCTCTAGCTTCCAAGTCTTCATTAAACCTCTGCTTTTGCAGCCTTCCCTGGTCTTTAAGAAGTTACAATTTTTTTTTGTGTGCTTAATAGGTGTATATTGTTGGAAATAAGATTTTCATCATCATAGATTAACACTTTTGTAAAGTAAAATAATAAAATATGAGCTTCTTCCAATTGATCAGTTATTAAATTGTGGAGGAACAGAGAATAGATGGCCTCAAATTAAACACATCAGCAAATATACATTAAAATACATTTCCAAAGAGATCGGTTGGTTTTTAAAGCAGTTTTTATTCCAAAAACAAAATAATCAAGTCTTTCACTGCATTTTTGCAATACAACATTTTGGCAAACACACACAAAGAGAGATGCAGCATCTTTTATTTCCAATTTGGTTTCTACACTGATGAACACCAAAAGTATCCATAAGCAATTTAATCTAATGATATCATTACTGTACTGCCAGCTGCATTTGTATGTAAAATCATAACATTTTACTACACACTGTCAGCAAACCATGACTGATTTTTATTCAAGCATAACTTTGTTTCATTTTCTTATTTAAACTGGGTAAGTGCTTAGATGACCTGTTAAGAATGTCCTGCAAAGTTGGGTTTGCATAAAGAAACTCAAAAACTTGAGATTGCTCATTTAAACCTTAGAAACCCAGCAAAGATTGAACAAAACAATTCGTATCCTTACTGAACCATTGGAGCTTGTTTTAAAACAGTCTCATTTATCCTTGCTCTAAACAATGAGGTGCTGTCCTCGTGCAACCCCCCCCATAACAGTGAACAGCTGTTCACACATTTGGAGGTGTTGTACAAACACTGTAGATTTCACCAAATTGTCACCTTCTGTTCTGATATTTATGTTTTTTATCTACATATCCTGATGTTCACCCACAGGTTGAACAGATGCATTTATTTCACTATCTACCCCCACTAACTTCATTATTTTTTTAATAGAACTTAAACAAGTGGGGAAACGTGCATTGTTTTTATTGTTCTGCTTTGCACTTGTATAGCTTTGGGTCCAGGGCATGACTCTGTTGTTAATGCATTGTGTGAGAGCACCCTGTTACCCTGCAGTGACTCTCATCACTGGTAGAAAAGTATGGGGGGGGCAGAGGGGCAGGCCTGCTGCGTGCACATGACTGCGCAGCATTGTGGCAGAAGGAGAGTGAGAGATGAGAAACGGAGGGAGCGAGGGATCCGATGCAGATCTGGGAGAGAAGAGACGAGGAGCTGTAAATTTAGGAAGCTGCACACACTGAAGCGTGCAGAAGAGACAGGCAGCAAATCGGGCCTAAGAAGTGGTTGCTAACTCAGCAGAGTGGTGAGAGCTACGGCAAGATTACAGAAATGACTCCGGACAGAGCGGTCTGAGTGAAAGGGAGCAGTGATGGGCTATTGAGAGCTTGTCTCTCTGTCGTCTTTTGACAGAGGAGTTGGCACAGCTGGGCAAGTTGCTATAGCAGTGCGGACGATACAGTAGGCATCTATTTTGGTCCTGCTGTCAGACAACGATGTCACCTTGGACATGTGGCGGCGCTGGTTAGAGGGAACAGGTTGCATGAAGTGGGCTGCTAAGTATGTCAGGAGTGGATAAAGACGAGGAGCCTGCTTACAGACTGTGCTTCTACTCTGTATGTATGATCTCATATTTTGAATTTAATGTCTTCCTAATGAGCTAGTGCTCCCTCACTGCTTTAATACTCATGTATGGCTGTAGATCTTGCCAGGAGGGAAACCTGACACTTGCCCCTTACTCAGCGTGGTGTAGAAACAAAAAAGGACAGGCGCTGTGGTGCATGGGGATGGACTGCCTAGCTAAATAACACAGGAGAAGTTGAATTTCCATATTTCTGTCCTCTGCAGCACAGGAGACCGCTTGTTTGCCGCTTATTGAGTAGATCAAGACTATGTTGTCGTAAGGTTTTGTTTTTAAACGCAGGTGGCTCTCAGCTGTGTGGCGGTTAGATATTCTCAAAACACTTTCATCTAATCCTTTTCAGAAATTGCAAAGCAAACCACTCTCCATCATTGTCCCTGTGTTTGATGTTTTTATCTCTTTGTAGTCTTTTTTTATTTATTTTTTTTCCAGTGGCCAGAATAAAGCCCAGGCCATGCCACTTGACATGTAAAGAATTTTGCTCAGCAAAAGTAGGTCAGCTGGGTATCTGCCTTAGGCACATTAAATAGTAAGAGACAAACACGCGCATGCTGTTTCTGCATATGTGACTCCTAATAAGCCAGGTTAATTTTACTCCATTAGCCTTGAATATAAAAAAAAACGTATTCTTTTATAGTTATCTCTTGGATCCCGAAAGCTTTTGTAAAGAAGAAAATGCCTCCCATCTTTGAAACATAGAGTAATTGAATAATCATTTTGGTGAGGCATTCTCGACTGAACAGTGGGTTGCACTGAGAGACGGCCAAGAAGAGAAATGGTTTGTTCCATGACTCATTTGTCTTCTAAGAGGAATACAGCCACTTTTTTGTGTTTACTTCAAGTAGCAATATGTTTTAAGGCTGAAACTACATTGATCTGTAGGTGTTTTACTTCATTTTCCTCTCCTTTTCAACCCAATTACCAGAATTAAGAATATTTGTATGCAAGTATTAAATGAAAGGAACTTATTTTGGGGCGTTATGTGATGTAATGTTTCTCTACGAGATAGTGAGGCAGGAAATGCTCCTTTTGATGCTGATATTGAATTTGTGAGATATTGGTGCAGTCTGAGTGTATTTGTTTTGGTTCTGTATTTAGTTCACCAGAGATTACATTTCAGTGCACTGATGCATATGTGATGTGTAGGTCAGCCATGATGATGCACAGGCAGAGTGGGTAACGCTTCTGCCTCTAGCTGTCTCCTGTCACCATCTACGCCAGCATCCTCTCCCATACACACTGGGAGTATGGAAGCATTTTGGCTGTGGTTCTGATTTACCACCCACACACACAGAATGGGTCAGAGACTGAAACTCAGGGTATCCGCGGGTCCTTAAAAAGTCTTAAATTTGCTTTTCCAAATTTAAGGCCTTAAAAATCCTTAAAAATGACAAATAATCCTTAAATACAGTTTCCAAAGGTCTTAAATTACCAAAGACCCAATAAACAAGATTAGTTTATTTCAATTTTCATGAATTTCTAGTTAGTGTTCAGCATTTTTTGTGTATGATATTGGCATAAGCGGAACCGTACACATTCAGTTAGTTGTGAAAGGGGGCTTTTTTAGATGTGCACATTAGCTGGTTAAGCTAGTGGGAGATTGCGCCATGGGGACGTGCAACTTTTATGGTAACTGGATGGCTAATCCCACATTCGCAATAGCTGGAAATTATAGTTTAAATTTAATTTTAAAAAGTAGCTTAAATTTGGTCAAACTGGCCTTAAAAAAGGTTTTAAAGTCTTAAATTTGGCTCCCTTAAACCTGCAGATACCCTGGAAACTGAATGTTGTATAGTCATGGGATAGATTCAGGAAACCACCATTGTAAAGAGTCGTGGCCTCAAACCACCATATGGATTTTGGATGATTAAACCACGTTACATCTTTGTGTATTTGATCCGCTTCAAAAAAAATCTGTGTGCAAGCTGTTACAATAGAGGTAACCATAGTAACAATGTTTGTGCTGCTTTTGAAGTTATCAGCTCTGATCCGCATAAATGAAAGAAAATAAGCAGTTAGAGTTAAATTTGTCCTTTTTTCCGTAGAAAAGTAATGGGTTATGGCAAAACTATTACCCTTGACACAATATAGGGCAGATATTGCTCTTTTGTTAAAGCCGAATAGGAATGCCACCAACCCTGCATCATATCGTCCAATCTCCATGCTCAATCTGCATTTTAAAATTTTTACTAAAATATTGGCCAACAGGCTGAGCAAATGCATTGAATCAATTGTTCATATAGACCAGACAGGATTTATTCCTAATAGATATTCTTTCTTTATCTCTAGAAGAGTATTGAATATTATGCAATATAAATTTTCTTCTACCTCTAAAAAGGGGATATTATTTTTAGATGCTGAAAAGGCATTTGATCAAGTGGAGTGGGGATATATGTTTAAAGTCTTAGAACCGTTTGGTTCAGGAGATTCTTTTGTATCCTGGGTGCGACTAGCCTTTCTGAATCTGATTGCATCAGTAGTTACTAATCAAGATAAGTCGCAATCGTTCTGTCTTGAAAGAGGGACTCGTCAGGGTTGTCCCCTCTCCATTAATATTTGCCCTTGCCATTGAGCCGGGTCAATGCAAGTAAAATGGTTTCGTTACCAAAATACCTTTATTTATTCCAGAATATTCAAATTTATATTCCAAAATCTTTTTTCAAGCAAATTGACTCAATCATTTTCTTTTATTTGGGGATTTAAAGTGCATAGAAAGCGAAACAACATCTAAACAACATCTACAGAAAGTGAAAGAACATGGTGGTTTAAACTTGCCTTGTTTTTTTACACTATTACTGGGCAGCCAATGTTAGGATGATGGTTTATTGGCAATTATCATAGGGATTTGGCACTCCGGTAAATATGCCTTTGTGGCTGACAATCGAACAGTCTTACACAGAAAACCTCTCTCCGGGCACTTCTTTTTTTTCATCTCCGAGATCGGTACCCTCACGCAGAGGCGAACATTTTACCCTGTTAAATTCGGAAAGGATTTGGCTACAGATCCGTAAAGCCTGTGGAATTCCAAAAACTTCAGTAAATGCTCCAATATGGTAGCCTGGCAAGCCAGACTAAATAAATGTATTATTTAGTCTGGCCATGCTCCATTGACGGCTCTCGGTTGTGGGGCGGGTTCTACCGTTGTCTTTCAAATGATCTCTGCATTCCACTGGACAATGAATGTGACATACTCTCGTTTCACTCTGTTGCATCATCCCACCCACCAGACATATAGAGTGCCCTGATTGGCCCACAAAGCGGATAAAGCTCTGTGATTTGTTCACTAAGCAGATAGAGCACTATGATTGGCCCACCATTATGGACCAATCACAGCTCTTTATGTGTTTGAAACTCCTCTAGAGAGCTGTGATTGGCTAGCCAGAGTCCTGGTAGGAGCTGCGGAGGTTCCAATGGAGCATGCCTAGACCAAACTTTGCAAAGCAAGAATTTGGTGTAGTTCACTAGGCTACCAATATGGTGTAATCATGCTTTTGCTCCGTCACTTACTGATTCTGCTTTTAGAGAGTGGAGTCAAAAGGGAATGACCTCTATAAAAGACCTTTTACATTAAAGACCGCCTCCGTTCGTTTGAACAATTACACCAGAAATATGCATTATCTAAGAGTCACTTCTTTCGATATTTGCAAGTAAGAAATTAAATTAGACAAAATCTTTCTTTGTTTGAGTTGCAGCCCATAGAAACTGATATATATATATAGAATTTTGCTAGGTTCTCCTGATGCCAAAGGCGTAATCTCATCATTGGTTAAAATATTTTCTAATAAATTTTTTTGGCCTGCCACGAAAATCAAGCAGAACCATTTTTGGTTGTGTCCAACACTGAACTATTTCTGGAGTTCAATATTTAAATGGTTTTCCACTGCATTGAAAGTAAATCTTGACCCTGACCCAGAAATAGCTCTGTTTGGTTTCTCTGACAGGTTGGAAAATATGGAACATAATACTTGTACTGCGTTAGCCTATGGAATGGTTATAGCTAAAAGGTGTATTCTTAAATCATGGAAATCGGTCTCCCCTCCGAGTTTCGAAACCTGGTTGAGGGAGCTAATAGGGATCCTTTTATATTGAAAAATTGAAATATGAAGTGACAGGGTCTCAATGCCAGTTTTATAACATTTGGAGACCAATTATAGAACATTTAAAGCCATAACTGACTCTTAAGAAATGGAGGTTTTAACCTGACATAGAGTGATAACAATATAATGTAATGATGTTTTTTGCCCCGGTGTGTGCTGTGTATTTATTTTTTTATTATTACTTTCTTGTTTTGACTTAGGGGATTATGTATGCATGTATAAATTAATTGAAAAAAATAATTATAAATAAAAATGTAAAACAAAAAAAAAGAAAAGTAATGGGTTATGCATAGTGAAATTAAGGAATCGGGTTCAAAGTATTTATGCTTGCAAGTTATGACCAACGCATTTCTTTATTTTCTTTTAAATACTGCAACCTGGTGGGGAAAACCCATGTACAAAACTGCTTTGTCTACTGCAGGCCTCTTTTCAGCGCTCCAACAGTCACGACAAAGTGAGAAAAATCGTAGCAGAAGAAGGTCGTGCTGCTCGGAACCTCATTGCCTGGAGTGTCCCTCTGGAGAACAAAGAGGAAGAAGGTCAGAACCTGCATGCCAAGCAAACTCTCTGTTCATACTATTATTATGCTGCAGATGTAACTTTGTAAGTTTATTTTTAGGGATGTCCCGTTCCCATATTGATATCGGTCGGCAATAACTCGAAAATTTATCGTTATCAAAATTTCTTACTCTTATAGTGATCATTTTTCCCATGTAAATAAATTTGATAATAAAAAA